TCACGATGTGACCAGGGTCGTCGTGGTGGTGTTGGTGGTGTTGGGCTTGGGAGTTATGGTGTGACCAGGGGTCCTGTGTCCCTATCTGGGTCTGCAACCCATGCAACCAGCCGCCGATATGTCGCTTTCCGGACAAGGTCAACGACACACACCTTGCGATACCACCCTTCGCTCTAGACTCAGCGACCAGGTTACGTGGGGGTTGCATCCCGCGGCTCTCGGTTCCCTCTGCCCCCAAGCTGGGGTTACACGCTGAGGCTTTCCGACGAAGGCGCCCCCATCTACACAACGTGGACACATTCGAATTGTGCATTTATCTCGGTGTTCACTGTAAACTAATAAGATAACCCTCAGGCTTGTGACCCTCATGGATAACATAGTCGGATCGACGTAACATTTGGTTGTAGACTTGCATGGGTGCAATACACCCTGGGTACCGATTGTCTGGTACGCCCCTGAGAGCGTCTTTCCCCTCACGATGATCTCTCTCGCGAGCTACATAGCACTGAATGTACTTTGTACTGCTCCAATGTGGAGGACAAACGACAAAAGCTTGCCTGGAGCTTTTTGCAAGCTATTGCATGCTGCGATGGGACTATGATCGTCTGAAGTGATGTGCTTTGCAACCTCTCGAAACATTTCCCATGCGGTGAGGTTGGATCCAGGGGTTGTTCGTGTTTCCAAGTACCCGAACGGACGCAAACGTTGCAGAATTTATCCCACGCCCAACGTCACCCCACGCAGGATGCGAGTGGACTTTTCATCGTTTGGGAATCGTGACAGTGACTAATGTCAAGCTCGGTGTACCATAGTAATCTAGTCCTGATTCCGCCATGATCCTGCCAGTAGAGCAGACAAGGCTTTCCAGAAGCCTGGTGGAAATTCAACGTTGAACTGCCTGCCGAATGCGGCAATGCAGCCGCGGTACCCCGATAACGCTGATAAAAAAGAAGACCACATTGGAGACAATCTGTATCCTGGCGTGCAGTTTGGATGGAATGGCATCCTAGCCCTGTATTAAAGCTTCGCTAAACTGCAACATAGAACGTGGTAATGCCTGTCGGAACCGTAGGACTGGAGACGGCAGCACGGTCCAGACTGAGGCTTCCAAGATGTCGAAAGCGGTCACGTCGACGCTGTACGCGGAAGGTCGGGTTGCTCTCGGTTGGCTCGTATAGGCCCCAACAAGTCATCTGAACGCCATGTGGTACCCTAGATTGTTATAACCGAAAGCAACCTCTTTACCAAGTGCCAATTTAGCGACCGGTCCTTTATAGTGGCATGCGTGGCTAGTGCTGGGGTTGTCAACAAAGTCAATACTACGCCACTTCATGCCCGCAAGGGATTTCATATGTATGATTTCTGTATTCATCTACGCAGCATGCAGGGAGCCCGGTGATGGTCAACACCCAGTGCATCCTATTCGTATGTCTGTCACAAACTAGGAATGCGAGGCAGAGCGCAGGCAGGATGATCCTGGGATCCGCCGGCGGCGGCTGGAGTACCAAGTTGAAGGCCGTAGTTAAATCACATTGCCGGCGTGGGGTGCTCAATTGGTGGAGGTTTCCCGACATGGGCGCCACAGCTGATGCAGCACGTCAATGGGAATGCTCTCCGGCCATGTGTGACAAGGACGCGGTGAGCTTCGCATCTATCTCCCCATTGAATAACACGAGCCGCGGTGTCCGACTGGACTCAACCATGACAACCAGAAGTGATGCCTGATTTCTTTGCGGGCGTGAATGTAAGCCTGCCGAGGACGTCGGCCGTGTTCGTAATGAATATGGCAGCATGGGAAATGAGCCACCTCGGCCCTGAGGGTTCGCGATGAGCCTTGCTTTTTTTTTCATATGTCCTCGGTGTCGCGCGCTCGTGACAAACAGGAACAGTGCTGTTGCCGACGAGAAAAGCGTTGACTGCTAGCCGTCTGGGCCTATTGCCAGGGCTGGTGATAGGCTGGCTCTAGAGCCCGCACTCTGGGCGGGAGGTAACCGCGGGGGGTCGTTCGGGCCTAGCCACCGAGGCTGAGGCGCGAAAAAACGTTCAGCTGACCATGTGTTTTTTATGCGGAGAAACCAGTTTGGAGTCTTGCTACGAGGTACGGGTGGCAGTGAGGCGACTTTCCCCAGCGGTGCAGAGCCCCCCCAATCAACCCCCAATCTAGGTGCTCACGGGGACGGGAGTCTGCCAACGCATCAACAAGAAAATCCACGGGATCTTCGATGGCTCCCGGCGGCAATTAGGTGTCGCAATCGACACTATATTGTGGCTCTCTGGCTGGGTGGTGCACGTGTCTGGGCAATCGTAGCACGCATGGCGCCTCGGGATGGGATTGACATGCGCTGGACGTTTGCGGCAGATTCAATGTCTATCAAAGGACGGGCCAGAACAAGCAGTCCCCCGCGTAACTGGACGGCTGCCAGGCATGTGGTCATTGTGGCCCCCAAAACGAACGCCGTGCTATTGATAGGAGACTTTTCCAGGCCTCTGGGCCACGGCTGGCGTTAGCCAGTGCGGGGAAGACACGGGCTCCTGGACGGGCGTCACGGGGTCAATCCTCTGAGGCAACAGTGGTGATATGGAGCCAACGAGCGTCCATTGCTGGCCCGTCACGTCACAGCTGGAACATTGTGTCAGGCCAGCACCGCTGCCCAGCAAATTTGTTGAGATAGAGGGCACTGCCAGCCAGCGAATTGAACTGTCTTTGGCAGGTTCGTTTGTGCTGGCAATGTACTGTACAGTGTACTTGTGACGTTTGCAGATAAGAATTTGCACCTTTATGGCTGTAACTTGACGGCCCGCGAATAATCTGATGGCATTGCTTGTGTGCAGGCGCAGATTTGGTCAAGATGAATCCAGCGAATATCGAGCCGTTGTCCCTGAGACCTGTACAGATCCGTCGCAGCTGGCGACCACGGGGCCTCATGGTCCATTCCGACTTGCGGTGAAATCTGGCTCGTCTGGCATTGGTGACGAAAGCGGCATCAACATACGGCACGTTGATCCCTGGCTAATTGATGCTTTCGGGGAAGCTGGAAGGCCAACCTAGCGCTCCGAAGAGAACCTGGGCAGCCACTCTTCCAAATTAGAACTAACGGATGTAGCTGCTCGAGGTTGACTAACTACGAGGGGTGCTGAACCAGCATCGCCGCATTGGACATGACATGAAATGGTGCTGTTGAAAACGTAGACGTTCTGAAGTTCGGGCCGCTTGTTATTCTCGTGTCAAACCCCCGTGACTTGTGCGTTACGGCTATTCATTTTTTTTCGTAGTGTTCTGGAGCCGTCGACGGATAACTATCCTCGTGTCGGGCCTTCATTGCTTGCCCATTGCCTAAAGCGGTAGCTCTTGACGCTCCGGAACGGGAGCGCCATAGCCATAGCCCAAGAGTGCCGAGTCATGAGAATAGGCGGCGGAAACTTCTGCGACAGGCAAACAGAGCAGAGCAGAACAGCATCGCTGGAATGAAATGATGGGCACCAACAGCACGAGGATTGCAATGTCGGCTCTAGCAGCTAGTCGTCAGTTGGGCTCCCTCATGTTTGATTACATGGCAACAACGGGCCCAAGAAGCACGCACGCCTCTTGGTCCTGCGCACAGCCAGATTGCTATTTTGCGCCGCGTGCTGAAACGCTGAAACGGGCAGCAGGGACTCTGTTTTTCCAACGGTGGAAACAGAAGCCCACTTTGGTGCCCACGAGCCTCGCAATGTAAACGAGGTCACAGATCGACTGGTGACCGAGAGCCAGCTTGTGGTGCCCTGGGCTTCTGGCAGAGGAGACGGGCCTACCAAACAGAGTAACTGGGCACTAGGGGCCTAGTGCCAGGGACTGACAAGGCAGTGGAGTCCAACGCCGCGTCGGCTACAATGGGCGCAGAGAAAGGCCGGGCCCAGTGAGGCCGGAGCTGTGCCGGGCCTTGGAGCCCTTGGGGGCCTTTGGAGCCTTGAGGCAGAGCGGGTGGGAAAGCGGTGCTGTAGGTAAGCCAGCTCAGGAGCTCAGGTACGTACCCGAGCAGGAGAGCAGGAGAGCAGGCCCGCGTGAGAATGGGGCGTCAAATGCCTCATCGGGAGAGTACTGCCTGATGCGGCCTAGATGGGCCCGGAGCGGGCTAGCGGGCTCCTAGGGCGTCTGCCGCGTGCCAGAGGGCCAGCGTCCAGGCCCCGTGCCGCGCAGAGGGTACGTACCTGACTCGGCGTGGCGGTACGTACCCCCCCCTGGCGGGCGATCGAAGTACCTTTTCCCAGGAGTGACTTTCACCGCGCCTTCGTGAGCAGTGACTTCTGGCAGCCATGAGACCCATGTCCAGGCCCAAGGCCCACGGCCCATGTCCACCACCACACGTCCACGCCGACGCCCACCACCGCCCACCCGGCCCATAACTAACCCCCCAGCACGACGCCTCTCCTCTCATGTCAATCCACCGCAACGCTATCCGTACATAACGCACCTACGCCCACATCCACATCCGCATCCACATCGTCCGCACACATATGTACACTCGCCAGCCCACTCTTCCTCGCCTGGCCTGTTCTGCTCAACTCCAGACTCGACCTCCAGCAACGCATCGACGCACTCGACCGTGGACCTCCCCCGGATTGCCAGCCCTGTAGACCGGACTCGCACATACATACATACAAGACCGAAGCCCACCGCACCCATCGGCTTCTACTACATCATCGTCGACCCGTCTCTCTCGTTCTGATAATCGACGCACCCGACGACACACCACCACCACCACCAACCAGCACCGCACTCTCGGAGTCGACTTGGCCAATTCAGACCCGCAGACACACTCCACTCTCACGGTGCCGACTCTCGTCAACTTGGACGCATGATCTCCCTTTGACGACGCCCGACCCGCACACGCGCACAGCCAGACGCCCGCGGCATCGCATTGCTCGCGGATCTCCAGTCACGACCGCAGCGCACCTGTTCTTCTCCCCCAGAATACATGCAGCCCTGCTCCAATACGGGAGCAGCCTACATGACGACCAACATGCCTTGTAAAGCGGAAGGCCTGGTCCTAACCGTGGACCCCAATGTCATCCACAAGGTCGACACACAAAGCGCACAGAACCTCTTCAGCATGTGGACAGGTGAGTTAACGGCCTACCGGCGACCAAGGTCGACGACACCAGGTCAAAGACTAACATGCGCACCAGTCTTCTCCAGATGCGCCGACTCAGTAGAGCAGGGCCGCCGCCTCGAGAACCTGAGCTGGAGACTATGGAATAGAGAGACCTTCTGCTGCGAGACCGCACAGGCAAAGCAGACCGTCTCCGCCGCCACCTCGCTACCACAGGACATCCCCAGCCACAGGATACCTGACGTCCCCCAACTGTCCGGCAGCGTCGACTCGGCTGCCGACGACGAGGAGGCCATCGAGTTCTCGTCCGAATCAGAGCCCGTCGATATTGTCCGGCCCGCGATCCTGCGTCAGGATTCGTGTGCCAGCAGCCGCAGCCGAGGCCGCGAGCGACACATCACCTCGGATCATCTCGAGAAGATGGTCGTCAACATCATCCAGGAGAAGGAGCCCAACTTGAACCCACTACCCGAAATGAGCTCGCCGTCCATTGAGCCCGAGTCGGACGACTCGCAGGCCGCCTTCTCTCCAGAGACCCAGGAGTCCCTGACACCCGCCACCGAGCCCATGTGCCACTCGGTGGAGCAGCACTCTGAGGACACCGAGTCTTCGGAACTGGCCTCGTCCGCCAACACCCACAGCACCACCGTCATCCGTGGCTTCTCGCCCTCGCAGATCCCGATCCCCTCCCTTCGCCTCATGAGCCAGGAGTCGATCAAGGTCTCTGAGCCTGATGCCATCCCCGAGCCTCACTCCTCGCCGGCCCATAAGCCCGTGCAGTCCAAGAAGCAGCCCGCCAAGTTCGCGCTCGGCGCCTCTTCTGCCTCTGGCGACGAGTCCTCTCCCAGTCTCAACGAGACTAGCCAGCCCATCATTCCTCAGCCCAAGAAGAAGATGTTCCTCGTCGGTGGCTCTTCGGGGTCCAACGACGACAGCCCTTCGCTGAAGAGTGCCATGCACTCGGCCCGCCCCAGCTCTCTGCTCTCGGCCCAGAAGAAGCAGACTTCCTTCAGCAACCAGGTCACCACCCGCACCTTCCAGACTCCCAGCGACCAGAGCGACAGCTACATGGAGAGTGCCATCGACGACGACGACGAGGATTCTGAGTGGGAGGACTCGATCGAGGAGAGTGGCAAGTCTAGTATGGACGACCCGGTGACATTCAAGCGTGTCCCGTCCAAGCCCAACTTGACTTCCCAGCGATCCCTGATCAGCCTCATGTTCGCCGGCCAGGACCAGCGCCCCAAGGGTCTCAGCAACCTTGCATCGCAGTCGACCTCGGCCATCCCCCAGCGCGCCCGCACATATCACAACGCCCCCCAGATGGTGGCGTCTCCGAACGATTCCGACGACCACGGCCTGGAGATGAAGAGGGGGCTGCGTCGCACACCACTCAAGCCCATCACCGAGATCCCTCGGTCCACTGCCCAGCCCATCCACGCCAATGCGCACAGCAACCACCAGGCTGCCTTGTCGCCACGCACCACTCGTCGCAACATGCTGGCTACCGAGCTGACCGAGTCTCTCCGACGCCACCTCCTCTGGGAGCGTCAGCACAAGTCGTCCACCGCGAACGCTGTCCTCAAGAGGCGACACACATCGCACGATGTTGCCAACCTGAAGCAGTATCCCGAGAAGCCCTACATGGGCAAGGACAGCACGGCCAGCAAAGAGGAATCCAACGCGAGCAGCTGGAACCAGTACCTCGAGAGGGATGCTCTTGGCGGCTACAACGCCCAAGGCTGGTAAATCAGCTCTGGTCCATGAGACCAACAACCTTCAACCCACCAAGGCGCTCTCGAGCGCCTGGCGGCAGGACTATCCTGCCCTGTACATTGTTTCCATTTCATCATAGCATTGCGAGATGGTTGATTTGACGATACCTATTGCATGCATTCCGGCGTTCAAATCATCTGGCATCTTTTCATGGACCATAATTACGTACGGCATAGCCACGCGAACTGGCTTCACGGCACAGAAAAGGTCAACAGGGCATCACTGCCCCATGCATCACCGCACCGTCGGTCTACGGACACCGGGCGGCTCTATTTCGAAAACTATTTGGCACATCACTGGCGTTGCTACTCATGATACCACGTCTTGTTTGTTTTGGTTCTGCCCAATCTATACCCACCAGGGCGGAGGGTGTGCTGCCTACTTGTCCGAAAGTAGCTGCTGACGCGCCCGAGGAGAGAATGGTAGTGTGTATTCTACATGGAGGCCCGAGGCGACTCGCTGGCATCACATGCTGCCCTAAGAGGACGAGGGGGAGGACAAGAAAATAAAAGCCCGGTTTTCGGGTCCCAGGGAATGACCGGTGCTTTCCAGCGCCCACGGTCCAAAAACAGATAAAACTATTCAAAAGCTACACAAAATACGAATAAAATTCCTGATGGCATCCATTAAAGCGTCTCCATGCTATCTCCCGTGCCTTCTTAATCTGTCTCGATCTGTGCAATTGTAATGTATCTGGCTATGTACATGGTCTGCGCCCTAGGAGTGCTTTGGTTCAGCTGATTGCTTGCAACTCGGCGTCGTCGTTTTTAGTAGCGGCCGTCAGCCCGCACGAACACTACATGTGAAAGTGAGTTTCGATCAGATACTTTCTCACTAAGGCACCCCGCGTCACCTCGTAGAGTTTTCGTATTACGGCCACTAGTCCACCGGCCCCAGAGCTTGTGCCTGGAGGTCTATCTGACTTGCATGCTATGCTGTACTCATCACTTTATACTTGTATCTCGCGTGTAAGTCGCAGCAAGGGAATGGGCAGGCGACAACACAGAGCGAGCGCCGTCACAAATGGGAAGAGACATTTTAGGAGTGCTATCCCCCAAGGTGGTAACACAAGGCCAGGAATTGAAGGGGTTGCTTTGCCAAGAATCCCAACTGCTATGACGCATCCGGGGAAAATTCTCCATGGGAGGGAGGAGGGGTGGGATTGAGCAATCCCATTCCGTCGCATCCCACAACAGCCTCAGCCTCCAGTCCGGGCGCCCGGGCGGACATGTATTTTGCCGCCGGGTACGTCTCCGGTCGATGGGCTCGACGGCAGGACTCCTTCCAGGCCACTCCTGTCAAAATGGTTCTTCTGTCTCTATTAAATCACTTTGTCTTCTTTCGCTCTGTACACATTGGCAGATTTCCACAGCTCTAACAAGTCCCGGGACATGGTTTGCGTGCCACCGGGGCCGTCACAAGGGCAGGCCTGAAACCCCCTCGGCGCAGGACAGGAAAAAAAGCCTGCGCTGTCCACGTGCTGCCACCGCAAATAACCGCGGGACATCATGGCGCTCCCTGCCCTGCCCCCTGCCCCCTCCCATTGGGGATGCCGAGGAAAGCATTGAACACCACGGGTCTGCCAAACCAAACGCCTGAGCGTCGAAAAAGTCACGTATAGGGGGCTTTGTGGTCATTGTCACTTCGTAGACCCAGCTTTAGCTCTCCCGCAGGCCCGGTTCTTTACGAGTATGCTGCCACCAAGTTTTGTCAACCCCCAGCTTCGCCAAAGGCGCAGATCAACCCCTCTTGGCCCTCGGATGCAGTTTGGACCCTTGATCGTCCATCCAGGTGGGGGAACCTTGTCTCACCACCAAAAAGTTCTGGCCCTGAGGCCGTGGAACTGGGGGCTCCGTCCGCTGGCATTGGATCGGATCAGAGACATTGTGCCCTTCCCAACGATCTACGGGATCTGATGGAGGGGTTGTGGGGGGTGGGCTTCTGAGAGATTACCACGCAAGCAGATCAACGACAATACTTGACCCTTACCTAGGTACAACCATCTGTCAATGTAGTATACTTGAGCGCTGGAACATGCGGCAGACAAGACGGTGCGCCGGCAAGGAAAATCCGCGGCATTGACCTTCCCCAGTTTTATGATCTCAACGTGCGCCGCGGGAACGGAGATAGTGTCTCCCTTCGCCCTGAATACGAAAGCAGTATACCCAGTATACCTCCCCCCTCGACCTATCAATCGCGCGCATCTGAAAATATGCACCGAAGCGACTTTTCCGAGGTCTCGCATCTAATCTTCCCTTGCCTTGCTAAACGCGCTTGTTGCCTATCGACGTGCCTTGACCGCTCCGACGTGAATGACACAATGCACAGCCCGTTCTTCACTATCGGCGGCTGCGGATAGGGCGATGGCGGGTTACATTACAGAATTCTTGCTTGCAGGTCGCAGCTGGGTGACAGGACGATCCCGAACTACCCTTGCCTTGGCACTTGGGAAAGCCTCCCCGGCAAGGGCCAAGCTCTCTTGGTTGACAGCTCAATCGTTTGTTTTGGTCTGCTGGACCAATACCACATCGTCTGGTCTCGGTTGGCAGCCTCACGCTGAAAGCGGTATGTCTGTTCCCTTACCTCTTGCGAAAAGAGACACACATTCAAGCTTGTAGTTATCAATCACTTACTCACCGCCGGCGGGGCAAGTTCTCACCCCCATCCGCGCCAACCAGAACCGAGCGCTCTGGAGTATACCTTAGTAGAATATCATCGATGTCGTCTGTTGCTTGCCCGTGCACTTCATTACCAAACACAGGAGCTAGTGCCATCCCAACCACACCCCGGCTTGCCTGGCCAGAGCCACGAGGAGGGAGGAGGAAAAAAAAGGGCGCGCATAAGTGCGGCTTCAGCATCGCGCCAGCTCCGCGCTGCGATGCACTGCAAGGCGAGGCGGTGCGGTGCAAGTAATGGACAAGGCATCGTCATTACTCACGGCTAGCCCGCGGCACTTGTGAGCTGAGGGGGCGGCGCCAGTAAGTCGTTCGTGGTTAGATAGATTATTGATAAACCTATCGTCGACTCTCTCTCCTCCCAGGTCTCATGCAGACGAAGCCCGTCCGCCCCGCCCCAATGGAGGGGAATTGGCCGCTGCAGAGCCATGACAAACGGAATTTATGCGAGGCTCACCTTGTGATGCTTTCTATACGCTTGAACCCCTCGGAGAGGAGGGGCTACTTGTCTCTCACCTCAGGTGACGACTGATTTCTTCACCATCAGAGAGCCGCGTTCCCGTTACCGTTGGATATCATGCAGCGTCGTAACAAGTGGTCAGCCGCATAGGGTTTCTGTTTCCTCCATTCGCCGCGCCCGTTCTGTTGTCTTCTGACACCTCACATTCTGCATGTCCGGGCCGTCGTGGCTTCGTGCAAAATGGTTGGCCCGGGGGCGACGAGTCGACGCTCCCGGCGAAGCTATCCAAAGATACTCAAACATAACCATAGGTGCCCAAAAGCATGTAATGCGCCTAGAGTATGCAGATACAGTAACAAAAACAGTCCACTGGCCCACGTTGTCCCACCTCTACTACTGTACGTATGTGTAGGTACAACTGCCCGCTGCAAGTGATTAGCATTTGCCTGTCAAGCCCGTTTCGGGTGTTGTGGGTTTGCTGGACGGGCAATGAGCTGGCCGAATCAGCACGCGATGCTGCCCGTTCACCGACTTTTGACTTCGCGTGCGCATGGAGTAGTCTGGGCTGTGTGTCAACTTCCAGCGTCGCGGGGGTGCTGAATCTGCAGCCTAGTCGCCGTTATAGGGCAGGTGTCATCTGCACCCAGGGATGGGGGGGGGGCCATGGCTGGACTGGAGCTATGCGCGCATATCTTAGTCACAACTCGGAATCGGGAGATGTAGACGGATAGTGCAGGTACAATGCGCTGAGACCGCTTTTGGATCCTGTCAAAAATGCGTTCACGTAGAGGTGATGTTTACAGTCCAGCGTTGGCACACTTATCACGGATGCCGGATGGCTCCGAGTGGGGAGCATCGCCTAGGGAGGGCGGCGGAGCTTCTGTTCGCTACTCTGCCCGCCGCGCGCCGCCCATACCCGCCTCAGGCTGCCTCCGATGCCATGGAGGCAAATCAGTGCAACATGGCACGCTGATTGCATGGCTCGGTAGCCCAATAATGCGCATGCCTCCCCGTCGGGCTTTGTCGAAAGGGCTGTCGCCGCCATCATCGGTGTAAGTGGTTGGCGTGTCGCTGACGTGAAGCATACTCATCACTCGCCGCGGGGCCTGGCGGGGTCCTGGGTTTTGGGAACAGAGAGTGGTGGGTAAGGCAATGATGGGTGTCTCGTTGGGGGAGTTGGGGACTCAATTGGGACGTCTCTGATTGGACAGCCCGCCCTGAGGGAGCACTATTGCCTCGTGGCAAGTCGCTGTAGGATTTACGATACATAGGGTACAGCCGAGCCAATAACGCCTGGCGGACATCCTCCGTGTAGGGATGTTTGGAGTTGCTATAGAAGCTCATAACTAGTCAGCAGCCGCAGCAGCTTGAACACCCATCGACTCAGTGCCGGTCCCAGCCAGCACTTTAGGCCCAACTCTGAATTAATCTTGCCTTTGAGAATTTATCTCTAGCTTGAACAATTAATTGTTTTCAGATGCGGCAGCCGTCACCACCCTGCTGCCAGTTCCCACCCGCCGATCGGTCCTTTACTGGGCCAATGTCGGCAGCGTTTCGGTCGCCGGAATGGGTACTAGAGCCCATCGGGTCCATCGACCCGGGACGCTGTCAAAGCGACCGGCAGGTTTAGCGGCTTTCATTGCCCTCTGGTGAGCATCTCAATTAAAATTCTACGGCCGAGAGAGACGGTACTTTCTCCACCCTAGGCCCAGAAAGCCTCTAGAAGTCTTCTATTGCTCCTATCGCCCCGAGCTAGAACGCCGGATAAGGAAATTTCCAGCCTCGACCCTCGACGACAGCCACACACCAGTCCCTCCTTGCAATGATTCTAGCGGGGATCCCCGTTTTAGATCGTGGCTGGTGCAATAAGTACTCTGGTACGCGAGTGAGATTCATTACCCACTTGGACCCGGTACTGCATCGGTTGAGATCCAGAAAGCCGCCGAGAATTACCAAATAACCTGGCAGAATACGCCCGTTCCTGAATCCATGAGTCTTCAACAGGCATACTTTGCGTATGCGCGGGGTGAATATTCTTCTCACGAAACGTTTCATTTGGTCCTAACGCCAGTAAGAGAGAAAAAACAGGCCCTTTTTTTCACATGAAGATGAGGATCCGGTGACGTAGTCGACGCGGGACTGCAGACCACCCCCCTCACCCACATGCCGTGAACTCAGTCTCCAGGAAACGTGAGCAGTGGACTCGAGAGCCACGCGAGCTACAAGCCTCAACCCAGCACTACAGCACCGAGGTGCCCTCCCGAATCTGACAGTCTTCGGCGAGCGCGAGAGGTTCGGATTTCCAAGTCCGGTAATAGAGCTCTCACTGAGGGCTGGGTGGGAAACAAGGTCTACCCCCTTTCATCGTCCTTCCCCGCAGAGCTTGGGCGAAGATCACATGCATCGTGGCTGAGCTGGAGGTCGCCGTGGTGTGGCACGCGGCTCTGCTAAAGCTGCTTAATCGACATCTTGGTCCGTTCGCATGGCAAACCCGCGAAAACTCAAAGCCGTGAGATGCGAATCTGTTCGGGCCATGTGCTGACGAGCATCCAGCGGCGCGTTCTAGGTGGAGGGGTGGAGAGGGCCTAAGACTCTGATACCTACCTGGGACCTGGCGCGGGTCGCACCAGAGAATTTCGCGGAGGCGCAGGTTTTTTTCTTACTAAGACCGTTGGGCAGCGAGCGATGGGGTATTAGTCCGCACAGCGGATACTTTTCCCTGCCTCTGCCCACGGTTTGGATGAGGGGATCGTGGTGGGTTGGCACAACTCCAGAGTCAGGGGCGCCATCCCTGTGATTGAGGCGACCCACGACGTTGATTACTCTCCCTCTCATGAACACGGTACTCACGTTTTGCTCTTGATAGAGGATGCTGCTTACTACGGACACACTCCTGCTTCGCGCTCTGCTTCGCAGTCCAGTACCCCTACCGCGGTGGTAATTTCGGCGCTCGCCCGGCGCCGATTGGGACGGCTTCGATACCGTCGCATCGGACAGGATTAGCTCCGCCTATTACGCCGGGCGTGCCTATCTATCAATGCATAAATAGGCGCGATTGAGGTGCTCTTGTATAAAACGGTCCTTGGAGGTGTTGCAGTGAATAGATTGTTAGTTGTTATTAAGCTCCAGCATGTGCCTGTCCCCATTCGGCACCTGATCAATTAATCGGAATTGATCTCCAGGAATTAAATAAAAAGAAACGATAGTAATCAACTGCACAACTCAAGCTAGCTACGCATTAGCACGGAACCACTGCTCTGGGCTTGACTTCCCCGGAACCTTAGCGTGGCTCTCATCTCACAAGGTGGTGGGCTGCTGATGCCCTTGCATCTGTCTGTCTGAGCAACAGAGTTTTCCCAAGGTCCTTGGAAATGGCATTGATTGAGCAAAAAGTACATGATGTCACGGAGTGTGCATATGCTTACAGGTTCTTTTGTTTGGATGGCGAGGGGAGTTGAAAGCCGTTCTCCTGGGACTTTGACATTACCCTAGCGTGTCGTTTTCGGGAACCATCATTCTAACATCTACCTACTTCCGAATCGTGGCGAAGGGGCGGACCGTTATGATGTTGAAGCCAAGACCACAATGTCGTGGCATGGGTGAGATATGACTTACAAACGAGTGTGGTGTTTCCTCCCCTGGCCTGTGACATAGAAAGCGACGTTCGTTAATATATTCCGATTTGAGAGGTTCCTATCCAGATGTAATAGATTGACATGTCTTGGGCTGGTCGCGGAATATCACCATGTCTGAGTAGCGCTGGGTGTTTACCCCAGACTTCCATATCGCGCGGATCCGGCCCCGGACTCCTAGTTTAGATGCATCCATTACTTGCATAGCTCGAGCGCAGGTGCGGGCGTGCGTTGCAATTTGCTGCAAGGTAGCTTGTCCAGGCTCTTCTACGGGCTTGGCTAGATTTGTCTTTGATCAAGTTCCTAGCTGTCTGTGTGAAATTAAGGTTGCAGAGGAGCGGCGTCATCTCAGACACGCATAAACGCACCTACACGTACACAGGAGCTGGAGCTCAAGCCATCTTCTTGTAGCAGTGCCGTCTTGCGCGACATTGTCCGAAGTGCTGAGTATAAACTTCGCGGGGTTTCCTTAGACGGGTAATGCGTGTGCCCACAGACTTCCCGGTCGAGTATCTAGCTGTCTCGCACAGCCTATCACGGGAGTCTCTCGGCTCTCTATGCCTAGGTGATCTCTACGGACCATCTTCTGAGCAAGCTATCACTGTGTCGCCTAGCTTCCGTTGCTGCTCATCAGTAACACATAAGGGATCGCATCGCTGAAGCTGATAGTTCCGGGGTACATATCACTATGGTTCAGACCGTCGATTAAATAGCCATGAGCTTATGGGAGCAGTACTCTGAGACAGTCAACCACGCGCAGCTGATTCGAACCTGAAGACAGGCAAGAACATTCCTCGACTCATCTATGGAGGTTCTTCAGTTCAAGGCTGGTCAGACTATTGAGTTGAGCTAATAGTCCGCGTTACAGATACGAGGTTTGCTAGAGCCCATCACCACTCGGCTTGCAGGTTCTAATTCGTTTGTTATACGAGTTTGAACTCACTATTTCCGAGTATCGATAACGGTAAAGAGGTTTCCACTCTGCACAATACTTTGGGATCATTTCTTTGGAGCAAAGGACACATGGGAGCTACCGGGGAGTTTTCTTACGAGAGCCGCCTGCCATTTCAATATCAGCGGTTCTACCTTCATATAGTAAACAGCGCATATAATCACTAATGACATAGATGGGTAGTCCTCAGTTCAAAGGATCAGGTGCCCTTGGAAGCAGTAGTTCCACGGTTCAGGGGCGGATTCCCTGCGCATATGCCACCATCTAACACTTTTCGAAGTCAAATATGCTTGAGAAATTGTGCTTCCATCGGCTTTTAATGCGTACCCAGCCAATGTCGTTTCTTAATATCGCAATTCAACTTGGAAGTCTGAATGCATGCCAGTCAGCTTAAGATGTAGTCCAAAGAATGGTTCAACGCACCCGTTGTCTCATGTTGGATGTCAAACCACCAAACGCTCTCCTATCCTACAAAGTCATCCCTATTCAGTATCACTCCTGACACAGATCGCCGTTTTCTGATAGGCTAGGCCTCCGATCTATGAGATGACCATTTGCCCGAGGGAAACGTACTTGTAATGCCAGAGATTGGTTGTGACGTTCATCAAAGCCGGGAAGTCTGGCTTCACAAGGACGCTTTAATTTCGATTCTTCCGAAACACGATCAAAATATCTCTTGGGGGCGAATGGACTACCATGGCAGTTTAACAAGATTGACGATCTGCTAAGAGGAACTTGCTGGCCAAGCCATTGTGTGTTGGCAATCGGGGGGCTTACGCCTAGACAGTTGTTTTCTACTTCACATTGACACCATGACTGCTTGAAATATCTAGCAGACTTCTTTTAGTAAAGGCTTGTTTCACGCCGCTTCAGTGTTGTTGCTTTTAGGCATAAACAGCCCGCGCGGCCCCCTGCAATGGTGGGCAGTTGAAGACAGATTTCTGATCTATCTGACCCTTTCTACCATGAATAACGTGCCCCTTTCGGTGTGTATATATAACGCCAGTCTATAGCCTTAGTTAATAGGTCATCAAATTCGCACTTAACTGCTTCGGGGGCGGTTCGTCCACGCCTACTATCCCGCAGTCTAGTCAAATATGGTACCAAAATATTCAAATCAAACCTGCTAAAATAGCATGTAGTTTGTACTTGTCCAATAAAATTAATGTATATAAAATATTACTCATACACCAAGCCACATTTGCGACTACGATCACCCGGGCTTCGGTTCACTGTCAACTATATCAAGGCTAACAACCCCGTGGGAGATATGAGAGTTATGCGTCTTCGGGGAGGTGTCAAACAACGTGCCAGAGAGCCAGACTTATAGTGAGCGCTGCAACTGATACATACCTTTGGGCCACAGCCTTCGGTTACTGTACTAGGCAACATCACTGAAGGACGAACATCAACACAGTCCAAGCCTCTCCGCTCAATCTCTACCCTGGTATAAAACAAGGACGCAACAGACACTTGGGCAATCTATGAATATAAAAAGGAAGATGTGAATAAGCCTCGCCATGATTTAACACTATATCGGTATATATGAGGTATACTCCGGGCTTTGCCAAGGACGGCCGGGGACTATAAAGCGTGCCCAGCCGGCCCCTTTTTCACGGGACATCGGGAGCTTCCGACGAAAGTGGGGCCCGCCTTCGGTATGTCGTGATCGGCACCTTGTCAACAAGCCTTTTGGAGAAGCTTATCACATCTCGTCGCGCAGGCGGGCCTTGTTGATCTTGCATGGGACAAGTCTAGGCAATTCAACCCCCATGCAAGTATAGCAAGGGTTGGTCGAAGACGTGATAAGCAGCGGGGTAAACTGCCATCCTGTGCGCGGCTCTCGCCGGTCATGTGAGGGCTATTCTGCAATTCCACAATGGACGGTTGTCCGAGAGATTCGGGATACACACAGAAATGGATATTGTCTCATCCACGGCGACTTCGTGTGCAGAGCAGAAGCAGATACCTCCGTGTATAGCTGCTCTTAGTCTTGACCGCGGACTATTAACCCTATGACCTCGACTACACCTTTTTCGCGCTTGAATACTCTCAGTCGCTAGAAAGGCCTGCTACCCTCGAATCAATCTGCCAACAGGGTCTGTAGGGCCATACAGCTGGCGCAGATGGCAGAAATCCAAGATGAGAAGACCACTTCACCTCCGCAGGAAGAAGCAGTCAGTGATGGCAGCACCGGACCGGCAACTGCCTCAAATGGCAACGTGCTGGACGGCGGCTTGCAGCGAGGCCTGAAGAATCGCCATCTGGTCAGTGCTCTTTCCATCTCGCTGCGGAACCCAAAAGCTGACAGACTCTGCTAGCAAATGATCTCCCTGGGTGGCGTGGTAGGGGCAAGCATCTGGTTCGGCACGGGGTCGGCGGTGGCGTACAGCGGACCGGTCGGGGCGCTGCTGTGCTTCTTCATCGTCGGGGTCGATGTATTCTTCGTGATGCAGTCGCTGGGCGAGATGTCGACACTGTTCCCGATCCAGGGCGCCTTCGTCGAGCTGGCGGGCCGCTTCGTCGACCCGGCCCTGGCCTTCAGCCTCGGCTGGAACTACTGGTACCTCTGGGTGACCAACATCGCCAACGACTACAACAACATCAGCCTCGTGCTGCAGAACTGGACCGGCCGCGTGCCGGGCTACGGCTGGATCCTGCTCTTCTGGGCCTTCTTCTCCGGCACCAGCCTGCTCGGCGTCGTCGTCTGGGGCGAGATGGAGTTCTACTTCGCCGCCTGGAAGCTGCTCTGCGTCATTGTCGTCGGCTTCCTCCTCGGAATCCTGGTCAACACGGGCGCCATCGGCGGCGAGTACGTCGGGTTCCGGTACTGGGCGGACCCGGGCCCGATCGCCAACGGCATCGGGGGCTTCGGGCAGACGTTCGTGCTGGCGGCCGTCTACTACTGCGGGACCGAGATGCTGGCCTTCACGGCGGCCGAGAGCCGCGACCCGCGGCGCGACCTGCCGCGGGCGATCCGCCAGACCTTCTGGCGCATCCTGGTCGTGTTCCTGGGGCTCGTCTTCTTCGCGGGCCTGCTGGTGCCGTCGACGGCGCCGGACCTGCTGGGCGCCACGAGCAAGGCGGCCAAGAGCCCCTGGACCATCGCGCTGGTGCGCGCGGGCTGGCCGGGCGCCGGCCACCTGCTCAACGTCGTCATGATCACGGCGCAGTTCTCGAGCGTCAACAGCGCCATCTACATCTCGTCGCGGACGCTGGTGGCGCTGGCGCGCAACGGGCGGGCGCCGCGCTTCTTGGGCGCCACGACGGACAGCGGCACCCCCGTGCGCGCCATCGTCTTGTCGCACGCCCTCGGCCTCCTCAGCATCCTGAACACGGCCGCCGGGCCCGGCAAGGTCTTCACGTACCTCGTCGACATCTCGGGCGCCGCGACCTTCGTCGCCTGGGCCATGGTCGGGCTCACGCACCTGCGCCTGCGGGCGGCCTGGGCCAGGCAGGGCCGCGGCCTCGACGAGCTGCCGTACCGCGCGCTGCTGTACCCCTACGGAGCCTGGTTCGTGCTTGTGATCAACACGTTCCTGGTGCTCATCTACGGGTACTCGGTCTTCGTCGGGGGATTCAAGGCGGTCGACTTTGTGTTCTCGTATGTGGTGGTCGCCATCTTCGCCGTGCTGTATGTGTTTTGGAAGGTGCTGAAGGGGACCAAGATCGTGCCGCTCATGGAGATGGATCTCGTGACGGGGAGGAGAGAATACATAAGGCGTGATACTAGTGTGGCAGGTGAAGACCCAGGAATCGGTACAGAGAAAGAAAAGAGCGTTCCTTGGTACATCAAAGTTAAGAGGATCATTTTTGCGTAAATTTAGGCTAATACGGTACCATTGTAAGTTGTACAATGTAGTGATATACACTTGAATTATAGCACTCGCTCCTAGTAACTACCGGACAAGATACTGCGATAGTAAGGGCGAATAACTTTTCCCATTGAAAAGCTTTACATGCGTACACCCGTTGTTCCCTTCACCAATATCCGGTCATATAAACAGAAAATGCCCATTGTCAACGCCCTTAAAGATGCTTTTGTCTATCATGCAGTTCCTGGTGGTTCCGCCCATCCGGCGGGCCATCGACTCTCTTCCGCTCGTGAACCCGCCCAAACGCCGGCTTGTACTTGTCGGGCTCGAGATGCTCCGGGTGTTCGTACTTGACCTTGCCGTCGTTGGCTGCGAGCTTCTCCTTGGCGAGCCGCGCCCTCTCGGCTGGGTCGGGGTGAACCTGGGGTGGCGCGTGTGTTTTCTCGGCTGCGGGCTTCTCTTGTGCCTTGGCGTTGCGCGTCGATAGGAGGTATACAGCTGGGACTGTGACGGCCACGAGACCGAGGATTCTGCAATTGTGTTAGTACTGGAGAACGGTGGCCAATATACTCTGTTGAATAGAGGAGGATGCCAAAAAGTAGCCAGCCACCAGACTTTAACCCCAAAAAAGGGAAAAGAAATCCGAATGAAGCTTATCCCACACACTCGCTGGATCACAGTCCCCAAATTCGACAGATCAATCACTTACAAAGTCCGATTGGCTCCTCCTTGAGCCGGGGGAGGGTTGGCCGAGGAGTAGGACCTGGCGCCAGCTCCGCGGGCGAGCTGCTGAGCAGCTCTGCTCGACTGTCGTAGCGATGATCGAATTACTGAAGACATTATGTGTGGAATTCTTTGGGAGAGTTTCACGCGATCAATCGATGAGACCTCCAGGTCACCAACTCATGTGGATGTTCGTCGGCTTATAAGTGAAGCTACCAGCCTGAGAATTACGTAGAGCTAACAAAGATGAAGTCATGCATGCTGATCGTTACAGAGTTCCATACTACGACCCGAACCGGAAGTCCTTAGAGCCCTGCAGGCGATTACACTGGATCAATGGTTGAAAAGAATCGAAATTGAGCGCCTGTAGCACGTTAGGTTGTGAGGAGCTAGGCGGGCGCGATCTTGGACAGTCGATGACGCGTGGATAACTTTGGGGATCTGAGACGGATCAGGGGTCCACCACCAGGTTTACCGACAGGCGCGGCGCACTTTGTAACGCTTATTGATAAATTTTGTGCTCTTGGATTTTATGTCTAGCCGTTCAGAAGCTTTGTGCTGTGAAAAATTGCGGTCAATGAGAACATGGCTATTGCAGTGCTTGGCACCATACCACACGGTTGCATGCCGGGACAGGCAGATTTTTAGATGAACACAGAAAAAATCTTGAATACTTATGTACAAAGTCGCGGATAGTCTAGCAGGTTGTACAATCCCTTGGCCTTTTCATCTCGTGATACGCCCCTCGATGCACCTCGCCGCCTATTGGCCGGGTGCAACCAGCTTACCCTGAGCCCTCGAATCAGCCTTCCATCCACCAGCCAACGCCTCGCCGCCGTTCTCTGCGGCAAACTTCTGCATCCGTGCCTCTAGTTCAGGTCTGAAGTGGCGGATGAGACCCTGAATGGGCCAAGCAAAGGCCTCTCCGAGAGCTGTAGATTATTAGTAAAGTGGGAAAAAAAGGGGGATATACAGAATGTGCAACCTACCGCAGATAGTGTGGCCCTCGACCTGCTTGGTCAACTCTTGGAGCATGTCAATCTCGCGCTCGCGGCCCATACCCTTCTCGAAGCGGCTCATGATCTGCTCTGTCCACTTGCTGCCCTCACGGCAAGGTGTGCATTGTCCGCAAGACTCGTGTCTGTAGAAATGACTTAACCGGGAGATGGCACGGACGACGTCGGTGCTCTTGTCCATGACAATGACGGCAGCGGTACCCAGACCAGACTGGCTGTCCTTGAGGGCGTCGAAATCCATCAACTGGTCGTCACAGATGTTCTTGGGCAGGATAGGTGTGGATGAGCCACCGGGAATGACGGCCAAGAGGTTGTCCCAGCCTCCGCGGACACCGCCACAGTGCTTCTCAATAAGCTCGCGCAGCGGGATGCTCATCTCCTCCTCAACGGTGACAGGGTTGTTGACGTGGCCAGAGATGCAGAAGAGCTTGGTACCCTGGTTTCGCTCACGGCCGAAGCCGGCGAACCAGTTGCCACCTCTTCTGCAGATGGTCGGGGCGACAGCGATGGTCTCGACGTTGGCGACGGTAGAAGGGCAGCCGAAGACACCGACGGCAGCGGGGAACGGAGGCTTGAGACGGGGCTTGCCGGGCTTGCCCTCCAGGGACTCGATAAGGGAGGTCTCCTCACCACAGACGTAGGCACCAGCACCACGGTGGACGTAGACATCGAAGTCGTAGCCGGAACCGCAGGCGTTCTTGCCAATCAGACCGTCGGCGTAGGCCTCGTTGATGGCGTGCTGCAGGACGGCGGCCTCGTGGATGAACTCGCCACGGATGTAGATGTAGGCGGCGGTGGCGTTCATGGCACGGCCGGCGACCAAGCAGCCCTCGATGAGCTTGTGGGGGTCCTTTCGCATGATCTCTCGGTCCTTGCAGGTTCCGGGCTCGCCCTCGTCGGCGTTGACAACCAGGTATCGCGGCTTGGTGTCCTTGTCCCAGTCCTTGAAGTTCATGAAAGACTGCAAGAGTGTCAGCAGTTGTTAGCTCGTGGTGCCGCCGGGCTGTGCTCGCCGGAAGCTCTGGAGGGAGGGAGGGAGGGAGGGAGGCCATACCCATTTCAGACCCGAGGGGAAACCGGCGCCTCCGCGGCCACGCAGGCCCGAGGCCTTGATCTCGCCAATGATCCAGTCGTGGCCCTTGAGGATGATCTCCTTGGTCTTGTGCCAGTCGCCCATCTTCTTGGCGGACTTGAGGTCGGGGGGCAGGCGGCCGTAGAGGTTCTGGAAGATGCGGTCCTGGTCCTTGAGGCCGCCGTAGGTGCGCTTCGGGGCGCCATCCTGGACGGTGGCGAAGGAGCGGGCGCTGGTCGGGGCGTGGGCGGCGGGCGAGGAGGTTGCGGGCGCGGGCAGGCGGCTGCACGACGGCAGGGCGACGCGCGACAGGGCCTTTGCAGAGGCTGCCTTGGGAGCCGACGTCCTGGACAGCATCTTTGCGGGTGTGAGCGCGCTCAATTGAGCCGGGAGAGTGGAGAGGGGGATGGCAATTGGCAAGCGAGTGCTTAGGCCTTGAGGCGAAGAAGGACGTTCACGATATGGTTGAGAGTTTAGGATGGGAGGAAGAATAATCACGCCGTGATTGGCTGTCTCCAGCTGCTGGTGGGCCCCCCTCCCAAAGCGGCTCCCGCCAGCCAGCGATGGCCAGCGAGCCTTTTCGCACAGTCGACCTCACCAGTGGCAATCAGGAGCTTGGACCATTCCCTGCCTGGGTGACCTCATGCATTTTATGTAGGTAGCTGTTCAGGTTGGCTAGCCGTGTCAGCACTGGACGTCGCGTTCCCCTAAATGCTCGTCCAGGCGTGTTAGGTTCCCAGCGACGACAGACATACCGTGCCTGGCCCGGGGAATTGGACATCTTTGATCGGGGTGTTTGTCTCGTCCATGGTGTTCCACATGCGGCAAGACAGCACTCAAGACATGATCAAGCCCAGCTGGGCGACTGAGAGGCACTGGAATTTACGTTGGTCGACCTAGGCCAGCGGTTTGGGGACGGGCTCCAACACCAAACAAACTTGACATCCATTCAGACCTATACCACCCACCCGGTCCCGGTCCCGGTCCTGGTCCCGGATATGGCTTCCAACAAGCGCCAGTCCATCCTCCCCAGGGTGCAGGCCGGCCCCAAGGCCCCCGTCAACTTCTCCTCCTCCATCACCATTGCCGACACCGCCATCCTGACCGGCAACCACACCATCAACATCAGCTCCGACTCCGTCATCCACCCCCGGTCCAAGCTCGACTCCTCGGGCGGCCGCGTCACCATCGGCCGCCGCTGCATCGTGCACGAGCGCACCCACGTCGGCGCCCCGGGCCCCGCTCCTCCCTCCTCGTCTGCCAGCTTCGGCGTGCTGCTGGAGGACTACGTCACGGTCGAGGTCGCCGCCGTCATCGAGTCGGGCGAGACCACCATCGCCGAGGGCTGTCTGATCGGCATCGGCGCCAGGATTGGCAGGGGCGCACAGCTGGGAAAGGTACGCTGCCCCCTCCTGCTCGTAGAGAAACCATGATCCAGCTCAAGCTGACGCCGCTGGATAGCACTGCACCATCACCGCCAAGAGCGTGGTGTCCCCCGGCGAGAGAGTGCCGGACTACACCGTCGTCTACTCCAACGGCGTCAGGCGTCTGGACAAGCGGGGAGTCAACGACCTCAAGAACAAGGCCCAGGCTCGGCAGATCGAGGTCCTCCGACGACTGATACCCAGCAATCCCGCCAAGTTCAAGGACTGACATTTTTCTGTTCTTTTTCCGTTCCGTAAGATCCACGTTGAGATACCCGATCTCGCACAAAGCCCGCTTAGTGGGATATTTGGCCAGATCAAAATTGGAATTCTTATATTTAACAACACAATGAAACTACATCTCTCTAACTGTGATTGGAACCGGCTGCTGGGCGCCTGATCACGACTGCGAACCGTCCGACCGTGCTGAATAGGGGGGCGGGGGCACGTCGTCATCATCCTTCGGAGGAGGCAGGGGAGGCAGATACACCTCGTCAGGTAGATAGACCTCCTCATCTTCGTCGGTCTGGGGCACCCGTCGCCATACCCCGGCACGAGCGGGCCAATTGGTGACCATGGTGCGAACCATGGAGAACACGAGATGGCTTGTGGCAAAGGCGGGAAGAATCGCCAGCAAGACCGGGAAGATGAGGCCCCATGCTGCTCCGCCCACCCGCGTATAGGTGCCCTTCAGCTGTCCCCTCTCCATCTCCTGGCCTGCTTGCGGTATGCCCATGAATGCGCCAGCACCAACAGCCGTCTCCAGTTGCTGGCGTACGAGAGTCCAATACGCTTGGGCCAGATCGGTCAGCGTATCCTCAATCAGTAGCTGGTCCCAACCTCTGAGCGTTGAAGACACTCCATTGTATAAGTTCCAGTAATTCTTGCCTCGCACCTGGTTCAGCAGAGAATGGAGTCGGGGGCTGTTCTGCAGCACAGGATATATGCCCAGATAGCTGGCCGTCAACAGTTCGGCATGGCCGAGCTCACGACCTCTTTCGACCCTCTCGACCAGCAGTGCACCACCCGCCCCGCTGAACGAGACATCGGCCAAGATCTCGTGGCCCTCGTAATCACAACGAAGGACTGTTGCGTCCCACTTCTTACTCCTAGGATGCGGGGAGCTGAGTTCGGTGTCTGTAATGATGAAATGCACGGCCGTAGACATGTTCTCAACACCAAAAAGGGAAGGCCTTGGTAACACTGGCGTCAGACGGCGTCTTTGCTGGTACTGGTGGATGACACTCTTAGTAAGGTTGCTGCTCGTAAAGTCGAATCGCTCGAAACCATTTAAGCGAAAGAAAGGCTCATCGGGAAGCGGCGCGGCTACTTCACCCCTTTGTTCATCAAGCACCAGCTCGCCTGTGGAATAACGAATTGTGAAGCTGTCTGTCACGTCTTGACATCGGGCCGAGACATTAGTGCCGTAGACCGTAGCCCTCAGGCTCTGTAGCTTGTAGTCTGGCGCGACCAGCCACTCCTGCCCCTTTCGCTGATAGGACCCGAGACTGGAGTTTCTACCGTACTCTGAGAGGAAGTAATCGCCGAACGACGCCATGTTCACGCCGATGCCCAGGGTCCTGATGGACGGAAACATTGTATCACCGACCCGTACCGTCATGGGTTGCTTAACCGACTCGGCATAGCGCTGGTAGACGGCGGCCTCGTCCTCCACTACGGTCGACTTCATGGCCGTGCTGAACGCTTCGTCCATGTTCCCCGCGCTCTGCACGTAGAACTCCAGCAGCGAGTTGACAACCTCGTCCGTCCGGAGCCACGGGTGGGACTCTAGGGCGTTGAGATGCGCCACGCCGGCATACTGCGTCGTCGGGAAGGACGCCACCGGGTTCTGCACCTCGAAGGTCGTCTTGTGCGGCGCGAAGAGCGCGAGCGTCGACGCGCAGCCAACCACATAGAGAGTCGCCGTGAGCAGGGTCGAGGAGACGCCGCTGCTCGGCGGCGGCTGGCCCAGCATGGTCCCGTCCCGCGCGCTGGAGAAGGCGAAGCACTGCGCAAACGCCCAGAGCGCGAACTCGAGCACCATGATGCTGCCGACGGCCAGCACGATGGTCATGGCCTGCGCGCTGAAGAAGCAGTGCTCGATGTCGACGGAGCGGCAGAACCCGATGAACTGGCAGTACTGCAGCACGTCCGGCGGGCTCTTGCCGTCCACGTGCACCGTGGAGACGAACCGGAAGCCCGCGTCGATCGTGAAGCCGAGGATCGTCGCCACGAGGATGTTGGCACTCACGGCCAGCAGCCAGTGTCGCGTGGTCGCCGCCGCCGCCATCTTGGCCATGGCTCCGACTCTCTTGTGTTGCTTCAGTCCCACTGGACCTCCGTGCTTGATGAATGTTGCTACCTCCAGGGAGGAGTATTTGGGTGGTGCCTGAGTCGACCTAGACCACGGCGCCAAGCAAGAACTTGCGGGCAACAGGCGATGCTTTTATTAGAGCCACCTATTGTCCTGCGCCCCTGCGGCACAGTCGCCCGCCCGGGGTTGACTTCCTTCACGATGCCGCCTTGTTTGCCTAACATGGATGGCCCAATCTCGGTAACCCAGCTGCTTCTTGGCGGCCATTTTAGGCTTCTCCGGAGCTCCGGCGCGCGGCTAGGCAGACCTCGTGAAGAGCGGGCCGCCGGTTGCCAAATCTTTGTATTTCGTCTTGCTTTGGGTACAAAACGTTCTGCTGAGACGGTTTGATTAAGAGCTGGCGTTGTTCTAGCGCCCGAACGGTGCAGCCGAGTTAGCTCAGAAGAGGCTACCTGCGCGGAGTGAAATATTCAAAGCGGCTTTCGCAGGCGTCTGAATACCGCCACTGAACCTCCTTGTAGATCGTCAATGGAGCAGCTTATTCTGCGTTGCAAAGACATTTTCCAGTGGACTAGGATACTGGAATATTTTCATCCATGATCTAGACGGACCAAGGCATTGAGAGCCACATACGCCTGGATGTTCTGCTGCACCTTGACTAGCTCAGTCAATGGTACGTCTTAGTGCCCGGACTGGGACCTCCCTTTTGATGAATGAGTAATATTGCCAAGCGGATTCACCGGCCAGACACCAGTTGAAAGTTGAACAGGCATGGTAGCTGAGATTTCGCAAAGGATAGGAGTCGTGCCTCGTCTGTAGTGTTCTCTTGAACACTTAGCCCAACTATACGAATTGCATCAGCTCAACGTATGACACGCAACGTCTGCTATATCGGATATAGAGTCAAGTCCACCTCTGTTCTAACGAAGTCACAGATCGAACAGAGTGAATGGCGTATTCACTTTGACTCACTCGATGCACTCAGCAAGAGTCTGATTCTCTGCCTTGCAAGCTCGGTGCATTTGGATACCCCGCTATGCGTTAGGAAGGTTGATCATGAGTGAGAGCTTAAGGGACCCAGTAAACACCGTTAACCAATAATAGCGAAGGGAAGCTCAGTCTATCCAGCGTCGCCTCTGACACAGCATATCCTTTCCGGACGGAGTCTTGTAATACAACCTGTCCTATAGAAGCAATGTTATCTCGGTCCAACACTGAGCTCACGCCAATTTCTCAGATCCAATTTCTCGGACATAACCAATAGACATGAACAATCAGGGAAGTTTGAGGTTCTGAGTGTATACAAGAGTAAACGCCTCCACCCTATCAATCACAACCGTTCCCCTGAATAGGCCTTGGCGACATATATCGAGCATAACGTACCAGTTCTAAAACTAGTTGGCGCGAGGTTTTCTGACCAAAGGGCACAAAATAAGAAGGATGTTCAGAGAAGACCAGCTTGATCCAATGGTTATGAAGATGTAAAAGCTTGGTTCGGAAGCCCGAATGTAGCACAAGAAGGGAGGCGGCCAAGTGTCGAATCAGCGACGACCATGCCCGACAGCCTTGCAGATGGATGGGCCCTTTGCCAGTAGAAAAGTTGCAGTGAAATCCGCCGCCTCGTCTGGAGCCCAAGGTTTCGAACATCGAACCAAAGTGCTCGGTTGCAGGCAGTGGGGTTTGAACAAATGGAGAAAGTGATGAACCCCGTTGGGGAAGCTGGGTGCCGTGATTGGTTGCGTCGTGCATTTGGGGGCCGAGCTGCAAGTTCAGACATTAACTGAGTCTCGGTGAGTAGAATGGTATGAAGGAGCTGATCTTGACCCTAGAAATCCAGGGTTTGCTATCATTATGATAGGACTGTCACCTTTAAACTTGCATTCATCATGCTTACGACCATTAGATGAGGACCTAATACTGATCAGATTCACAAGTTACAGTTCACAACGTCGCTCTTGTATGAGATTGAAAATAATTATAAAGCACGCTTGCTATTGAGGCAGGAAATAAAAGCCCTTGGCAAAGCCAACCCGAATCTGTAGTGTTGTCTCCCATGATTATCTATATCTTGATTGTGTAAACCCACGGCCTGATCACTGGCGTTTGATGGCCCCGTAATGTCACATGCTTCCTACTGTCCCGCAGGCCTCTTCACATCGTAGTTGTCCGGTTTCGGGGGCAGCCCACTCGCCTTGTCGAACGTCGTGGTGGTCTTGGGCTCCACGGTCGACTTCTTGGGCACCGGCGGAGCCGGCAGGTTCATCATGGGCTCCATCTTGTTGTCCCCCCTCTCCTCGGGCGGCAGCGACTGGTAGCTCGACATGTTTTGCGCTCTCGCTGGATGCTGACCCATACCCGGCTGCCGCTGGCGAGGCTGACGGTGGTGGTGGTGTTGGCGGTGTTGCTGCTGCTGCTTGTCTGAGGGGCCGGGATGTGGAGCCTTGCGCCCAGAACGAGATAGTCAGGTAACGGGGACGGGCGTGATCCACCGGGGCGATGGCGAACATCCGATGAACCTCGCGAATATCTCATACGAGTGCTAGACTGTTCGCCCGTCTGATTTGGTGGCGATAGAGGAGGATCAGTGCCCAGCGTTGCGTGGACTATAGGCATATTCTCGTGTTCCGAGGAGAAGGGGTTTGATGCTTCCCGGGTATGAGCCTCGTTGTCTCTTAATCCCCCACCCATAGGCAATTCAGACGCGTTCAGCCCTTCACTGCACGAGCCCGTCGATTGGGCCACCTTGACGACGACGCTGCACTTCCGCAGTTTACCACGGATGGCGCGGGATTTCAAGTGATATCGACTTTAAGAAGGAAGGGTGCGGAAGCGCCCTGTGGGTTTCAGAAAAATGGATCCGCATCGCAGAAACCGTATGACACAACACGGCAGAGATGCTACCTCATTGCCAATAACCCTTTTAGAACCGTGCAGATTTGTAGGAACTGCCTGTGGAGCTGAAAGAGGAAGAAGTATAAAGATTAATGAAAGCCTGGAAATAGTGTCGCGGTGACAGCAGAAATCTAGGCAACCGGACCACCGGAAACATTAGAGACCTGCATTGTCAGGCAGAGAATTCTGTGTAACGATGATATACAATGATAGCAACTACTATAAATATAACGAGTAGAATATGGAGATATGCTTTTCTCTGGCAACTCGAATTACAGCAACACAGAGGCAAGATCTCTACAGGCCCCCCTGATTAAGTCTTTGTGTAGCATTCTGCCAACACCATCCTGCTGCCATCAACATGAATTTCGAGTACGTCAAAGAGCCCCAGGGCAAGTTCGAAGAGGCGGTTATCGAAGCCGGCTACCCGTGGGTCCGGACCAACACCATCGAGAAGACTCGAATGGCAGACTTTGATCCATCCTACATCGATCGCCTGAACGCCCACTCGCATAGCGGCACTAATACGCATCTGATTGTGGACGGCGACCTCAGATTTAACGTCAAGAGGGCCCAGGGCGGCGATCTCGACAGCCGAGAGGCGTGCGACAGCGGAGACATATGTTACCAGCACGAGTTCTACGTCTTGGAGAAGGCAAGCTACTCGGCCACGACCACGACCGGTGCGACCTTCGTGGAGGGGCATCGATGCCTCAGTCCTACCACGGCGGAGCGGTTCATGGGCCGAGGCACGCTCACAGCCAGGCCCGTCGCGGAGGTCGATACGAAGCAGCTGCCAGCCAGAACCGCACCGGCCAAGAGCAGTTCCAAAACCGCTTCCAGCAGTGTGGGATCTTGGCCCAGGAACCTGCAATGGCCCGGCGATGACAAGATCATGGCGTGGCTGCGAGGCGTCGTGTTTCTCCCCGGCCCGCCGACGTCGATCGCTTGGGAGAGCCCCGTTGCCACCGAGGACGATATGGCGGCACGACGGTGTATCGAGCGCTGGTTTGCGAAAGAGTGGCGTCACGCGTCGAGACGCATCACGCACCCTGTCAATTGCGGAGAACTCCATGGCTACATCAATGACAGCAATCTTGAGGGCTCAGTTGGCGACGATGAAGACGACCAAGATGACGAGATTCTCCTGGGATGAAGGGGGACTTAGAACGGGGGAGTATGTTATGAGACTCAACTGATATTTGGGCTTTGTACCGGCTGTGCATCGTACTGGCATTTCTGGGCGATCAACAGCCATTACGGCAGATGATAGAACTCGGAGGAAAAATCCATGGGGGTATGTAACTAAGCTGTAGGATCAGTGAAAGAATGACACTGGAGTATCCCATAGCTTATCTTGCCAGAGGCGAGTCAGTGTAAGCCCGGTCACTTCGTGCTCGTGCTCGTTCCGTCATGCGCTAATCAGGCCATGCCAGTGACAAATTGGCACATGCATGAGCACACGCCTGCCAGCAAGTCCAAATCCAAAATACTGTTTAGATTATGCCGTAGAAGGAAAGAAGAAAATAAGGGGGAAGGAAAAAGGGGGGGTTGCCGTCCACACACCAAGAGTTAAGCTCCCGCATCACTTATTACATAACCCGACCCTGGAACCCAGCCCAACGGTTCGCAGATCCGACCTGGGCAGGGCGCGGGCAGGGCGGACGGCTGGCCCACCCCGCCGGCATTACAGTAAATGTATCGTCATTCAATCGAACCCCTCGCTTCGGCGTTCCGCCGCCCACTCCGGTCGCTAGCACGCAGCGAGAGAGGAGCAAGCGAGACGGCCAAAGAAAAAGAGGAGATAAGCCCCTCGACATGCGCGATAACTAGGCAGCGCCCGCCGACCCCGCCGTCGCCTATAACGCAACCCAGGCGCCCAGCCCAGTTGTAAGGGGGCGCCTGGCCGACCGTCCTCCGCTTACATATCACACAATCCATATAATCGACTCACCAAACCGCTCTTCTCCCTTTCCACCCGGTCTCCCCTGACCATACAAGTATAAAAGCAACACAGCAGAGATATAGCACAGGTCGGACCGCGCCTCTCCATAGCCACACAGCGCAACACCCCGCCCCAGAGAGGAAAAAGGAAATGTCGGCAACCACGGAGCGGCCGCGGGTCATCTGCCCGGACAGCGGGCCCGAGGCCCCCTACCCGTTGCACATGGAGGGCACCGTGATATCAGGGTTCGGGCGGGGCTCCAAGGAGGTAAATGCGTGCCCCGTGTGTGTGTCCTGAAGGAAAACAGGTGGCTGACCGTTTCCCGCTCTTCTCGCAGCTCGGCATCCCGACCGCCAACCTCCCCGTCGACGCCTCCGTGACGCCGTGGATCGCCGACGCCACGTCGGGCGTCTACTTCGGGTACGCGTCGCTGCTGCTGCCCCGGGCGCACGCCGACTCGCTCTCGTCGTCATCGTCGTCGTCGTCGTCGACCTCCACAGCGGAGTACCAGATCTACCCGATGGTCATGTCGATCGGGTACAACCCGTTCTACAAGAACACGGTGCGGTCGGCCGAGGTGCACGTGCTGCACCGGTTCGCGTCCGACTTCTACGACGCGCCCATGCGGCTGCTGCTGCTGGGCTTCATCCGCGAGGAGAAGGACTACAGCGGGCTCGAGGCCCTGATCGACGACATCAACATCGACTGCGACGTCGCCCGCCAGAGCCTGGCCCGCCCCGCCTGGACCCCGCGCGAGGGCGTCGTCGGCGGCGGCACGGGCTCGCTGGACGGCGCCTGGCTGGTGAGGAAGTGAGTGGGTTAGGGTTGTCAGGTGAAGAAGTAGTGAAGAGAAGAGAAGCGTGGTTTGGTGGGCAGCCCCCTACAGCCCTTTGCGGGCAACGGGGCATCTGGTGGTGAGGATATGCGCGCTGAGTACGTGCGCAGACGTTGCGCACAGCCGATACTTCCGCACATTACAATGGCATCGGTGGGGTTGAAGAACAAGGCAATGCCGTGCGACTAACTGCATCGTGCAGATGAGGCGTTCTCGAGACTTAGACATAGACGGCGCAGCGCAGAAAGACCGGATGAAAGGTAGTTGGGCGGACATCGCACCATTTCCTGAATATAAGATTCAAAAAAGTCTATAAACATGTAAACCAAAATAGAATGGGTATATATGAATCTGTCGACCCATCGCCAGTGAAGGCTTCACCACTGATAACCACGCGTGACCAGCTCCCGCTGTCTTGGGAGAAGAGCTCGAACCGTGAGCTCGTAGTAGAAAACGCCGCCTATGCTAGCTCAAATGAACCCCCTGAAAATACCATATACCCAAGTATTCAGGGCCCAAGGTGTGTGTATATCCCCTGCGCGTTCTAGTTGCACTGTACCACCAAGCTGTGCCGAACCACTAGACGGCAAGTTGGTCCTGGTTGCGATAATAGCACGGGAGAAACTGGGAAAATGGTCAGCATTGGTCTTGGCACATTGCACACAAGCAATGAGAAAGAAGCCACTCACGTTCATGACAATCAACATTGGGATATCGAAAACATCCCGCTTGATGGTCCAGCAATACGTGCAGTCCATCTTGCCGTCCTTCTCGATCCTGGAGATTCCGTGCTCGCCGTCAATCCGCGTGACCCTATTGCTCAGAATGCTACTCCGTGGGTCCTTCTGCGCCCGTGGTGGCGACTCTTCGACTTCCGCAGTCTCCTTCGTGCGGTATTTGAGTAAACGACACTTCCTGGTAACGGAACCACGGCTGTCTCCAAAGGCCAGCTGTGCAAAGTCTTCGTAAAACTGAATGACGCTGTCATCATCCATCAATTCTGCAATGAAAACCGGTTGGGGCTTTCCGTCTGTTGACTTCACAGGCTCCATGGCCTTCAACTGCGGCGTGGTGAGCCCGCCCTTCTCAGAGTTAACCGCACTGGCCGAACCGGATGTGTCACCTGAGTTTACATTCAGGTTTGGCTCTTTCCCAAACAGCACATCCTTCGTCCAGCCCGTCAGGGCGATGAACTCCTTGTTAACTGCAGCTACCTCGCCTGTCCGCCGGCAGACGATCGTGGGTGCCGAGCAATGACCCATAAAGTCTTCGTATTCGAAGAGAGTACGTTGCAGGCATTTCTCCATAAAGACAAGATCCTGCCGGTTGAGATTCCGTGTACACGCAATGAACGAGGGACGGATGCTAGCGAGAGACTTGGCGATGCGTAATGTTTTGGTGCTCGAGAAGCGCCGCTTGACAAACGCAATCAGGTTATGGAAGCCTGTCAAGTACTGGTAAGGCTCTTTGACCGTTTCGTAGATTGCCGATGGGTCTCGTTGCCGCTTGCCCAGTATCGACTGTGGCCCGAACATCTTGGCGTTGGCAGCGATATTCGCATTAGAGGCAGGTTTGCTCTTCGTCCTCGGCGGTGCAACCATCTGTTGCGTGTTGCTCGGGGTGTAGTTGGTAGTGGTTGGAGAACCCTCATACCCAAAGGTGGTAGGCTGTGGGCTGGCTGTGTTGTCAGTCCCCGGGCTGGCCAGACTGCTTGGGGTAGGCCCTGCTGCCGCAATTGCGTAGGCATGCGGCAGTCCATGCTGAAGGTTTCCTTGTGAGAACACGTTATTCCCTTGGTCGGGATTCATGTAGTTCTCGATCATACCATTGTCATATATCTGACCAAATGGATTTATGCCGTTCGGATACATCGGACCTCCGCCGTAGTTCACATCAGTACCGCCTTGCTGTGATATAGACGGGTCCCTGGGTGGGGTCTCGGCTGCCCCTGAAGACATGTGACCCAGCATTCCAAACTCCATAGCACCATAATGGCTGCCAAAATTGAGGCCCTCCAAATCGAAGTTGAAGATTGCCGGGTTGCTAGGGTCAAACAATGCCGTAGGATAATTGCTGATCTCACTTGAGGGAGTAGGTATTTGCATGTTTGCCATCTGTTGCGGTCTCTGGCTGCCCGGCTGTTGGAACGATGGCGAGACAGGCGAGGGTTGAGCGGCAAATGGTACGCCTTCAGGCATAGTCACCTGCGGCTGGGCCGAGGAGAAGATGGGGTAAGTCTGGGAGCTAGTCGCTTGGGGATAATAAGTCGAAGATTCCGAGGTCGCATTCGAGGCATGTCTTCCATTGGTAGACTTTGTGGTCATACTGGGGTTGAAAGTCGGGCCGAGCACCGGTCTCAACGCCTCAGGGGGCGCATCATGTAAGTATTTGGCCTTTTTGCGTACTCCATCCTGGCAAGCATCGGCAAGTCCACGCTTGATACACCGCTGGCAGGGCCGTTCATCTCCTAGAGGCGTCTTAGTCACACATTTGCAAGGACATATCGGCGAGGCCCAGACAATCTGCCAACACTGTGATGATGATCGGCCAGCAGTACTCAAGTAATGAAAGGGCCGGAGCCCCGGTGATGGGGAAAGACAAGTAGAGACTGCCGATTGACACAATGAGACTTACCACAAGTGAGATGAGCTCTCTGGCAGGCGTAACAGGCGCGCCTAGCCTTCTTACGTCTCGGACGATGCGGATCTTTTGGGTCGTACTTCTTTTTCACCTCACCAGACCCGTCAGCGCCTGGCTCGGGAGGCGTGTGCTGCTCAGCCATGGTCTCGTCTTCGTCGTCTTTTATGGGATGATCTGTGTCGTCGTACTCGTTTTCATTCTCAGACATGACATCTGAGACCTCTGCCCCGTTGGCTTCAACGTTTTCCGGCATCTTGTCTTAGTTTTATATGGGCGCGCCCTCGCAACCCGATGACCAAATTGGGACCGTACGAGAGATGCAGACACCCCGGCGCTCCAGAGAAGCCTTGGCGCAACCACACTTCCCGTGGAGAGTGCTTCTTGCGAACTCGTGCAGAAGTGTCACGATCGGGGCCCTAGGGAAGAGCGATTCACCCACGTTCTGGCTGTAGTACGTACACCAATGAGGAGCGTCGCTGCCAACATCCAGATTCCTGGATACCTCCCAATGCACGCCCACCGCTGTTTGGCTCCTGGCTGGGGCTGACTGACGCGCCGTGTCGTGAACCAGTGACAACAGATGTTCAGACGTATGCAGGCCAATAAGGTTAATTGCTCGCAGCTTGTGCGCCAGTGTACCCTTCCCTGCACGGCTGGCCAAGAGGACCTTTTGAGCCGATTGTGCACGCACGAGGCAGCGCTACCGCATGCGTAGCAGCAGGCTCTCAGGTGGGATGGCGCTGTGCACTCCCGCGGTGCGACTGGGTGCTCGCTGCCCTGCGAGGCCGATGTAGGGCGGGTACAAGTCAGTCCAAGTCGCAGGCCCAGGTCTCTGCGTGTTCCAGAGTATTGCACAAGCAACAGGCAGGGCTCGTATTCAGGCGTGCTGCGAGGAAGCCGGCTCCAATGGGCTCGGTGCCCGTGTAAGTGTGGCGCTCCTTGTGCAACTGGGCGCTGGACGGCCGCTGGGCTGGAGGAACGGTTCTATCCGTCTGGGGCGCACGACGAAGGGCCTCGCCTGGTATTCTCCTAGCCACACGATGGGCTATTCCTGGGCCCTATGGAGTCACGCGACGGCGGATAAGGCACTGGGGTGTCTGGCTGGGGTGATAGGCGGGATGTTCAATGCTGCTGCAGCTACCCGCGACCTCCAAGCCTGTTCGCATCTGTCTCTGGCGCGCGTGGCCTCGTTGGCTAGATGAACCAGATCGATCGCCGCTCTCGAGGGGCGAGAGGGTGTGCTGGGCGGCCCGGCGCGATGTTGGGAGCTGGGGCGCTATGGACGTCCGGACTCGTCGCAATCAACAGACCATGCTGTGCCGTATAGTGTATAGGACGCGGGGGTGAAGATCTACCGGGTCACAGGCGGGTATGTGCAAGCAGACGCTGGACACGGAGGGCAGGACGCTGCGCCGCGACGGGACGTGTGGATACAGAGCTACGGCCTGTAACTTGAGAAGCAAGTAGAATATATCCAGCCCAGCCAGAATGTGTGTGAGGAAGCAGGACGGAGCGTCGCAGGAGGAATTGAGCGTCGCGATGCGTCCGTCGTCGGTCTTGCTCTTAGTCAGTGGCCAGGTCTTGGGGTGTTTGTGCCATGGCCGGCCGGCCGTGGAGCTGAGCCAATCAGTTGGGCCTCTTTTTTTGCTCTCGGCCTTGGTTTGGTGGTGTCTTCAATTGCGGCAGCAGCCCCGGGAATCGCCAATTGACGCTGGGCCGAAACTGCGGGGTTTTTGGCGGTAGGTAGCTAAACTTGTTAGCTTGCTTCCAGGCCTCCCCCCCCTCCACTTTTTGCTGCTTACTGCTTCCTGCTCCTTGGCCTCGGGCTTGCAGATCCCTTCCACCTACCCACTTGCTGTGTACGGGTAAGCAGGCCAAGCAGGCCAAGCAGCCAAACAGGCGCTTTGGCGCTGGGCTGAAAAGGCTGGCCTGGCTGGGTCACGAGCCAGCGTGAGCCAGTGCGAGCCACTCCACCGGGCGACTTGCCGGCGGAAAAGCCGACGCCCTCTGCGCTGCTGCCGCGCTGCCAGAGAGGGCTGCAAACAAGTTAGACACTGCTCTCTTGTGCTTTCACATGTGTACGAGACCGCGCAGGTCTGGGCACATGTATCAGTGCCTGCAGCAGTGAGCATGCGAGGAGAACGGCGCCGCAGAACCAGCCAGACCCAAGCCTCGTTCCAATTGTCCAATTGATCATGGCGCATGGCGTCTCCCTCCCGGGCGGGAGCTGACTCGTCCCCCATCCAAGTCCCGGCTGTGAGGTCCCTGCCAAAGACCCCCTACGGGTAACTTAACTACGACCCCTGTCCTGCCGCTGCCCCTTCCACCGGGCCACCATGTCCAAAGTTACCAAAGTCTGAATCAATGTTCGTTCCTACATTTGCAATGCCATCGCCCGAATGACCTTACATGTTGCAGCCTGCATGGTGCCAACTCTGCCTCCGCGGACAGGGCCTGCTGCTGCGTGTCGTGTGCCATTTGCCTGCCGGCAAGGTAGAAAAGCTCAAATCCCTCGGGCGTTTTCGAGCCGAGGATAGCAGGATGCAGGGCCATCGGCAACAGCAGGGCTAAGCTGATTCAGGACTAACACGGAAATTTGGAGTACTATGCACATCATTGACTCTATTATAAGCAATTATGTACATCGTATAATACCAACAGCAAAACCGCCCGCCTTGACCATGCCCTGTAAAGCTTCTGGGGAGACACGCGAAGTCCTGTACGCAGCCTGTGTACTATATGGTAAAATGCGTACCTAAAGCAGGTACTCAAGTACATGCTCGAACTGACACCTTTGGGGGTAGCTCGCAGTGAATCGCTGAGCAGCGCCGCCGCAATCTTCGCGATTACCGTCAACCAATCATTCATCATGGCTGACATGGTAGCACCCCTGGACCATCACAGCTGGGCCCTACGGGACCAACTCTTGTCCTATACGACTTGAGTGCCCTGAGCATTCATCACCTGCATATTGAAGCATGGGCGTCGGCAGCAACCAAGATCTCTGGAAGATTCGAGGCCAAAGTTACCAGGTTTAGATCATCAACAACACGAACCGCCCACAGGACATGTGCTGCCCGTATCCGTGGTATTATTGAACCACGGCAAAAGCAGGCTCCAATTCGTCATTGGTGTCATGAGATTGGCACGCATCCAGGATATTTGCATACGGCCACAATATATCTCGCTCAGATCGTTCACGGAGCTGCAGACCTCGGCGCCACTCATCTGCTGCCACAATGACTTGCATGACCAGGGGCTCTGAGACACCACCAGGACGGACCCAAGGAAACCTAAGGATCAACGATGCTTGGGCCTCATCGCACAAGTCTGTCATTCCTGTCGAAACGTGGCCTTATTCGCAATCTCAGGATGCAAGAAGACAACCCAAGGCAATTTCGCCCGGCAGTTGTTCACGCTGTCCCACGTTTTACTTCATATACCTCTATACCGCCAAATATATTTGGGGTGGCGGTATAAACTAGTTTCCGTAATTGAATATACTCCAATCATACAAAAGCACCTTCAGAGAGGTCCTTTGAAAAAGCGAACGCCTAGGTAATCTCACTACTCAGTATGAAAGTTGCCGTTCGAGTCTGCAAGCCAGGGACTAACACCGGACCATTCCATATAGTCGCCCAGCTGAATGGTTCTTGCAGCTTCGTATTACAGAGCACCTCATCCTCAACTGCCCATCGCTTAGGGAAAATGGCAGTCAAGTACATGCAGTCAGTAGCAGGTATGTGTGAGGTGCATATGCGTTCACCACTGGGCCAGCGGCCTTCCTCGAACATGTCTTACGATGATGTCAAAGCCTCAGATACCTAGTGCGACGTCGACATAAGCCCGGTGGCCTTGTTGATGATGCATTGGTCCTTGCAAGGGTATGCCGTCGGCTAGGGACATGGTTCACGCATAGCTCGGATATGCGAGATCACCAAACCTGCAGATGCTCAACAGGGCAGTAATCAAGGATTCTGCAAATAGAACCCCGGTTGCGTCCACGAATCGCCCCAGCCACCTGCCCTCCCCCCTTTATGTTGCAATTGCGATCTCGCCTTGCCTTGTGGACTCGTCTCAGATCGGTTCTCGCGGACCTGCAGCCCGATATGTGGCAATCACGCAAGACGTGCTGGCAGTCGACGAACAGGGGTGAGCAGATAGTTCAAATAACGGTGTAGAAGCCCCCTGCCAGAGTGGCCATCATTCATCCACCCAGGCCTCGAACTGGCTGCTGAACTGCCTCTCTTTCCTAAGCGACGATGTGGCGGACGATGCCGGGTCTCCTTCGTACTAGGCAGTTCACGTATGCCCTCGTATTCTTTTAGGAGCTGAAGGTGCTATACCGATGACTAGCTATTAGGCTGCCCAATCACAACTACTTTGATGAGTCTGGTTCTTGCAAGGCTCCATCGCTATAATTCTCGCCATATCATGGGCGCCTCATTGGTTTCTACTTCTAGCTGAATCTGACACAAGAACAGGTAACGACTGGGAACACTCTCCTCTATCGCGGATTCCTCCAATGTCACTGGTGGTTTAGTCGTCCACACTATGCAAAGAATTTCAATCGTCTCTGTAATCCGACGGAATGGTATCTTCAAATCTGCACTGGTGTTAAGTGATCTAGTATCAGAAACTCCCCTTTTATTACAGACGGTGGAGGGAGGGCCATTGATTAGATCGTCACAGATGTGCCAGGCTGTCATGTGTTTGTTATTTCAGAGACAGCAGCCTCGCAGATTCGAGCTACATTTTGCACGTCTACACCGAATCCAGCCTTGCCCGTAGTCATAGCCCCAGACGGCCGCAATACCGCAGGACAAGGCCTCCCCAAGCTTTTCGTGTACACTTGCAAGCCATTGGTCTCGGGCACCTATATGACCCGGATCATCTTCCAAGAGACAAGTGAGCGCTGCATTAGGGCGGAAAGCTCCGGCTGGCCTGAGTACGGGATGTTGCGCTCCCTTTCTCCCCCCGCGAATAGGAGAATTTCAAGCAACCCCGTGCAGATCAGCCGGCCTCTGGTCCATGTGTTGGACATACATGTCTACCAACTACTTTCTGACATGCAGATGTAGACACGCTTGAAGCTCGACGGGTCCATTAATAGCAAGCACCGAAGCACGAAGCTGCGAACGTGGTCTTGCCCAGGACACGGCTTAGGCTAGCCTCGCGGACTGATGCCCCGTCATCGTCGCTTCAGTGGAAAATTGCCGCGCAGTGACCACGCTTATTGCGAACTCCTTCGTCCACGATGTGTTTCTTCATTGCCCTCTTTATTAGGTGGACAATCGGCCTCGCACTTACAACACATCATCAAACTCCTAGCACAAGCCTCGCAAAATGCCACCTCGTGCTTGAAGTTTTCGGAACCAGATGACTTTATATTGCTGAGAGATGATCATGAGACCCTATTTAGTAGAAACGCACTTTCAATGATGAATGGCAACGGAATGGTAGAAATCAGTCGCTAATATTGATGTACATTCTGCATGGTGTAGACTTCTATGTTGCCAAGTTCTCCTACGTATCCACCTTCTAAATGCACCCCCTACTGAACAGAAACTTTGCAAAGCTCATGCAAACAACGCTTCGTGATGCTCTTCCGCTCATGAAATCCACCACCATCAGATCATGATCGCATACATATCCGCTCTAAACAAAATCTCATCGCCTATGCGCAAACATTGAATTCCCCGAACTCCCGGTGACTCCCCAAAACTGATACGCAAAAGCACCCATCCTCATTAGTAATTCTCGCTCAGTCCCGAGAAATCGGGCACGTCGCTGTCGCAGCTGAAGTCCTTCTCGTAGGCCTTGGCCGGCAGGATGCCCGCCGCGAGGCCCTGCTTGTAGCTCCAGAGCGGCGCCGACTCGGTGTCCCAGGTCCAGTACCACCAGCCCCAGCCCTTCTCGAAGCTGGTCATCTGGGCCTCGGCGAACATGAGCAGGAACTTCTTGTACTCGCTGCTGTAGCTGCCGACGGCCGCGTTGGCCGAGTCGCAGCTGCAGCTCGAGTCCTGGCTCGGGCACTTGGGCGTCAGCGCCTCGGTGGACGCGTTGCCCGAGTCGTACGTCCCCTCCCAGCGGTTGCCCCAGCCCACGTTGGTCACGTACTGGGCGCAGTCCGTGTCGGCTTGCGACCACTCGGCGAACATGGTGGGGCCGAAGCCGGTCGCCGTGTTCATGCTTTGCTCCGTTTGCTCGGTCCAGCCGTCGCAGGCGTACTTGACCTTCTCCTGGTGCGTGTAGATGATCTGCTCATTGTTGAAAATGACATACTGGTGTACGTCGAGCACGAGCCCGTCCATGTTAGTCAGCCTGCCTTGCCAGTTTGCCAGGCCCATAAATCCATCCCCAAAGACGATGTTTGCGTTAACGCCATTTCCCCGAACAAGCTTGTAGGCGTCTGTAGTCCAGGAAATAACATCAGCGGCCGCTAGATTTACCATGCGCGGCTCATTGGCGAGGCCGTAGAAGGTGACGACATTCTTATACCTGTCCTGGGCAAAGAACTTCGATAACCTGTCGTGTACATCCAAGCTGCGTTGCCGATTGAGCTCGCCATCTGTACCATTCAGCCACCCAATCACCCCTAAGCGCCCACTGTGATTCCAGCCGTTTTGTGAACCCGGTATTCCGTGTAGATCTAGATTGACACGGATTCCGTGCTTGCGTGCCCACTCGATTCCACGCAGTAGATAGCGCCAAGAAGTGCGGAAAACGTATGGGTCGCCGTCGTAGGTCTGCACCGCCCAGTATGAATAGGGGATACGAACGTGATCCAGTCCAGCGTCCGCAATTTCGATGAAGGTCTGCTCTGTGACAAAGGTTGCATAGTGTTTTTCGAGGGTGCTTGCCGCCGTCTTTGGCCCCAAGTGTTTACATAGCGTATATTCGTCAACAATCCCAAGTTTGCTGTCATAGTTGAAGAGGGAGGGCGTGATGAAGGGCTCCAAGCTCAGCCAGCCACCCAAGTTGACGCCTCTGGCTGGTGTTGAGGCATAGTCACCCCATGACTTACTGAGAGCTGGGACCTTGTCATTCGCAGCTGCGGAATCATCCCAACTAGTGAAGAGACCCATAACGGGAAGATCGCCGACGGTGGCATTGGTATAGGTTGTGTTCAGGTCTGTTGTGTCGTACCAAGTGAAAGGATCAAGATAGGTGCCCCTTGCAGCTGCTGGAATGTCATTTTCGGACATGCCGTCCAGTCCAGACTTGTTGCTGCTGGTTGAGGAGTTCTTCTTGCTCACAACAACTGCCACCGCTATGACCACGATGATGACGACAAGAGTGACACCTGCTATTATCCCTGTGTTCTTGTAAGAAATTTGGGCGTAATGCTTGGCAAAGGAGCGTCACCTACATCTGCGCTTCTTCTTGTTTCCAGGAGCTCGAGGTTTGCTGTACAGATGCTGCTTTTCGTCGGACACACTGTCCCAGCTGCTGTGTTTGCTTCCGGCGCCACCGCGCATCTCCGGTGTCGCCCGACCTTCTTCAACAATGGCACCGCTGACCAGTCGTTTTTTCCTTCTGTCCCGGCTTCGATGCCTATCTCTGCGCCCGTCTTCGTCATCTTGGGGATCGACGTCGATCAGTCGGCGGCGTTGTTTTGGCGAATCGTAGTCCCTCTCGGAATCTGTTACGGCCTCTTTCCTACGCCGCTCTCTCTTTGGTGTACGAAGCTCGCCTTCGTCGTCCGTATACGCCTCCCTGCGCCGGCGCTCTCTCCTCGCCGCCCTCCTAGCTTCCTTCTCCTCGTCTGTGTAATCATGCCGCCGCCTGCGCTCTCTCCGAGGCGACTCATCCTCGGGCTCGACTATGATATAGTCCTGCTCACGAGGTCTGGACTCCCTCTTCCTTCTGACTCTTTCAGGCCTCGTAGTTTCTCCTGCCGGGTTTCGAGCATTGTATTCGTTCAATTGCGCGAGGGCATCTAGCGACAGTCCCTGCCTGGTGCCTGAGCCTGCTCCGCTGGACGTCCCTTCGGATGCTGCCGCCGCTCTTCGTGAAGAATGATCGCGGGATTTCTTCTTGCGGCTATGCGCGCCGGGATCTCGATGCCGGCTTGTACTACCGTCTCGCGGCGCCATGTGGAAGTGATTCTAGGGTGCGATGCGGAACATGAAAACAACACACAGAACACAAAGAAGTCGAGTCTCGAGTCCCTTAGCGGGTATGCAAGCTCTTTACGGAAGGAATCTTCATCGGCTGGCGCAGATCGAGAAGACATCTGTTCCACCCGAGACGGGATGGGTGTGTTGAACTGAGGCTTGGCGGCTCGCTAGGGGCGGTTGGCCGGGCAACTGTCCGCAGCATCCTGGGGTTACATGGCAAACTGGGCCGGGAAATTGGGGATGATGTAACTACCAGCGGTCTGCTCCACGTCACCGATTGCGCATTATACAAAGGTAAGACCTATACTGTAGTATACCAGCCAAATTTTGATACATGTGAGAGGCGCAGGAGTATCGCATTGCAAACCTCGCCCTGGGCAATGAGACCCGGCAGCCTGCAAGACTACCTATGGGTAATCCCCCCACACTCCGTCTCCGTCTGCCCCGTTGCTGGCCGCAGGCCCCCTGGCTATCGATAAGGCCACGCCGTCTAAGCCGAGTCCGAGGGGTGATGCGACGCATACCGAAGATAGCCGCTTGACCTCATGACACGAGCCCGGCCAACTCGAGGAATTCTGTCGTTTCTACAACGATGTGACACAGGCTTGATGTTGACTGAACTTTGAAATTCCCATGGGGTTAGCCAATCCCGCTCTTTGACCAACCAATTATGAAACCTTCAAGATCGTTACGCCTCCTCGCGAGGAGAGCGACGGCACCGTCAGCGATACGCCGGCTGGCACCTGCGGTGTCTGAGCGGAGGCAATACTCAACACACCCACCAAACGCCCGTCTTAATTTACCAATCGACTACTCGGCGACGCCCCTACTATCGCACAGTTCTCAGGCGGCGCTGGCGACGGCAGATCTGCCGGCCGAGGTCAAGAATGGGACTACCAAGCGCATGAACCTCTTCCAGGCGATCAACGATGCTCTGTCAACCGCTCTTACCGAGGACGAGGATGTCATAATCTTCGGTGAGGACGTCTCCTTCGGTGGCGTCTTCCGCTGTACCATGAAGTTGGCCGAGCAGTTCGGTGGGGACCGCGTCTTCAACACGCCTCTAACAGAGCAGGGCATCATGGGCTTTGCCATTGGCGCCGCCGCCGAGGGTATGCGACCTGTGGCCGAGATCCAATTTGCAGACTACGTGTATCCGGCATTTGACCAGCTTGTCAACGAGGCCGCCAAGTACCGATATCGTGATGGTAGTTGCGGCCGAAGCGTTGGAGGATTGACAGTTAGGATGCCCTGTGGAGGGGTGGGCCACGGTGCCCTTTACCACAGTCAGAGCCCCGAAGCACTCTTTACACATATTCCTGGCCTCAGGGTCGTCATGCCGCGAAGTCCATTGCAGGCAAAGGGACTCTTGCTAGGGGCCATCAGAAGCAATGATCCCGTAATATTCATGGAGCCAAAGATTTTATATCGTGCCGCCGTGGAACAGGTGCCAACTGCAGCCTACACTCTGCCGTTATCAAAGGCCGAAATTCTGAAAGAAGGGAAAGACGTCACCGTCATCTCGTATGGCCAACCCCTCTACACCTGTGACTCCGCTATTCAGAGTGTGGAAAAGGACTTGGGCATCTCTGTTGAGCTGATTGACTTGAGGACACTGTACCCATGGGATAAAGAGACGGTATTCAAGAGTGTGCAGAAGACGGGTCGGGTCTTGGTTGTTCATGAGGCCATGGTCAATGCTGGCATTGGTGCCGAGGTCGCTGCAGCTATTCAGGAGGACCCCGAGACCTTCATTCGGCTGGAGGCTCCGGTGCAAAGGGTTGCAGGGTTCAGTATACACACTCCACTTTTGTTTGAGAAGTTCAACGTGCCAGACGTTGCTAGTGAGTACTCCACATTTTCTTTTCCGCGCTGGATTGAAACTGACTTTCTCTCAGGGGTCTATGATAGCATTAAGAAAGTACTAGACTACTGATACAGAGGCAACTTTGAAGACGTTGGTTCTGCTTTTGGGGTACCCTTTCGGGTGTTGGAACTTGGGCAACGCCAATTACTACTGGCGCACCTATCTCATCCGTGCAAGCCTATGTCATTGCTAAATGAAGCCAAAATTGCTGGACTTTCAGCTGCAAAGCCACATATTCAATAAATTTAGACATTGATGCGTCAGATCACTGATTGTGAGAGCGGAGCAATATGGCATAGTCACCTTTACGTGTTATACTTGAAACGATTTGTGACTGGGACCTTAGCACCAACTATTTGTTTGTATATGAACAGTGCCGTCGGCACCATCCGTTATCAATTTGCCGTCTGAATCCTACTGGGGAGGATATCGTAGCAGCCAAGGGACGAAATTGTTGGATGATATCATAATGCCTGCTAGACCAGGTGTTGTGGAGATAAGTTAACCTCCGACGCACAAGTAGCGATGTCGGTCAGATAGCTTATCTCACCTTGTTGTCGGGATAGTAATGTCAGCTCGTAGCTCATATACTTACGTCAATGTCATTGAAGTATATAGTTCGGACTTCAAATGAACTGATCACCGAGTGTTAATAAATGTATAAGAACTAGAACCGACTCTGGAAAATCGGGCTAAGTAAATCGAATGTGGGTCTCTTCATCGCTAACCACCGATACTCGCCGAGTCTAACAGTTCTAACCTCCACCAGCACATTATATATTATTTCCTGCACCATGCCGCGGAGTGGTACCTGGACACGAGCGCTCGTTGCATTGCTCGTCGTGCCTGCTCAGGCGACTCTCGGTGGGACTGTCGACTCCTTTGACGTGCGTGAGGCGACAATCGACGGCGTCCACAATGCCCTGTTCACTGGGCTGACAACGTGCCGGACTGTGGTGTCATCGTTTATCACAAGGATTGAGACTTTCAACCCCACCATAAACGCTGTCATCAGCCTCAACCCTGAAGCTCTTGAAATTGCAGATGGTTTGGACCAGGCATTGGCGTCGGGAAATGTCACCGGAAAGTTGTTCTGCATCCCAATCCTCCTCAAGGACAACTACGATGCGGTTGGCATGAGCACGACCGGGGCAAACTTGGACCTGGCTGGTAATCGACCGACTAGGGACGCCCCAACCGTGAAGGCTTTCAAGGACGAGGGCGCAATCATCCTGGGCAAAGTGAACCTGCATGAGCTCGCCCTGGAAGGATTGTCAGTTTCGTCTCTGGGTGGGCAGACGATCAACCCGTATGATCACTCACGGACCCCTGGGGGCAGCAGTGGTGGCACTGGAGCCGCGATAGCCACAAGCTTCGCGGTATTTGGCACTGGCACAGACACAGTCAATTCGCTTCGAAGTCCGGCCAGCGCAAATAGTCTAGTCAGTGTCCGGCCAACCCGCGGGCTTATCACAAGAGCTGGTGTTATACCCATTAGTTACACGCAAGACGCCGTAGGCCCCATCGCGCGCAATGTGAAGGACCTGGCTGTCGCCCTCACAGTGATGGGCAGTATCGGGTTCGACAGTGCTGATAACGTGACTGCGTTGGCACCCCCTGACGTTATTGGACGAGATTATTCGTCAGGTCTCTACGGCGGCAGCCTCAGGGGCTTGCGTCTCGGAGTCTTGGACGGGTTTTACAACCATACAGGGTCTGCTGAGACAACGCCTGTAAATGAGGCGATGGTGGAAATGATCGACTTCTTGACAGCTCAAGGCGCAGACATTGTCAACGTTACCGAGCCGATCTACAATGCTACGGCGATCTTGGCCAAGCTTGATGTCCAGACATCCGAGTACCGCCAGCAACTAGACAGCTACCTCGCCGGTGCGGGACGAGATGGAACCAGGCCAGCGTCCTTCAACGAGCTGTATACAAGTGGGAAGTTCCTCGTGATTCCGAGCCAGTACAACTACGTCAACACGGCGTTCACCTCCTCGACAAGCAACGCATCATATGCCACGGCTCAGCTCGGCATCCAGAACCTGACAACGGCACTCCGCGCTACATTCTCAGATAACCAGCTAGACGCAGTGATATACCCTGAGCAGAAGAATTTGGTTGTCAAGATCGGCTCCCCGTCCCAGAGCGGCCGGAATGGAATTCTGGCGGCATTGACAGGGACCCCAGTCGTGACAGTGCCCGTCGGGTTCTCTCCTCCAACGGATGAGGCGCCGGTTGGCGTCCCTATCGGCATGGAGATACTCGGCCTCCCGTTCACGGAAAGCAAGCTGCTGAATATTGCTGCCCATATTACGCAGCAGTATCCCGTCCGCAAGATGCCGCCCTTTGCCAACCACTCGGTTGAGGTGAACGAATATAGCGGGGTGCCTGTCATTACACCAAATACAGGCAATATTCCTGCGCAGTATCCCATCGGGGTCCTGTCATAGGTTTCCAGCCGCAGATCATGTAGGGCGGTAGTCTTTAATAAGGGATGGCGCATTGGAACGCAAGAGCCCGAGGGACATTGTGATCTCGCAATATGATGCCAGTGACAGATATATAGTCTTTGCAAAATGAATTCTCTAATGAATGTTCGCACTCTTGGTGCTGGATTGTTGGTAGTACAGACCAGAAAGAGTCCGCGCAGGACGACATGGTGGTGTGACAACAGTGGATATCCTTTGGTGCTTATACCCACTACGGGCATTCCAGGCAGTCCAAATGACCCGACACACGAGAGTCAACAGACTACTATACACCTGGCAAAGTACCATGTTGATACCCCGTCCATGGGAAACAATTTGGCTATGCGTTCTTAAATCACAGTTCACATAATTGATAAACTACGAACACAAGTATTCGACCACGGAGCAACCTCATTGGCCGCCGAGCCTCGGCCTCAGCTCCGTGGCTAGCGCTGCACTCAATCTACCACAGTATATAATCTCCTTTAGAGTTTGAGGTCATCCCTGTACGGCGGCGTGTGCCCCGAATTCCTGTTACCAAATTACCGTTAGCAACCGGCGAGTTGCTTGACAGGCGCTGCTGGTGTTGGCGCAAGAAAAAAAAATCCAGCAAATAAGGTCGGACGCCGACCCTGACGATCTCGATGACAGGAGGATCCGGCCTGCAAAGTGACGTTGGCGGAGCTCCCTGGGGCTTACCAGCACCCGGCTAGCCAGCCAAAAGGGACCCCGAAACTTGAACATTCCACGCGCTACTCCTGCACGGCGGCCGGGGTCTTCTACCGCAACTTGGCAACCCTGAAGCTGGAAGGGCGGCCATTGACTCCAACCAAGGTCCCCATTGTGGAGTGGGGTCTGGCCCGTGGGTGCCGTGACTATCAACCTTGATAGAAGACCCTGGAAATGCGCAACCCTAACGAGCAGGACCCTGCATTGGGGAAAGCCAGCGGGCGGTCGAGGCTTATAAAAATTGGAATATTTCGTCGATGGCCCCCCGGAACGCCGATGGCAGTCCCGTGCCGGAATCCCTCGCGTCCCCTGTGGGCTGCACAACCCAGAGCGCTGCCGGCGTCCCTCTCGCCTGACCCTCTTCGTCCGAGAGCTTATTGTTCGGGACTGCCCCCCCACTACCCTCTCTTCATGTCGTGAGCCGCGCATAGGCAGGCCCCTCTGCAATCTCAATGCTGTTACTAGACGGCGAGATTGGCAGAATAAATTTCAAATCTTCCACTTAGGAACGAAAGCGCCCCTTGGAGGGCATCACGTAGCCGGCCTTACTTGCTCCATGCACACTCAGTGAGGGGCTTTTGCCGGTGAATGATCAAGTGCTGTTACTAGACAGCCGAGGAGCATCCTCTTGAATCACTGGGGGTGAAAGTTGAAGGACACGGGAAACGAAGTCTGCGGTCAACATCCCGCGTGGTCTGGCACAAACCGTGTACTTGGATGAACATAAACCCCCCATCTGGAGCTTCGGAAATTCCAAACAAGATCCACACAAGCCCGACGAAGAACTTCACGGCAATCTTGCAATCCGTCGATCCGGCCGGACATGTGCAAGGAGCTCTACGAGCGGTGGAACGGCTGCGACTGCTGGGGGTTTCTGCGCGCCGACACGTGCCGGGGGCTGTTCAAGTCGTGCTTCGGGCCCAGCGGGGAGCAGGACAAGAAAGGTGAGCTTTGGTCAGCGGTCAGTCGGTCGACCAGACAGATTTCTTCTTCAATGGGGTTGTTGATTAGGACCGTGAGGCTGACATCTACATAGTGACAAGGTGGAACGACGGCATGTGCTCCGAGTGCTGGGACCGGCTGCTGCGTGAGGCCGAGGAGATGGCCGAGGCCGACCAGCTGGCGGATGCGTCGGCCACGGCGTCGACTTCGTCGGGTTCGACCTCGACGAGGAGCTACTCGACGCATAGTTGAGTGAGGGGGATCCGCGAGAGGCGGTCGCATGTTGAAAGTTTATACGGCGTTATGGTCTTTTTGGGTATGAAGTACTGGGCTATTTGCTTGTTGCACGACGGGCTCCAGCATTGCTAGAGTTTATGAGGCTGTGTGTTTCCTTTCTCGTGGGGATTCAGCTGGGTGTTTATAGGCGTTTGGGAATTTGTGGCTTCCTGCATGTTAGCGACGAGTATAAACTCATATTGCACTGAATCAAAAGTTAAAGCAGTTGTTGAACATCGATGTTTCAAGCTGAAGAAATAAGTCTACGGAAGTCCAACGTCTTTCCGATCCAACAAGACAATATGAAATCACCCTTATTCTGGATATACCAGTTATGGCTGTTGAAGCTATAGTCCTTTCAGAAACCTTCACCACGTTCGCTCACTCTCCTCATAGGTGCAAAAGGATGTTGAATTCCTCGACCCTCCCGCTCCGTTACTACCTGCCATCACCTCTATTTGCCCAGGCCTAATAGGACCAGGTTTGCCACGTTCATGATGGCAATGACCAGCCAGATCAAGATGGCGAGGGCGCAGACCCACCAGTCGTTGCCCATGCGGACGAACGGCAGCGCCGCCGCCACGCCGCCCTCGGCGCGCGCCTCGTCATTGCCGTCCCCGGCAGCAGCGACCTGCCCGCCCGGCACGCAGAAGGAGTCGTCGGTGCTGCCCTCCTGGTAGAACCGGGCGAGGCCGGGCTGGACGGTCATGAACTTGTCCAGGCAGGTGTAGTAGATGAGCGGGGCGCTGACGAAGGGTAGCACGATGCTCAGGGCGACCTGGCTGCCGTTGAGCGCGGCGCTCAACTTTTCGCGACCGGCGGCGCCGGCGATGATGATAGAGGGAGTGATGCTGATGCTGCGCGTGATCAGGCGTCGCAGCCAGGGCTGCATGCGCCACTTGAGCGCGCCCTCGCAGACCATCTGGCCCGAGATGGTGCACACGATGCCAGCCGACACGCCTGAGAACAGCAGCGCCAGCGCGAAAACGGTGCCAGCCGCAGTGCCCAGGCTCGAGGTTAGCAGGGCGTGGATGCCGAAGATGTCGGCGTCGAGGGCCTCGGTGTTCTCGTACAGGGAGGCGCCGGCGACGATGAGGATGGCGCTGTTGACGAAGAGCGCGAAGGTGAAGAGCGAGATGGCTAGCTCGGCGTACGAGTACTTCAGGCAGTGCTTGATGGCCTTCATGGATGGGACATAGAAGATCTTGTCGCCCGCCTTGCCGTCGCTGAGACTTGCACCACCTGTTGGTGTCTCCTCGGGAAGAAGGCCATTTCGCTCGTCATAGTCCAGAAGGCGGCGTTGCGGCAGGCCGGATCCGAGGTAGAGGGAGTGCGGCATCACAGTGGCGCCTAGAATACCGCAGGCCTGGTACAAGCCCTCCCCCTGAATGACTGCGTCGTTCGGCAGGTATCCCTTGAACACCTGGCCGACGGTGGTATTTTCGATATGCGACAACTCGATACAGAAACAGACCACCACAGCGATTACAAGGAGCATGACGAAGAACTCGAAAGAGCGAAGCGCCTTCATGGAGCCCTGCGGACGGTAAAATAGCAGAAGAAGCATGACATCCAGGATGGAAATGGCACATCCCGCCACCAGGGGTAGCTGCGGGATGAGAAGATTCAGAGCTATAGCCGTACCAATGACCTAGTCTCTGTTAGTAACCTCAAATTCGCATAGAAACAAGAGAAATATGTCATGGACGAACCTCGGCGATATCGGTAGCAATAATGGCAATCTCTGCCATACCGTACAGGAAGTAGTTCAGCCATCTGGGCAAGAACGCCCGGTTAGCCTCCGCCAGGTTGAGTCCCGTAACGGTCCCCAGCTTGATCGACAGGCTCTGCAGTAGGATGGCGAACAGGTTGCTCATGAGAACCACGAACAGCAGCCGAAACTGATACGAGGCACCAGCCGCAATATCAGTGGCGTAGTTTCCAGGGTCGACTAGATGCAGCACAATTCGTCAGCACTCTGCAACGCACTACCATGGCATTTTCCCAGACGTGGTCGAACTTGTCCCCATCAGACCGGGTGCTGAGAAAACTTACTGTAAGCCACCGACACCAAGAATCCGGGCCCAACGAATTTCCCAAAAGTCAGGACAACCCGCTTGAGCCTAGCAAGGTGACTCCCCCCATCCCGGGACGGCGCCGCCGAGGGCACCGCGCCGGGCGAGCTGCTGCTCTGCCGGAGGTCGTCGCGGAACACCCGGGCCGAGGACTTGGCCGCTGCCGTAGCCGCAGCCGTTGTCGTCCCCAGCACCCCGGATGACTGGCCGGCCGGCGCACCACCACCGTGCGCGGCGTCGGCCAGGTTTCGCGCGCCCCCGGCGCCGGGGCGGCGGTCGGGCTCCGGCGTGGGCGGATCAAGCTCTGCAATGGCCTGACCGGAGCCGTCGAGGACCCAGTCGTCCGCCGAGGGCCGGCGGGTGCGCGCGTTGGCGATGCCGTTCAGGTCCTGGTTCGTGGCCAGGTCGTTGGACAGGGCGTTGGGGCTCTGGTTGAAGCCGTCGTCGCCCTCGTACGGCTCGTCGGTCCGGGATGTCTGGTTCATGCTGGGCTGTGATGGACAATTGTGCCGCCCCGAATGTAATATAGACCTGTGTATAAGACCCCGTTTCTTCCCAAGTGCCGTGACAGGGGGGCCGGCTGCAGATGTTGCGTGTGTGGTGCTGTGGTTCTGCGGTTGTCTAATAATTCCTGTCTCAAGGTTCCCAATCACAAGTGATGGTGGTATCGAAATGTGGCTCCGGAGCACAAAGAAGCTCTAACACAAGAACAATGCCTTTGCAGTCTAACAGGTCGCAGGTGAAGGTATGTAGAAAGCCAGTCCTTCGAGGATGATGGTACGTGGTCTCGTGATCCCACTCGCTCCTAGTCTGGAAGGAATCCACCCCCAGGTCCAGGGGAAAGCTCTAGGTGGAAACGGATCCAGTTCTAGTCAGAATTCTAGTGACAGTCTTCTGAGGTACCAACGACTCGCCAATTCGCATCCAGTCAAACAAAAACCCTTTTCCTGACCCTCTCTATAGGCTCCAGGTAGAAGTGCGTTGGGGGACTAACCAGCGAGTCTTATTCTTCCAGGTCGCTGGAATTTGCAGGCCGGGGCCGTTGGACTAATAACAGTTTAGATGAACTAGCTTACGGCACCCAGAAGGGCCCCATCGGGTGCCTTGCCCCAGGATTCCGGGATGGAACACAGGGCGCCATGTGCCATGCAAGTTACCGCCCCTCAAGGTCGTGCACCCCAAGGCACTTGACTGGCTGACTGGGGAGGACGAACTGGGGGAGGCGGTGCCAGGGCTGAGGCGTTGGGGTATGCATCCCTCTCCTCCCCCCCGCGCGCTGCCGATCGTGACGGTTTCTCCCGGCGCATGACGGCATGCTAGCGCTCGCCCGCGGCGGGATGTCTTCGTCCCTGTGCTCTTTGGCCGAGGGAATGCTGCTCTCATTGCCGTTGCTGGTTATTATAATATTGCCCTCTGTAGGGCATGGTGAGGTCCTCTCCGCGACGCTGCCCTCGCGCCCCAGCGCAGATCGTAAGATAGAGTTATGGATGCTTCCTTGCAGATCTTTGGGAGATACAAATCTCTATGTGCCTTAGGTCTAGTGCTTGATGGCAGTCTCTGACGTTGGATCAGACTTGCTTCCTTTTTTGACAAATAGTTCACCATCACCAAGACTGAGTGCGGCAGCCACTTTGGTACTTTCACAAATTTGTCTGCATACAGTTCTCGCAGAGTATATCCATACCGACGCATGGACGCATACAATCTCGTCACTAGCCACTAACTTCGTCGCCAAGTAGACACCGCATCGTCAAGTGTTGAACTTGTATCTCATTATTTTTCCTATTTCTTTTTATTCCGCCATCCGGACTGCTCACTGCCTATCGAGGAGCCGGAACTGCACACATCCGCTGCACCATTGTCCAGACTACTGGTGCACCGAGTAGTCGGCTATCGTCAGCCTCCATAGAATCAACCATAAAAAAGCCCAGCCAAGCACTTGGCCCAAGCCCTCCAAGAATCGTATTTGCAAATGCCAACACCGTAGAACGCCGCGCCAATGGATGTCCGTTGAGCACACCGCCTCCGCCCTCCAACGCTTTGTGCCCGTTCTTAGTGTGCAGGGGGGGAGAGAATCACACTGCAACTGCATCTTCACCCCAAGAGACCTCCGGCATCGCGGCACGTCTGCTCTGCACTACTTGGGTTTGGACACATTTCTCCTGCCCCCTCGAGCTCTTTAACGGCTCTTCTTGCCAGCCTTCCTCGCGCGGTCCCTCTTCGCATAGATCTCGGCCGTGAACGGGTTCTCGTACGCCAGCGCGATCTTGTAGACGAGCCAGACCCAGGCCGTCAGCACGAGGCCGGCCGGCTTGCCGTACAGGATGGCGGTGCCCAGGAAGCTGCAGGTGGAGCCCCAGTACATGGGGGCGTCGGTGACGTTGAAGGGGAAGCCGGTGACGATGTGGTCCATGAGGATGCCGAAGTAGTCGCCGAGGAAGGTGCCGGTGATGCCGAGCGCCCAGGTCGACGAGAGCACCAGGACGTTGCCCGAGGCGATCAGGCCGTAGGCCAGGTACTTGGCCTCCGGGCTCTCGAGCAGCGGGTACGAGGGCTGGTGGCGCAGGGCGCGCTCGTACAGCCCGTCGCGCACCAGGCCCAGCGAGAAGATGGTCGCGGCGAGGAAGTAGCACGCATTCTGGGCACGGCCGCCGAAGAGGCGGGTCAGGAACTTGGTGCGGTACTCGCGGCGGGCGACGATGCTGGAGAGCGCGTGTCAGTGAGTATTTGCTCTCCCCGGGCCGTCTACGCGGACAGCTGTTCTGCCCGTGGGTACCAGACGCTTGCACAACGTATGCGCTACGACGGACCCCCACATATGGGGCACATCGGGGACCAGGTATAGCTTACTTCCAGAAGAGAGGGTTGAAGGCAATCGCGGCGGCCGAGACTGCAGGTGTCTGTTAGTAAATCCAGGGTCCAAGGAGCCTTCAGGTCGAGCTCGGTCGAGCAGAGAGAGATGGACAATATGCGTACTGTACAAGCTAGTCTGGTCCAGGTCGACCAGCTTGCTGGGCTCGAACGCTAGAGGGGCCATGGTGAAGCTGTGTGTCCTGTATGTACTGGGACCGGGCGAATCTACGTAGTCTGTCTGTCTGGCAACGCAGGGAAATCAACGAGGTCGAGGGTTGGTGAGAGCTTCGCTTTCCCGCGGGCAGAGACAGCTCGCGGAGTTGACAAGTAAAATAACTGGAACTCGGCTGGATGTGGAGCGAGGAGAGCTCCCGCCCCGGAAGTCTCCAATAGCGTCATGCTGCCGTAAGTTAGACCCCTCCTGCTCGCTTGCGTTTCCCGATTGGCTCAGGCCGACCACAAATGTCCTTTCTCCTGCCACGGGACGAGCATTCCAAATGGCACACGCCAGACCCATGGAAGAAATTCCCGATGCAGCAATGGCCCGGCTGTACGTACAGATGCGCCAGCTACACGGGACATGCTGTGTCTCGGACGGATTCGCCCGGCGCCTGGCGAGAATCCGGGTACCATGAGCCCCTCACAAGTCATACAAACCACCGAGGGCAGACGAGAAACGCCCAAGCGGGCGAGGAGTAGGTAGATGCCATTGCACCGGCGCGCCGGGAGCTGCCATCAGCTGCAGAAAGGATCATGTTTCTTCGAATTCATCCATGCTGGGGGGTCTACAAACAGAGAGAGGCCCGGGTATTTTCGGTCGCCGATACGCCAAAATGCACATACATATATGCTCCCAAACACCAATTTCATTCCAGTCGTTCCGAGGACGTGCGACAAGGGCCACTCGTCACCTCTCACCTCCTCGCCCTCGTCTTCTTGGCCGTCTGCGTCGTGTCTTCCTCCTCCTCGTCCTGGCCCTTCTTGAGGTCCTCGTCGAGGCCCCATTCTTCCTTGTCGTACCAGTCCTCGCCGTCCGACATGTCTCGGTTCGGGCCGACGTGCGCTTCAAACTTGGACCACTGGAAGACCGTCTTCCGGAGACGGTCTGCCCGCAGTAATCCCTCGTTCAGCCGCTTGGCGCCCCGGCACACTTCCTCCTGTTTTTGCACGTACAGCTGGAGCAGCCGCCGCAGATCCTCCGCTTCGCCCTCGGGAAGCCCGAGATCGCGATTGGGCTGAGACGACCTCGGTGCCAGGAATATCGGGTGGATGAACATCTCATCCAGCGGGTCGACCGAAGCCGTTGACATGGGCCCACTTCCAGGTAGGTTCACCTCGCTGCCGTTCGTTGCAGCCTGCAGTCCATGTGACGTGCTCAAATCACCGTTCTGCTCAGCCGTCTTCGAGATGCCATTAGTGGCGTGCTTCTCTTGCTTTTGCGAGCCGCCGTCGGCCGTCGCCTGACCGTCTGGCGCAGCTTCCTTGGATGATTTACTGGCCCGCTGGTCATTTCCCGTTTTCTCTCCTCTCTCTTTGGTCTGGCCTGTTTTTGAACTCGACTCATCGTCGGCCGCAGTGTCCTCGTCAATGGTGACGTCGGCGTCCACCATGGAGGTGTCGCCATCGGCTGCGTCTTCTTGCGCCTCCTTCGCCGTCGGTGCTTCTCCGTTGACTGACGGCTGACCGTTTGTGCTGCTGGCGGCGGCCGCGCGTTCCAAGAGGAGCATGGTGGCGTCGGAGTTGACAGAGCGCTGGCCCAATCCATTCGTCGCGTGGTTTTCTTGGTACAAGTCGAGATCATGAGGGGTCTCCATGAGCGAACATGGCACCCACACATGGTCGCCGACAAGCTTGGTGTGTAGATGCTTGACCTTCCACAGCGCGGCGTTTTCCTTGTGGAGGATCTCCCGAGCTTGCTTGGTAAGGTCGGACAGGGTCTTGGAGGTGTACGCCCTGGACAGGGTGGGATGGGATGGGATCTCGGTTACGGACGACAGCGGCGCGAGGATATCTATAGACGAGCAGGGTCAGCAGTTGGCATCTTGGCGAGAGTGTTTCCCCAGAGGCATAGCTACGCACTTTCGAGTCGCAGGCTTGCGTATGGATTGAACTCGGCAGCGGTTTCGGCAATCTCTTGCATGCGCTGTTCGTAGTCTTCGTCGTCGCTCTCGGGTTCGTAACCTTCGTCGTCGACGAGCGGCGGGTTCCGACTTATGATGGCCCGTGTATACCCGGCGTGGTTGACGAACTGTTCAAGGCGACGTTAGCCCAGCGTGTCTAGGTTGAATGCACAGCCCGTCGCCACGGATTAAACTTGCCTCTTTGTAGACCTCTGGGCCCGAGGGTGGCGCCAATTGCCCTTCGCGAGCGAATCGGGCTCGCTTTTTGAGCTTCTGGCCGCGGTTGCCATGGTAGTCTATGTCGTCTTCGGAATCTTCAGACTCTGTAGCGAAGGCGGCAAAATCGTTAGTGACGGGGCGAGCTTGAGCTGGCGATGGGAGGTTGGGGTGCGCACCGTATGCTCTTCGCTTCATAGCCTTCTTCATGGCTATTATTGTGTCGGCGAAGAGGGCCTGTTGAGACGTCATGCTGGCGGCGAGGCGGCTGGCGCCGTGGGCTGTCACGGGGAGAAGGTGTCAGGGCCGGTGGGTGAAAACAGGGTAGCGATCGTGCCCACCGAGTGGACCAGGTCTGCACAACGGGCGAAACCCTCGAGGGATGCCGTAGAGGGCGTCGTAGAAGTAGTTGGGCGGTTCCTGTCGAGGGGCGGGTGGTGGCCGTGTTTCGGTCGCAAAGTTCAGTCGGCCGTGGGCGGTCGAGGCACAGAGGCGGCTGGAGGTGGAAGGGCAGATCTGCTCAGGCGGGAGGGGAGGGATCCTCGCAGGCGACGGGCCGCAGAGGGCTTCTGGAAAGACGAGAATGGCAAAGGAGCTCTGTCGAGGACCGGAGAAGGTGCTGCGACGCCTATGAGAACATACTGGGAGGGAGAGAAGACTTTGGCTGCGTAATTGGGCTGGCAACTGGGGGGGTGGGATCAAGACAAGGCTGGCGCTGCAACTCGGGACCTCGCTCTTAGAGAGTGCCAAAGTACCTACTGTACTCTCTCCAAAGCGCTGGTGCTCGTCGCTGGGGTCCCGCGCTTGGCCGACTATCAGCGGAACCTGACCCCAAAGACCCCAATCAATCACCTGTATGGCCATGTCCCCCTGTAACGTTGTGCCCACAGCGACAGCGCGGGCTCGACGGTGTTGCTGCCAGGTGCCAGACCGGGCCCTCGAGCTCCCCCGAACCCACCTTTGGCAGCTGAAGGGCGCCGGCGCCCCCCATGCCACGCCTGCAATCAGAACCAAGGCCCTCTGGCGCGCCGGTTTCGCGCAGCTGATTCAGCCATCGTCAGCCCACTGGGGACCTGAACCAGAAACGGAGTGCCGAGGCCGCGTTCAGCCTGCAAGCTGGAGGTTGTGGCTGGTGGCTGTGGTTTGGGACGTGTTCAGTGTGAGGTCACTGGAAGCCACTCAGGGCCACCCAGGGCCACTCTCCAAGACCTACGGGGAGCTGGGGGGTTAGTTATGTGCTACAGTTAGGCCCTGGCACGCGGGACACCCGACGGCGGGACACAAGCTGACCTGGCTGCTACGCTGGTGTGTACTGGCGACCATTGGATGTAACTACGTGCCTCAATACCGGGACACCTATCGTGACCTCAGATCCATTGCAGCGAGCCTTGCAGCCAGCGCAGTCTCCATGCCGATGCAGACCGGACCGCAGCTGTAAGTACAACTCACCAGGAGTTGCAATTCGAGAGCCTCCTCTCCGCTCTCCCAGTGCTCGCAGAATAAGACATGCAGTCGGGCATGACCCAACCTCGTTTGCGCCCTGCCTGAGTTGACAAGGAGTGAGCGAGCTTTCACGCACTCACACTGCCATTCTCTACGCCCGGCTCGCACCCAGGTTCAGACTGGCCGCTGATAGCTACCTAGCCAAGGCTGTATCCGGTAGAATCTCGAGACTTGCACACCTCCCCATCCATGGCTTGCAAAGCGCCCCGTGTCTGGACATAAGGTAGACTTGGCTATAGCGCATAGCACATAGCCATGGACGAATACCCGGCCGGCAGCCTGGACCACAACCTCCCGTTGCTGGTCGTCTCCGGCCTCACCTCCGGGCCCACGAAGCCGCTGCTCACCGACCCGGACCTGAAGGAGCAGAGCATCCTGATCCGCTCAGAGCTGCCGCCCCTCGACAGCCGTGAGGCCAAGACCATTCTGCGCTGCATACAGGAGGCAGATGCGACCGACCTGCCGTGGAACCCCCAGGAGGGCGACAAGAAGCACAGGTTCAAGATCAAGACCATCGGGAGGGTATGTGCCCGCAAACCTCCACCCAACCCAGTGCGCCGTGGCCAGGACCAGTCTGCTAACAAGAAGCAACTCAGGATTTCCTCCTCCCTCCGAGACGTGCGCGCTTGCCAGAGGACTTCGAAGCCCCGCTGTCGCCCCCTGTTTTACACTCGCCCTTCTCGCCCCTGAGCCCCGGCTCGACCTTATATCCAGATGGTCTGATAGATACAAGATGGCTGTCGAAGCACCAGGAGCTGATCCCGAGCATCTGCCTCTGCTTCTACAGTCTCACGTCCGATCCGACCTTGGCCACACTGCACGACAACCAGCTAAAGACGGATATCAACGCCCTCAAGAATGCCATCAGCCGCTCCGGCTACAAGTGTCGTCTGGTCGCCGTTATCATGAGCGACCAGGCGCCAGATTCTATGGGCGCTTTTCAGGAGAGGCTCGAAAACATACGATGGGGCACCGGGCTAGACCCCAAGACGTCCTTGTTCGTCCTGCCCACCCGGCGGTCCGAGACAGAGCTGGAGACCGCTGTCGACAGCATCTTGAGCGCCGTCTTCGTGCAGGCTTCCGAATACTATCGTGAGCTTGGCCGCCGGTCTCGCAAGAAGAAAGGGCGTGGGATTGCGCCACAGCCGACAATTCCTCCCACAAGCGGCACCTCCCACACCTTGTCTCTTCAGGGCTGGAATGTTCGCTACGATTTCAAGGCCGGCGTCTTTGCCGAGTTCCGCCAGGAGATGGACGTGGCATTGCGCTCGTACGAGCAGGCATACGAATCGTTGTTTGGCCAAGACGTCCTGGAGACCGTTCCTAGCTGGAGTCCTAGATTCAACCACGGCCGACTTGTGGCCGACACGCTGGCGATTCGCATACTGCGATGCCTCCTTTGGACCGGGCAGAGCACCGCTGCGGTGCGCAGGTGGCAGGCGCATCGGGCGAGAACGTCTGACTTCTTGGACCGGAGAGGCCGCGGGACCCAGAACTACGGCTGGCAGGCTTGGGAAGCACGCTGGGCTCAGACCATGGCGAACTTGATCGAAAAGGTCGAGTATCCGGAGCTGGCGCCTACCTCACAGTCCCTCTTCCGTCCGCCAGAGAAAGCCCTTTCGGCCGAGCGATTGCAACCTTGGGAGCTCCTCCACCACCCAGGGTACTGGTACCGAACCGCCGCGCAGCACGCCCTCGATCGGAGGAAACTGGCTCATTTGATCCCGGAGGACTCCCGGAGAGCGCCCGATGTATCCGAAGTGTCAAAATCCGCCGCAAAGGCGTACAACTCGTTTGATACCTACATGTGCCCCGAACCCTACGAGGAGTATCCTCTAGATGGCGAGGGAACGAACCATGGTCGCCAGATCCTTACGTACCTTAACTCTGCCCGCACGGAATTCCACAAGCGGCAGCAAGTGCGCTTGGCTGCCGACGTCGCTCTCGACGCGGCAAAGGAGCTGGAGCTACTAAAGCAATGGAAGCAGCTCTTGGAGCTGTTGACGCCTCTGTGGCGAGATATGTACTTTCGCAAAGAGGGGTGGTTGGACGCGACCGAGTCTCTCAGTTGGATTTTGCGGAGAGCCGCGGTTGAAGCCGACCAAGCCGATCTCGTGGTTGCTCTCGATTGGGAACTGCTGAATAGTCGTGAGTACCTCTCATGTGTCACTCGAACTCGGCCAAGAATACTGACAACACGCAGGCTATTCCCAGCAACCTAACTGGCACTACGATCTCACGAAGTCCCTGGACAACGTCAAGGTCGACCAACGCCCCGAAATCACCATCAGAGATGAGAATATCACCTCGTTTCTTACCTCTTCCTTCGTATTTAAGCATGACGAAGGGAGAGCAGGTCAAACTTGCCCCGCTCAGCTCGTCATCAAGTCGAATGCGTTCCCCAAAAGTCCCCCAGTCGTCTTGAAGAGCATCCAGGTGGGCTTTGAAGGGAGTGTACGTACATTACACCTCAAGCATGTACCCAACAGTGGCCGAGAGGCTGGCTCCAGAAAGATTATGGTGACTTCTGTGGGCCTCGAGGAGGTCGAGTCTGAGGCGCAAGACTCCGATGCAGAGTCTGAGTCTGGCAATCGGTCGACCCCTTCGGTGATATTGCAAGGCGAGGACAACCTGACGCTATATCCGGGCCAGACTCGAGTCTTCCAAGTCGATGTACCCCTGAGGGAAGCCGGCGAGGCTCAAGCCTCCGAGGTCACCGTAATCGTGGCACCGGAAACGTTCCAGCTTGCCTACAGCATGAAGTTGCGAGAAGACAATGCTATTGGGCTTTGGTATACTACCACTGGAAGAGTGAAAGTTACAAAGATCAACGCTCAGAACATCAAGGTCCTACCGCGGCCGCCAAAGATGGAAGTCAAGTTCATCAATGTGCTCAAACAGTACTATGCAGGAGAGCCGATACACATAGTGGTCGACATCGCCAATGAAGAGGATGTCGACGCACAGACTAAACTTGATGTTCACCTCTACGGACAGGATGTCCCAGCATTCAAGGCCCAAGTCGAAGATGGCGACAGCCAAGCCAGCACGGGAGAAGGCGAGGAGGCGAAGCTGAATGGGCTTGACGCTGGCACCATCGGAACCTCCAAGTCTACAAAGGCCACGGTCATTATCGATCCAATCAACCGACCCACGGCCTACGACCTCACCATAAAGGCATGGTACAACCTGGTTTCGGACCCGGCCACGCCGATTGTACAGATTGTGGCATTCCAGATCAACATTGTCAACCCCTTCGAGGCGAGCTACGATCTGGTGCCGCGACTGCACAGAGAGCCGTGGCCGAGTATCTTTGACCCCGAGGGAATCCAAGCCGTCACCGAGGAGGGGGAGCACGAAGTCCCCTCGCAACCGATGGGCCTGGCTCAGAAATGGTGTCTTGTCACGAAATTCGGTTCCTTCGCGACCGAGGACATCCGAGTGCTGGATCTCGACGTCAAGGTGTTGGAGACCCAAGGAGCCGCCCGCTGCACCGTGTCCAAGAACCAAACGCTGCCCGCGGACGGGTTGACCATGGCGCCAAGGACCATGGAGGAAGCGCGCTTCGATCTGGTCGCGCAGAAACTCAGCCTGGACGACCGCGCCCCGTCAACGGCCGACCTGGCGTTCACCATCAAGTGGCAACGGGCCTCTGGCGACCGCCCTGCCACCGCGACCCCCAACTCGACCACCTTCCTCCTCGACCCCTTCTACGTCACCGTGACCGAGCCGCGCGTCCTGGCCAGCGTGTCGTACAGCCGGACGTCGAGCCCGTCGTCGTCCAAGATCCCCAGCACGGTGTCGTCGTCGTCCAGCGCCGGCGCCGGTGCCGGCCCGCCGCTGATCCTGCTCGACATCACGATCGAGAACCCGTCCAACCACTTCCTGACGTTCGGCCTGGCCATGGAGCCCTCGGAGGGCGGCTTCGCCTTCTCGGGCGCCAAGGCCACGACGCTCAACGTGCTGCCCGTCGCCCGCCGCACCGTCACGTACCGGCTCCTGCCCTTGGTTTCGGGAGGAGCCTGGATCCGCCCCCAGCTCGTCGTCCGCGACAAGTACTTCCAGAAGGTGCTCAAGATCATCCCTACCGAGGGTATGCGCAAGGAGGGCGATGGCTTCGCTATCTGGGTGCCCGATAACGTGGACGAGGACGAGAAGGCGGTCGGAGGGGAAAGGAAAAGGGAAGGTGAAGGGGATGTTAAGGTGGAATCTTCGTAGAGCAGCTGCATCTAGCATCGAGAGGAATGGGACTTGATAGACTGGGGAAACCATCAACGCCGTGTATCGGGCCCGCGAAGTAGATGATGGTCTTTGCGGCAGATTAATCCGAGGTAGCAAGGTGCTGGGAGGCATAGGTCTTTGCATATAAGTCATTCCGTTCATGTAACAATCAGAGACTCGGTGTATCATGAATTCGATTGACTACGAAGACGCTATGTATCATTAACTCGTGCTCAGCTTGGCTTTATCGGGAGTATTATAGCCATGATGGCACACTAGCTCAAGCGCGATTTGGAACATGAGCGCACTCCCGTATATCTCTATAATGGATGGTGTGTATATGTGATGAACCTCGACACAAGCGTGATCATCCCATCTCAGTCCATGCCAGGTCAAAGCTGTGGTCGATGGAGGATCAGGCAGGACAGGTCTCCCTTGCTCAGTCCATGCATCGTTTGACAGCTGGTCTGTGCAGATCTTCTCAAGGAGCGTGGCATGGCCGGGATGCCGTGCGATCATGGCCAAAAGCTTGTTTCACGTTCTGTGCTGGCCTTGGAAGAATGTGCTTAAGCAGTCAATGCTATAGGAGAGCCGGGACTGATTGGCTGGAGGCAAGAAGGGTCAGTTCTGTACGTGATAGCAGTGCCGGCTCTCTTCTTGGATTGCTGGACAGACCGACGGACAAGTGCCGCCCGGTCACAGCATCCATCCATCTCCCAAGTTAACCATAACGCGGTGATAGGACAGGCACAGGTACCGTACAGGAACGATTCGCGGCTGCCTTTGGGCAAGGGTGCGCTAGTCCTAGGCGGGCCAAGGGCGCCGTGGCCGCAGAGGGGAACGCTCGCCCCACGGCTGCCACGAGCGGATTAGCGGCTCAATGGTGTGAGGGGGGCCCCCCTGTGGGAGCAACTAAAAGTGCTAAGCTGTCTGCGCTTCCAGGGGACCAGTCACCAAGCAGCGGGTGCCATCCCCCCCCCCCTTGGCTGGCAAGCTGGCAAGCTGGCAGGCTGGCACTGGGGCCACCCGGGAGACGGCCAAGGGAAGCGCAACTGGCAGCCAATTGCCTGGCCCCATCCCCCATCCCCATCACAATCTCGTTCACCGCCAGGCCGAAAATCCATCAACAACCCCCAAGCCCGAACCTCAAAAGACTCCATCTTTCCACCCTCCCGCCCAAAACACTACCGCTTCACTCCCCATCCACACCACCCTGCACCTCGTCCGTCCTCCCTTCGTTGCTTGCGCAGGCCGAGCACTCCCACGCAAACACCCAGCACCGCATCAGCCAGACACCGAACCACCAAACCCGTCAAGATGCGTGAGATTGTGAGTTGTCCGCCGCCGCCCCCCGACTCCCCTCTATTTACTACCCCTGGACGCGTCCGAACTCAAATGGGCCCCTGATTTCCTGCCCCACCACCCATCCGCGCAGCTCTCGCGAGGAGGGCACGCAACAAACACAGACATCGCGGACCGCTTCAACTGGGCGAGGACCATGGCTAACCGTGTCTTTTTCCATCTCTGCAGGTTCACCTCCAGACCGGTCAATGCGTAAGTAACTCCCGACTCCCACGTCTGCTCGTCGGACAAAAAGCGGGGGCTCACACATAATATCTAGGGTAACCAAATCGGTGCCGCCTTCTGGTATGTGCCTCAACCCACGAATCCCCGGCCGCTGCCGAGCCCGACGACATCAGCGACGTCGAGACTCCCGCGACGGACGAGACGACGCGCTGTTTCGGCCTGGGCTGTATATAAAAAGGGAATCTGGGGAAACAAAACCACTGACAATCATCTTTTACTACAGGCAAAACATCTCTGGCGAGCACGGTCTCGACAGCAACGGTGTGTACGTACACATCTCCCATCCCTTCTCCCCCATCTCAGGAGTACAGCACACTGACCGTCTACTGTCTGCAGCTACAATGGCACCTCCGAGCTCCAGCTTGAGCGCATGAGCGTCTACTTCAACGAGGCCTCGGGCAACAAGTACGTTCCCCGTGCCGTCCTCGTCGATCTCGAGCCCGGTACCATGGACGCCGTCCGTGCCGGTCCCTTCGGCCAGCTCTTCCGCCCCGACAACTTCGTCTTCGGCCAGTCCGGTGCTGGCAACAACTGGGCCAAGGGTCACTACACTGAGGGTGCCGAGCTCGTCGACCAGGTCCTCGACGTCGTCCGCCGCGAGGCCGAGGCCTGCGACTGCCTCCAGGGCTTCCAGATCACCCACTCGCTCGGTGGTGGTACCGGTGCCGGTATGGGTACCTTGTTGATCTCCAAGATCCGCGAGGAGTTCCCCGACCGCATGATGGCCACCTTCTCCGTCGTCCCCTCCCCCAAGGTCTCGGACACCGTCGTCGAGCCCTACAACGCAACCCTGTCCGTCCACCAGCTGGTCGAGAACTCGGACGAGACCTTCTGCATTGACAACGAGGCCCTCTACGACATCTGCATGCGCACCCTCAAGCTGTCCAACCCCTCGTACGGTGACCTGAACCACCTCGTCTCGGCCGTCATGTCGGGCATCACCACCTGCCTGCGTTTCCCCGGCCAGCTCAACTCTGACCTGCGCAAGTTGGCCGTCAACATGGTTCCCTTCCCTCGTCTCCACTTCTTCATGGTCGGCTTCGCCCCCCTGACCGCCCGCGGCTCGCACACCTTCCGTGCCGTCACCGTTCCCGAGTTGACCCAGCAGATGTTCGACCCCAAGAACATGATGGCTGCCTCTGACTTCCGCAACGGTCGCTACCTGACCTGCTCTGCCATCTTGTGAGTTTCTTTTTCTCTCCGCCATCTCCAGAACTCTCTGGGAGGTGCCAACGTGCTAACAAACCCTCTCTTCTACAGCCGTGGTAAGGTCTCCATGAAGGAGGTCGAGGACCAGATGCGCAACGTCCAGAGCAAGAACTCGTCCTACTTCGTCGAGTGGATCCCCAACAACGTGCAGACCGCTCTCTGCTCCATTCCTCCCCGCGGCCTCAAGATGTCGTCTACCTTCGTTGGTAACTCGACCGCCATCCAGGAGCTCTTCAAGCGTGTCGGTGAGCAGTTCACTGCCATGTTCCGTCGCAAGGCTTTCTTGCATTGGTACACTGGTGAGGGTATGGACGAGATGGAGTTCACTGAGGCTGAGTCCAATATGAACGACTTGGTCAGTGAGTACCAGCAGTACCAGGATGCTGGTGTCGATGAGGAGGAGGAGGAGTACGAGGAGGAGGTCCCTCTTGAGGAGGAGTAGACAGCCTCTCATCAGCCTCTGATGCACGTCGAGGATGCTGCAAAAGCTGAGCTCGACTTTGACGGTCTATCCAGCCTCAGCCTGGCCTAGATACCCCCCTCGTACATTCTTGTCTCCCCCAAAACTAATTTCCCCTGATCCTCTTTCTTCGCCTCGACCTTCTACGCAGTGTCTGTCTCTACTCAGGCTAGTCATGACTGAAGGCCCTTTTTTTGAGGTGCTTGTTAGATATACGTCTTTTTGGTGTCGAGTTACGCCACTAAGAACTAAAAAGGGAGGAGACTTTATTCATCGCTAGTAATAGTGACAAGAGAATTGACTTTCTTGTACCAATCATGGCTGTTTGTACGATTTGACCTCTTACCGTGACAAGTGACCATGATCAAATTGCGCTTATTGTGTCGTCAAGGAAACCCAACCCGTTTACAGCAACCCCAATGCCATTGGACTCATCTCGGAATTTATCACATAGTTTGCTGCATCTTGCGAGAAAAGACGTCCAAAGTACAAGAATAGAGTCAAGCACGGGAGGTCCTGTTGATCGTGTTCAAAGTATTGCCAAATAAGTACTATTCCGTAATATCTACTACATGGTCTTCCTATGCGCCGTATCTCCTTCTTGAATACTACGTCTTGTTTCCAACCAACCTATACGCCATGCGCTTCACATTGAGAACACCGTGACGTAAATATCTTTCTTCATCTCAATAACGGCTGCTCCCGCTGCCAGCAACTCACCAATCCATCGCCGGGCCCCCACCGCAACCCCCAGCGCCAGCCGCAGCAGCCATGGCCTGGACGGGCTTGCGCATGGCCAGGTCGCCCATGGGCCGGACGCCGGGCTTCTTGGCCCGGTGGCCGCGGAAGTCGATCTTGCGGTCGAGCTCGGCGAACGGCGCCTCGCCCGCCTCGCCCTTCTTGACCATCCACCGCGCCGTGCCCAGCTCGCGGTCCAGCTCCTCCACCGGCGGCAGCTTGACGTACACCATGCCGTCGTCGCCCGGCCGCTCCTCGACCTCGAACGTCGCGATGCTCAGCTCCCCGTCGTTGCTGCACGCCCCCGACGTCAGGTCGAAGTTGCGCTTGTGATACGGGCACGACACCCACGGGCTCTTGGCGTCGCCGCACGGCTCCTTGGTGGCCGTGGCGGCGGCCGCGGGGGTGCCCTCGCCCGGAGCAGACGACGACGACGGTGTTGGTGACGGTGGCGGAGACGGCGGCGCGTTGGACGGCACGTCTTGCCCGATCAACCCGTCGCTCAGCACAAAAGCCCGCTTGTGCGGACACATCTGCTGCGTGGCGTAGTACTTGCCGCGGACGCGCCAGACGGCGAGCTGCGTGTCGCCGCGCTTGATGTTGGCCGAGATGCCGTTGGGCGTGTCGTCGGCGCCGGCAAAGTACGACGCCTCGATGACGGGCTGCCAGGCCGTCGACGACCAGCGCTGGCGCAGGCCCTTGAAGTCGGCCGCCGCGGGCTCCTTGGCCCAGTAGACGGGGCGCGTCTGGCCGCGGTCCTGCTCGACCTCGACCGTGTCGACGCCCTCGTCCGTGTTGGCGAACTGCCGGAACCGCGCCGCCACGGCCGGGTCGCGCACCGCCTCGGCCCACTCGTCGAAGAAGGAGTCGACCAGCTCCTGCATCTGCGCCTCGAGGCTGGCCGCGAGCCCCAGCCGGTCGCGCAGCACCACGTCCTGCAGGTACGCCAGCCCGCCCGGCAGCGCCTCGAGCCAGCGCGCCGTCCGCTGCAGCTTGTCCGCCGTCCGCATGTAGAACATCAGGTACCGGTCCAGGATCGGCACCACCTCGGCCGGCGGCACATCCTTGGCCAGCAGCTCGGCGTGCCGCGGATTGGCGCCGCCGTTGCCGCCGACGAAGATGTTGAACCCCTTTTCCGTGGCGATGAGCCCGAAGCTGAGAGAGGGGGTGCGGTGTTAGCTTCTGTCCGTCTGTCCGTCTGTATATGTTGTGCCTGGCTCTATGACCAGAAGTAGGAAAACAGGGGGGAATGGGGTGAAAAAGGGGGTAAGCTTACTCCTTGTTTTGCGCCTCGGCACACTCTCGGACACAACCACTGACACCTCCCTTGATCTTGTGCGGGCTACGGATGCTCTTGTAGCGCTCCTCCAGACGCACGGCCATGCCTACACTGTCGCCAATGCCGTACCGGCACCAGGTGGTGCCGACGCAGCTCTTGACGGTGCGCAGCGACTTGGCGTAGGCGTGGCCGCTCTCCATGCCGGCGTCGACGAGCCGGGTCCAGATGGCCAGCAGGTCCTGCTTGCGGGCGCCGAACATGTCGATGCGCTGGCCGCCGGTGATCTTGGTGTAGAGGTTGTAGTCGCGGGCGACCTCGCCGATGACGATGAGCTTGTCCGGGGTGATCTCGCCGGCCGACACGCGCGGCACCACCGAGAAGGTGCCGTTGCGCTGGATGTTGCCCAGGAACCGGTCGTTGGTGTCCTGCAGGCCGTGCGTGTCCCGCGACAGCACGTGCCGGTTCCACAGCGACGCCAGGATGCTGGCCACGGCCGGCTTGCACGCCTCGCACCCGTCCGAGCCCCCGTCGTTGCCCGCCTCGCGCATCACCTCGCCCAGCGTCCGCAGCCGCTTCACCATGATGATGTTGTACAGGTCCGCCCGCGAGTAGCTGAAGTGCGAGCACAGGTAGTTGGTCACCTCGGCGCCCATGTCCGTCATGGTCTTGTTGAAGATGGTCGTCACGAGCGGCATGCAGCCGCCGCAGCCCGTGCCGGCCTTGGTGCACGCCTTGATGTCGCCCAGCGTCTTGCACGTCCCGTCCTTGACCGTGTTGACCACGTCGCCCTTGGTGACGTTGTGGCAGGAGCAGATCTGGGTGTCGTCGTCGAGGTCGGCACCATCGTCGTCGCCATCTTTCTTGGCTCCCAGGATGAGCTGCGCGGGCGGGACTTCCAGTTCCTTCTGGTTCTTCACCAGGGGGACCAGCTTGATGTAGTCGCTGGTATCGCCGATCATCATGCCGCCCAGCAGGTACTTTCCATCAGGCGTAAAGAGATACTTCTTGTAAACTGCCTGAAAGGGGTCCTTGTAAGTGAGTGCTTTGACCGCCGGTGGCGGGAGACCGTTGACAACGGCCTGGACAGCGCTCTGTTCGTCGGTCTTCTTCCTGGCAGCTCGTACCGGCAGGGAGCTTGGTCCGTCACGATCAGCGAAGAAGTCGCCAAAGCTGGCCACATCGACACCCAGGAGCTTGAGTTTTGTGCTCAGATCCGGTCGCTTGAAAACTCTTGGCTTGTGCAACTTGGCCTGTGTGAGGTTGAAGGAGAGAACGTCGGCCATCTCAACACCGGGGGCGATGAGACCAAATGTCTGATTCTTCCAGCTTGCACACTCTCCAATAGCATAGATGTCTGGAATGTTGGTGCTGAGGTCATCGTTAACGATGATGCCGCCTCCGCGGTCAGCGCACTTGATGCCGGCGCTCCTGGCCAGGCTATCCCGCGGCCGGACTCCTATGGCAAAGCAGATAGTTGTGCAGTCCATCTGTTCCCCATCTTCGAATACCACTCCCGCTACGGAGTTGTTCTCGTCCGTGATTATCTTGCCGACACGTTTGCTCAGCAGGATGTCGACGCCCAAATCCGTGACCTTTTCAACGACGAGTCCGCCGGCATCCTGATCGAGTTGCCTGCTGAGAACCCAACGATTCCGCTCGATTAGCTTAATCTTGTCGAAGCACTGCAGGTCCATCATGGCTTTTGCCGCTTCGAGGCCCAGGAGGCCGCCGCCCACTACAGCACCAACTGTGCCTTTTTGAGTTTCGCCATATGCGATCAACTTTTCCAGGTCGTCTATCGTCCGGTAGACAAATACACCTTTGGCATCGTGGCCGGGCGTATGCCTGGGCAGGACGGCATCCGATCCCGTGGCCAGTACCAAGATATCGTAGGAGATTATGTCGCCATTGGAGCACGCCACGTTCTTGTTTTCGGAGTCAATCTTGGTGACCAGTGTGTTCACGTGGTATCCAAGTTTGCTCTCTGGTGCATGGGAAGCATACTGCGAGCCTGAATTAGTGTACGAGTCTGGTATAACAATATGATTTGAAAAGTTGCTTACCCAGTCTTGCGGGTTCAGGTATAGGTTCTCTACTTTGCGGTGGTCGAAAAAGCTCGTGAGGCCGACACGGTTGTAGGCCAGATGCGGCTCCTCGCCGATAACCACTATGTCATACTCCCGACTCCTTGCATCGAGTTTCAGAACCTTTTCTCTGGGGATTGTCAGTGGCAGGCATTCGAATGAAGGCTAAATTTCGACTCACATGAAGGCAATGCCAACCATGCCCAGGCCGACAACCACCAGCTTCTTTCTGGAACCGACCGCCATTGCGGAGTGTGAGGCACAAGGAGGGCAGGCCGTCTACGTCACACGAATCCAGCTCATACGGCTCATGCAGTCATAAGTAATAGACCACGCGACACCGCGATAGGTAACCTTGAAGAAGAAATCGAAGATCTGGGTATCACGAGCGAATGCAAGACAATCAAGATGTGAAGATGGGAAGAAAAACAGCAGAAAAGACGCATTCTCCTGGCTGGTCGTTCGCGCGCCGTCTTTTCGTACCGACTTACATGTCTGGATCTCAGCTCAAGGCCAGAGAATAGCATCTCCGGACTCACAGGCCCTAGGGCAGCTACCAATGATTGTACGGGAATCAAGCCTGACTTACAGCCAGGAACGGGACGAGCCCATTGGCTGCAACGGCTAGCCTTCGGACTTATCTGGGGGAGCATCGGGGAGTTGGCTGGGCTCCCATAGCGGACCCTTCACAGCACGCTGTGGACAATCGCTTGCTGCATCCTGCATTTCCACGGTTCTGGTGTCTGGTCGAAGGGTCGTTCAACTGACAAAGCTGATCCTGATAAGGGGTGGCAGATAGAGGGCAGTTGACCAATCAGGGGCGATACCCCCAACCCCTTGGCGCCCTGGTATCGTGGCACCGCGGAGAAGAGATAACGGCAGTGGGCCGACAAGGGCGTTTCTGGCGCCATGGTCTCGATTGGACTATTTCTGGGAATTTACAAGTTACATCATGGCCGTTTCCCCATTTCTTGTCAATGTTTGAGCTTTTCCGGTCGTCACTTTGGATAAGCTCCATCCTGATCACAGCTGCGTATCCCATGCTTCCCGTGCCCATTCGAGCTAGCACTATCTAGGTACAGTCCAACAGGCTTGGCAGATGCACTTTAGACGTTTGTACTCGTCAACCAAGACGACCAACGGCTTGAGTCATGCGTCGTGAATTGGAAGACGCATGATTGGCTTAACTCTAACTGGGCCAGGGTAATTGATTGAATTCTCAATCCAACATACTGCCCAGTGACATCCAGAAGTATTATGTGGCACAACTTCCCATCATCGAGACCTTGTATGGTAATTGCCAATACGAGGAAATACTGTACTTACGTGATGACCTCAACATCGTACCACGGGGCTTACTGATGCGGAAATACGATTGATATCCAGCAATTTCCGCAATGTTTTCATCTCGTCGAGTGCCATTGATTATGATTGTGTCTGCTATAGAAACAATTCAGATAGTATACACCACACTATGCGATTTCTCCCAGCACCCTAGTCGTTCCTTGTCGCAGGTCTAGCATCAGGGCACAATCAACAGGAGCACTGGAAAGCAAAGCTCAATGTATCCGCTCAACGTCTTTTATGAAAGAACAGCTTTCCACATGTCACTGTCATTCTCAGAAATCTCGGCTACATATTTTTCTGCTTTTTAGCAGTTGCCACAGATGGACAGGCGTAAACGCCTTCTTATGTTTTCTGAATCTTGGCCAAACATTTAATATTTTTGACTAATAATTGATACTACTACACATTTGCCAGACATTCCACAATTCGCAATCGATAAGGATGGCATGCAAACAACTTCAAGCAAATTCGGGCCACTCAGGTTCGTGTGCCATGGCCAAACGTTAGGTGTATAAGAGGTAGCCGTTTTCTCGTATAGCAAATAGACAGGGGCTCGATAGTTGCAGTATCATGCTTATGCTGAGTGGATTCTCAGAAATGGAAGTAACGTATAGGACGAAGAATCGACATGTTAGCAGCAGGCTTGCCCTGTACCATCTTGGGATAGACCATGCCTAGAACTAACATACACTTCTGTCTGGGTTGGCAAAGCCCCTTAACCAATTTCCGAGTTAAGTATACGAACTTGGAAGAGAAGTCATTGACCCCCTGGTGAACCCAATGTGCTCCCCGGCCGTGGACCTCTATACCTGTTCTTTGCGCTCCTGGTGCTTTCCTTGCCTGGATTAACCTTCGAGCCTGGTGAATCTTGCATATGTCACTTCATGCAACCAGAAAGCAAGCGCTCTAAGTTGAGGTTAATTAAAGGCATCCGCCTTGACAGCGCGGCCCGCAACTCTATTTAGATCTCGTCATTCTCACCAAGTCCTTTGGTGCTCCTACATGCCGTCAACTCAACTCTCTGTGAAGAACAGCAGAAAGACATATACACTACCAACTCCTGTCATCACAGCGCACGGGTTGACCAATTCGGCCCTGTTATCGACTCATTCAAGATGTCTGTTCTCATGAAGATGATCACCCTGGCATTGGCAGTCTGTGCCTTCGCCCTCGATATCTCTTACGGTAGCTCGACGGCCACCGTTGTCACTACTATGACGACTGTCATAGAGACCAGCCCGTCCGTTTATTCCTCGACACTAGCTTCCCCCACCATCAGTCGCCGTTCTGCGCCAACCATTGGTGAGGCTATCTGCGGCGCCCTCGACACGGCCTGCCCTCATGGCAATATGTTTGCCGCGGTCATTCCTACGCCCCCGCCTCTAATGACTATTAGCATTGTGAACCAGGCAGGAGCGCCAATCTCTACTCTGCACGCAAGTAATGTTGGTGGGCCTAGTATTGTCTCTGGGATTAATACGACTATTGGTACTATGGCTGCCGGTGCCACAGCTGCGATCGCGGTTCCTACTGGTGTATGTTATTGATTGGATCTTTCTTTTGGAAGTTCTTCAAAGAACCGAAAATGGCTAACGTGAGGTTACAGTGGGCAGGAAATATACAGATCGGGCTTGTGAGTCTAGAGGGCTCGATTTGACCAAGCATTTGTGAGATTAACTTTCATTGTCTCCAGGCCAAGCACAAGCTCACTGGCGACGTCTCGCAAATCGAGGCGAACTTCGTTATTCCACCGGACAATGGCATCACGCACTATACGTTTGCGGTGCCTGATATCGATGTATCCTACGTGTAAGATGTCATTCTTGTCACGCGTCGTCAACATCAAGAATTACTAACCATAGGTTTCCTCTCACAGCAACGGCTATTCGCTCTCGATGACTTGCAGCTGTAATGGGGTCCGGGTCACAGGATGTACCAAAGACTTGTTTGCTTTGAACAAATGTCCTGTAAGTCTGATTCTTGCCTCGAATCCGTGCACAACTCTGACTCCAGTGGCTAACCATATTCACTTCACAGAACCATAACGGTCAAGGAGCTTGTGCGAATCCCACTCGCCCCTTCTTAGACGTCAAGGTGCCTACTGCTTTCTTCGCTCCTTGTGTCGGCGAGGCTTACACCTTCCCTGACGACGGGAAGGCAAACAGCTTCGGTGAATGCCAAAATGGCACAATTACCTGCTGTGTGGGCAACAAATGTCCGTAAGACTTGATTGGAAGTTCTGTGAAGACTCTGGCTATTCGGTGATCGGCGTTGACATTTGAGTGCTGGGTTGGATTGGCGTGACAGGTGATTAGTTAGAGCAATCCTACTTTTGACAGCTTAAAGCTAGCAAGATGTCATCTTGATGCCTGATACCCCGTCGCTCAGTATTGTCGTCGTTCAGCGTTCTCTTAGCAATCTTCTTCTTACAAACATCCAAGTTCTCAGTCGAGGCCGCCCAGATAATTAAGGCTCTTTATGCACAAGGTACAAAAGACGGAAGACAGTATCCAAGAAAGCAGCAAAGGCAGTATCGGGAGTCGACAGGTACTACCAACCGATAGACGGGAATACATATCAAAGTGCAGTAGTGTCTACATCTACTCTCCAGATCTGAAGTATGTTCCTCAAAAGGCCACATAGCTAACGCAGCCATGAACTCGCGTTATTCCTTGCTATAAAGTCTATCTATGACTCTTACCGCTCGCGTACGAAGGAGAAGGAGCGTCCCTGTCCCAGCCCTTGGCTCCCCCGCCCGAGTCACTCTTAGTATTGTGGACAACGACAGGCTGAGAACTTCTTTTCTCTCCTTGCCGCGCCGGAGGCGGCGTTGCGCTCTCGCCCGCCTGGACCCATTCCTTGCTGCCGGATTGCTTACCGCCAGACGACGACGACTTGCTTTCCTTACCCATACTTTGATTATATTGCTTATCCAGATCTATTGAAGATGCTCGTCAATCAGTTTGATTACAAGAAAAACCAAGCAGATGCATATTGCATATTGGAAGGCAATGCTTAAGTATATTCGGAGAGCGAGTGATTCAGACGTAACATCACGATGCCCATCATATAGTCAGCGGATGTCGTGACAACAAATTCCTGGACGGAGGAGCGACGTATTTTGGTATGAATCATTGAACTCGATATGGCTAGATGAACAACAATCACCTTTGGGTTAAAAAGTGACCAAAACTGATATTGGCTGCAAGTGCTACAGATCCGACGGCGGCCTGGTGATCTTGGTTAAGTGATCACCGTTCAGTTGAAAAACTTCCCGATGTCTTCGTGAGAATGGTCCTTCTCGTTCCACATGTCCTTGTGGTACTTGACCTTCCCTTGCTGGTCCAGCGACAGGCTGACCAGTGAGTTGACGACGTTCGACAGGTTCACAGCCCTGGCTGTGTATCTCTGTTGAAGCTTGAACACGATCTGGCCTAGGTCTGTGTCCGAGGGGCTTAGGATTTCTGTTTTCAGGCTCTCGGACTTGAAAATCTTGGGGATGCCTGCCATCCCATCAGTAACAGCCCGGGTTAAATTTCGTGAGATCTTCACCGTGCATACCGTACCACTGCCCGGCATTCTTGTATCGAGTATCGCAGTAGCTCCAGGGGCCATCGGAGATAGCTTCTTCAGCGTACGCCTACATGTCGTCCTTGCTCGCGCTGCCGCTATAGAGGCTGCAAATCCGCTTGACTATGTTCTCCTTCTCGGGCGAGACGTATACGGAGCGCTCCGGATGCGGCTCATAGTCCACTCCTGTTTTGGAGTTCTTGGACTGGTCCCGGTGTCCCGTCAGAGCTTGGGGGTCGGGGTGCGGCTCGTAAGTTTTCTCGATATTCTCTCCAACAGCATGATCATTAGAAGACATGGCGATGGATATAGACTCAAAAGAACACTGGACACTCTGCAAGCGATACGAAATGTCTTATTTCTTTCATCTGTCCCTTAACCAGTCTGACGCCATCGTGATTTTCTTAGACGCAGCTACGCAATCTCCAGGTTCCGTCTGCCTTCGTCGCATGTATATTGTCTCGTCTTGATTTGTGCACAACATGGTCGGCGCTATAAGAGTATACAATATTGGCATTTCGCTCATATCCTGAAAGGGCCAATTTTGGTACATCCCGTCGTCGGCGAGGATGATTACAAGGCCACCAGCGGCAGGCGGGACTAGAGAGAATACCCAGGCAGGACGGCCAGCGACTTGCGACTGTGTAAGAATCTCCCAGCAAGAAAGATGAGACCATACTATTGGCACATGCTATCACTGCCGATGGTTGCTGGCGTAAGCAACTGCGATATGCGCGACGTCAAAAGTTTGTAAGCGGGCATTCAGAGCCAAGAGCAACGCCGGTCGGGCCCCGTCTGATGTGTGTGTGACAGTGACTAAGATCCCGGTGTGGATCCCGTCCCATCCGCACCGTCGCATCTGCGGCCATCGTGATCTACTCGTGACACGACGACCCAGAGAACGATGGGAGAGGGGGAAACCATAAACCGACAGAAGTGCCGGGGCGACAGAAAGGCTCCGGCAATCCGTGGTATAAGACGACCCCAGGATGGAGTTGGTTTAGCCAACGCCCGTACCGAGTTAGCACATAGCACAGTCAGGGGGCGCGGGATGATCCTCACGCCCCTCCCCAGCTTTCGGGACCCCTCCTCGCTCGTCCCCCACATTTCCGGTCCAGCGTCCCTGCATACTCGGGCAAGGGGTGGGAAGCCGGACGTCAGAGTCACTAACACTCCACCTGATGAACCGGGCGACCATAAACGACACGGGCATTTGGTACAAGTGGACGAGGGAAGATCATATTCTTTTTTCTAATAAACGCTGCTCTTTTTCCTTCTTCGATCGTAGACATACAGGTCTTCTCCCTTTCCACGAGCCTGATAGAGTACTGATACCCCCCCGCCTCCTCTCCCAACAACGACATCTCTATCCGCCACAATGCCAGACCAGACGCTCAAGGACAAGGTCGCCATCATCACGGGCTCCAGCACGGGCATCGGGGCCGCCATTGCGCGGGAGCTCGCGTCGCGGGGCGCCAGCGTGGTGATCAACTACCCGTTCCCGGACCTGCGCAGCGCGGGCGAGACGGTGGTGGCGTCGCTGGCGACGGCGGCGACCTCGATCGCCGTCGAGGCGGACCTGGGCACCGAGACGGGCCCGCAGGGGCTGGTGGACGCGGCCGTCGCCCGGTACGGCCACGTCGACATCCTGGTCAACAACGCCGCCCTGGCCATCAACAAGCAGTTCTCGGAGCAGACGCTGGCCGACTGGAACCTGCTGGTCAACCTCAACGCGCGCGGCGTGTTCCTGCTGACGCAGGCGGTGCTGCCGCACCTGCCGGCCCAGGGCGGCCGCATCGTCAACATCTGCTCCATCTCGGCGCGGGCGGCGCCGGCGCTGCAGACCATCTACGCGGGGACCAAGGGCATGGTGGACAGCTTCACGCGGTGCTGGGCCAAGGAGCTGCCGCCCAAGTACAAGTGCACCGTCAACGCGGTGTCGCCGGGGCCGACCATGACCGAGGGCTTCGCGGGCGCGGGCGACGAGTTCATGAAGGCCATGAAGCCCGCCATGGACCAGACGCCCGTGGACGGGCGCATGGCCAAGCCCGAGGAGATCGCCTTCGCCGTCGGCTTCCTGGCCGAGCCCCGCGCCAGCTGGATCAACGGCCTGCACCTGATCGCCAGCGGTGGCTTGCTCATTGACTAAGTTAGACCGGACCAAAGAGAGAGAGTGTTTGTTGTTTGTGGACGGGCCGACGGAACGGCCCCCGGCTTGCTCGGGGGACGAAAAGAAAGAAGCATCAGCCGTTGGCGTTAGGCTGTTTCTGGGAAGCCGAGAGCACGGGGTGTGTTTCATCACATGCCCCCTATAACTGCTTGCCCTGAAGTTATATAGCCATAGTCCGCTTACATGATGCAAAGCAAATATAAAAAAAGCATGTTCAAAAAGGTTTCGAGTCCCAAGGCTTTGTCAGGAACCTTTAAGTCTATGTGTTTCACTCGCATTAAATATCATCGACTTCCCTTCCCTAACGAGCCAGTTGGCCGTGGCTGCTGAAACCCTTGCCCAGCATCTTGACACCGCGCCTGTTTCCCAGAAAACGTTCCCCATTTTCTACCTAGATGTCTCCGCGATCAGGGTCTCTCAGGTCTAAGTCCGATAGGAAGAAGGTGAAGAATAGGGCATGCAGCTCAGGCGCAGAAAAAATGAGTGGCGGATTTTGGTATGTAGGCCGGCTTGAGGCCATCTGATGCATGTATTTTGGTCTATTTACTTATACACCTCCCAATCATGCTGCTGATGAAGATCAATGCGTCTCGGAGACATGTCCAAGGCGTTTGCGCAAGGGATTGGTTCTCGAAACCCAGTCGCGCTCGTCCTCTTGCAATCTTGTTTGTTGCTTCTGATGATCACACCCGTACGTGACTTGAACCAGACCACCAAACCAGATCATTCCCCTGCTTGCCAGGCCGCGCCATGATATGAATCGATTTGGATGTCGATTCTTGCTGCGACCCTGAGCCGTTGCTGCCCATTGGTTTGTTGAGCTGAGTGGGAGAAATGTGTCAAAAGTCCTGGGTATCATGACCACCAAAGCTCGCTCCTTTCCATCCCATGCAATTCTTAAAAAATAAAAAATGGTTAATTGTCACAATGAACCATGGGGCTCATCTCCAAGTGATTCCGCCAGAACGCCGCCGGTCTGCACCGACATCGCGTGTACCAAAGCCCCCATAAATATATAGCAGGGACCTTGGAAATATTTCTCCGTCTCGATCAAGCCACACGGCTCGGGGGTATTGCCGCGGGGCATTCGACGTTGTGACATTGAAGTTCACAGTGAGAAGCCCAGGACTGTCGAGCTGCCCCAACGCGTTACAGCGAAAGGCGCAACGGCGCAGATCGCGGGCGCCGAGATTTGTGAGGAAGGCTCAGCCAATAATGACTCTAGCTCCTTCTTTCCCCAGGACTCCCCTCTCCTTTGGTTTCGGGCTATGGCCGCGACCCTTCTTGCGTCCGAACAGACCGAACACACCACTGCTGGAGCCTCCCGACTTGTCGTCGTTCGTGGCGTTGGCATCGGTGGGCAAGGTCGCATCCTGGCGTGCTAATTGCGACCAGCTGCCGGCAGCGTCGATCGTTACTTGCACACCGCCGGTGGGAGATTCCACCCTCATGCCCGAAGGTTGCGTACTGCGACTCGTGTACGACGTGGGGTAAGGCGGGAGAGGCGCAGGCCGGCCAGGGACTCCTCGACCCTGTCGTTCATGATGAGCCTGTTCGCTTGACATGTGCCTCTGCACTGGCTCCGGCCTGTAGATGCCGACGTTGCCGTTCGCCGACTGTGCCTGGACGGCCGTGTTCACGCTCATAGCCTGGCCGTGAGTGGAGCCGTCTACATGGCCTGGCCCGTGAGACCCGTCGGAATTCTGCATCGCAGTGATCCTACTTGATGTTAGCACAAGGCAGATCTGGGCAGTAGAAGTGCTGCCTACTTGTTGTACGCAGCCACAGTGTAGTCAAAGGGCTGGAAATCGCGCTCGATGGATTTGTAGAGCTCCTCCTCGCGGATCTCCTTCTCCGTCGCATCGTCCTTGAGCTTCTCCCGCGGCTTCTGTCTCCGTGCCCGCGCCTCCAGAGGGGCCTCTTCTAATAACAGCTCTTCCAAGTCATAAGTGGCGTCGAAATTCGTCTTATCGGCGGATGGCACGAACACAGGCTCAAGCTCCTTCCTGAGCAGGGCGTCGAAGTTGATGACTCTGAAAAACTCGTGGTCTGTGAAGCTGGCCCATGTCGAGCCCATGCGGGTCTTGGGATTGGGGTCTAGGGCTTTCTGGATGGCGTAGAGACAGGGCAGCCCGACGGGAGGAGAAGTTATGGGAAACTTGGGGTTAGCAGCAGTGATTACATTAGATAGGCTCGATTCCGAGTTGCCCTCGAATGGCCGCTATAGAAGAAAAAAATCCGCGTCAGCCTTGAAACGACGATAGGTGCAGCAGTATTGAAGCGTACCTTGTTGTAAATGCATTCATAGAACAGAACGCCTAGCGACCACCAATCGGCTGTTACTGTGTAGCCTTTGCCGCTGTATACCTCAGGGGCGAGGTAGGCTAGGGTTCCAGACTTGCTAGTCAGAACTTTGCCTGGAATGACATCTGAAGCGACGTTCTGGATAAGAAGTATTAGAGTCGGTTCAATACTTTGGGAGGTCAGGATGGGAGATGGCGGCTCACAAAGTCTGTCAAGTGAACATGGCCGTCGGCATCCAGCAGGACATTATCGGGCTTTACGTCTCGGTGGATGATGCCCTGCTCATGTATGTACTTGAGGGCGCAACCCAGCTCTGCAATCCAGAAGCGGACGGCCTCTTCTGTGAATGTCTTTCTCGAGATGTGGAATCGAAGGTCACCGCCGGTCATCAGGTCGACCACTAGATACCTGTTCGTCTCAGGGGTCAGCACCGGTTGCAGCATGTCTGTAGGGGATCGATTGTGGCTTCGACGCACATGTACTCAATGTCTTGGAAGCTGTAACGCAAGTTACATATGAAAGGGTGATTCACATGCTCGAGCATGCGCCGTTCTCGTATGATGTTCCGCACGCTTTCTGACCGGACGACTATAGGTGGGCAATTGTGTGAGCATGGAGACGAAGGTATCCCCTTTTCCTCCGGGGGGGGCAGGCTGTGGCTACGCACCTTCATCCTTCCGTATGTATTTGAGGGCAAACGACAGACTCGTGTCTTTTCTCTCGACGATTCGGACCTTGCCAAAGGCTCCGCGGCCCACGACCCGAAGCAGGCGGAAGTGGTTGAGGTTCACTGCGGGCGCGTTTCGTTAGTCGGGTGGGTTGGATGACGGGGGAGAGCATCAATTGCTCTGGTCATGGCCACATGAGATGGGGAGCTGCAGGTTCCAAGGGAGGGCGGGCAGAGCAGACCAGAGCAGGGTAGAGGTAGGGCAGAGGTGCTGTGATAGTTTTCGAGATTCGGCTTACCTTCGCCGTTGAGGTCAACGGGTTTGCCCTGGCTGTTGCCCATAGCTACAGGACAGGATATGTGGTGTGGTCGTCACGACGGCCGTGGGGAGGATGGAGTCTGACGATGGCCAGTTTGACGATGGGGGGGAAGAACCGGTATGCCTTTTAGGAGGGAGGGTGTGCCGTGTTGATGGTGCCTCGATGACCCGTGGACGCTGGACAGGCTGGACAGGCTGGACAGGCTGGACGAGACCGAACTTCGAAGACCGAAGACCAGACACAGACAGGAGGGGCAGGCAGGAAGATGGAATCGGCGACGGCGACGGCGAGTCGGTCAGGTGAAAGGAGGCAAAAGGAGCAGTCCCCCGTAGTTTAGATATCTACCTCACAGTAGCTTAGCGGCGCCCTTTTGCTGGATCTCTCTGCTGGGCTGGCCGGGCTGGCTCTTGCTCCCTTCTGGCAATTCTGGAACAGGTATGGGGCCTTTGGGGCCTCTGGCGCCTCTGGGGCCCTTCCTCTCTCTCTCTTGACAAAAGGATCGGCGGCTGAGGGTGACGGAGGAATTGCGCTTTTGCACCGTAGCGCCTCTGCCCAGGTGGGGACGCTAGCCTGCCTAACTAAACTGTAGTGTTGGTGCATACCACAGTACCTTGAGTACTATCCAATGCGTGTACAGCAGCCCAGCAGCCCGGCAGTACAGCAGCAGGCCCCTCCCCCCAGGCTGGGCTCCAGGGGCTCCAGGGCTCTGGCTGGCTGTGGACATCTACCGCCCAGCACCCGTGACTGCACTGGCAGAGGCATCCTGGATCCGATTGTGATCCTATTGTCGAAGGGCTGTGGCCATTTGCCCATCCCATCCTTACATCCATTCCTTACTGGACCCTACTGGACGAGTTACACCTCTCCTCCCGAAACCACACACTGCCGTCCCCCATGTCACCTCCCCCCCGGATGCACCGTCAGACTGCCGTTACAGGGCCCTGTCACGCTCTGCAAAAGGCTGGGCCGTCAGGCTGGCTGGCCCGCTTCAAACTCCTTCTCGGGCTTTGCTCTGCAACCTGTGATGCTTTCTGGGCATATGCAATGCCAGAGTCTACTGCGCTGCATCTGTCAACCTCCCGCAGACGAGTCCACCGTCTCGTGCGATCAGGCCAAAAAGAATGGGAGGAGGCGCCCCCAAGCTCCAGAAGCCCATACCCCGATTCCCCGTCTGAAACAGAATAAGAAAACACTCCCGGGTGTTGTATACCTCGCTTGTGATGGCTATATCTGCTGAGCCATCAAGGCAGATATCACGGATTGCGCCTGCGCCGCTTCCACCAAAGGCGCTCTATATAGGTCAGGCTTGCGAGCAATGCAGACGACCACAAATCCACTACTATAGACCCCCTGCTCAGATACATCCCTCATTGGCACCTCTCCGTGCTTAAGTCGGGAATACCAAATCTGCTGCTCTGTCGTCGGCTTCTGCTTTGACGCTCTACTATGTACTAACTACAATACCTAGGTGGTTAGGCCGTGCCATACCCATCCCCTTCAGCCTCAGGTGGGGATGTACGTCAAGAACCTGGCTCCCGCCTGGGTCTCGCACAAATGACGATTCGCGGACGACCTCCAGAGACGGGCTCCAGCAGAACCGGCAGGCATGTGCTTATGTGCTCCACTGCCGTCTGTCGGGCGTGGATGCCGCCTGGAAAACACGTCGTTTTGTCCCGGCCTCGATGGCATCTTGGAGTAACAAGCAGGACAAGGGTCCTATCTACACGTAGCTTGCCATACGTTGCAGTCCCTCGATTAGCAACGCATGGTAGCGTCGTAACAATCGGCAACCCCATATCTGTAAGGGACCCCTTGTGTTGGATACGTTATGGAGAGAGTGCCCGATCCCTGGGCGGCTGCTTGGTCTGTATGTATGTCCTCGTGGGGTTGCGAACAAGCATCGGAGCATGCATGCCAGATTCGGCCTAACGTGAGCACATCGTGCTGCGAGGCTTGTCGCCCGTCCGCGAGTCACTCGGGTCCGCACGCTCGCCGGTTTCAACTCGGGCGGCGGCCGTGGCGGCAGAGCCTGTTAGTAGATGGTTGACAGCCGTTGGTCTCGTTGGCTAACCCGCACGACTTCCGAGGTGGGCGGTTCGTTACGACGGGCACTGAGACGGGCCTCACGACTCACGAGGCCCGTCGACAGCACCGAGACAGTGGGCGGGATCTTCAGCTCATCAAGGGGACTGCGGGAGCTTGTGCAAGTCAACCTAGAGCTGGTGGAGAAGTCTTCTGACCTGGGAAGGGACCCCTTGGAGTCCAGCAGGCCGATCGCCCTCGTCCCCAGACGTTGTCACTCACAGCTTCGTGGATCAGCGCCGTTGCTTGCTTCGAATCATCCGAACGTGGTACTCCATCCAGTCTGTCCTATCTGCCCGCGGGCTGGCTTACCATAGTATAGCCACCAAGTCCGAGAACCTGCCGTGCACTGGCACACACATCCACCGGACCGGAAATAGACCAACCCCAATTTTGTATCTTCACATGGGAGGACTCTCGTAGATTTTCATGTTGGCGCCGTTGAGTCTCGGAGTGGCGTATTATGGATTGGAATCTGAGTCAGGGAACACGGGCTAGCAGCGACCCTTGGGGAAAGGGCCCCGTCGGTAGGCACTTGTTGCACGGTGACTTCAATACCAAGTCAGCCAAACAAAATTATCTGTTCACATGAGTGCTGCGAGACGCCTGAGCAAAGTCCAATCAAGCCCGACGATATCTACGTTACGGGGCATTCCCTCGAGCGATATCCGATTGTTGGTGGAAAGCTGCCCCCGGCCCAGCAAGAGTCATGTGGCAGGGACATCAAAAAGCAGGGCGGTGGATGCAGATGAGAGATCCGTTCAGGACCTCGACTTGCATTGCATCAAACTTGTTGACAGAACAAAAATCGTCAAGCGTGGCATGCGAGAGCCGTGCTGCAAGAGAGATTAACAAACGGGCAAAAAGTGCCGGTCGTGCGCGTGGATGACCTGAGCCCAGGCCCTCTGCTGCAAGTCTAGCTGAAGCCACGGAGATGCACGCCCGCGTTGGTGGGATCGCAAGCTGCATCACCCTAGCGTGCCTCGTGGCCCAGCACGTGCGGGCTGGCTCATGGCTGGCTCATGGCTGGCTCATGGCTGGCTCATGGCTTTCGCGTGGCACTCGAGGAACGAAGGAAGAAAGGCTCTGTGATAACGTTACCAACAGTTGGCCAAAAGTGCCACAGCCGCTCCCTGAGACATCTGGCATCCAATCAACGGGAGCCAACGCCAGCCAGCGCCAGCCACCATGTATACAGCAAGACAATACTACTAATCATTCGTCTATAGTTCTCGATGGATATACCCAACTGCCCAGCGCATGCTCCCCTCTCCCACGGGGCGCCCGCCGAAGTGTATAAGTCCCCTGATTGGCCGCACACCTAGGCACCTAGGTACAGTACTTTGGTATGCCTTTCTCTTACTTACCTTTGAGATGCGATGCAATGCAATTTGGTGGCCTCCAACCAGACCACGGTGCGGAATATATGGCATGGGTAGGCACAGCCCTATCGAGGACGGCTGACATATGACGAGAGATCTCGCTACTATTCCTTCAATCCAACTGCCTGATGCGGGTTGCCCATCTCGTCGTAGGCTCAACATCCTTGCCGCTGACCACGTGCAGAGGAGCATTTCTCGATCCTGGCTGGCATCGGTTTCAGGTTCCACGAGCAACAGTCAGTGGCATCCGTCATTCGCCTTCCTTCACACCCTCCTTATTTTCGCCATGCACGGGTCGATTGTCCAAGAATATCTGCTTCCCTTCCCTCAGGAGTCCAGACTTGCAAGACATGATTACGGGCCACACCACGCGACATGAGACCACAGTGGACGGCCGTCTACTACGTGCATTGAACATGCAGCACCATCCGTCACCTTTACCAGTTGACTCTTTAGCGGCCGTGGTGGCTTTCAGGCGTTCAAAAGCTTGGCCTGCGCGTCATGAATTATAGGCTTTTTCAGCCTCGGGAATATTCGTCTAGTCTCGGTGATTACCGCCTCGTCCAGTGTTCTATTGTAGGGGCAGAAGGGCGGGATGCCATCACAGGTGCACAAGTCTCCGCGGGGGACACATCTGGGAGCACCGCCTTCGCGACTCATGCGTTGCTGGAATGACGTTGTCCTGCGCCGGACCCAGACTCTGCCAAAAGGGACACTGTACCACCTGGATGCGAACCCCATACGATGCGTGCGCAGACGCCAGCTTGCAGGATTGAAAATTACCCAGGACTGACTGACCTGACAAAACGCAGCACTGTAAGACGACGCAGGAGGCCGGCGCAGTTGGGCCTGAGAAACACGGAAACGTGGGAAACGTGGGTTCTTGCGGCGCCTCTGGCCTATCAACCAGAGACATTCATATGCAGCCGCGATTTGCTTCCCATCATTCCTACGTACGTACGACCACGGCACGGCTCCCCGCAACCTCGTCTAAGGCTTGGCCCCCGTTTCGCGGCCCTTCCTTCTAGATGCAGCGTTCTGGAACATTTCCATCTTCGGCTAAGATCCTGCGGGCGTCGACTGCATGAGCTGAGCTGCTGCTGCTGCTGCTGAGCGTCATCATCAGAACACGCTGTGGTGTAATGCAAATGCCAGCAGGCTTCTTGTTTCGCGAAACCAATCGCAACCAGGGGGGGGCCAGGCCCCTGGTAGTCCCAACATACATACCTACTGTGCCTACTGTAACTTACTGTAGGGATCCTAAGGGGAACCGGGGCGACCCTCGATAACGCTATTCCAAGAAAGCGTCCAACTAATTGTCGATCAACCAACGTCAAGCTGCACCAGCTCTGCCAGCGAACGAGTTACGAAGGTCAGATTTCTCAAACCTGGGACGGAGTCCCCGATAGCGCCCCAGGTTGGCCCGTGCCGTCATCCCAGAATCCAAATTAAGAGGCTCCACCCGAGGTTTCTCATTCTCTGGAGCTCGTCACAAGATGTGTCGCGTTTGTCTGGCCGGTCTGCTTTCAGTCGAAATGGCCTTACGGGCTGCACCGCCGATACTCCCAATCCTCGCATAGTCGAAACTGCACCAGCCCCCCTCCCGGCCTGCCATCGCTGGCGACCTGCGCTGTCACCGCAGTGACTATGCCTTCCTCTTCCTGTCCCCCCGAAAAGGCATTGTAGCTTGCGTGGCGCCGCCAAAGTCATGCCTTTTCCGTCGTGTCCAATGTCACTCCCTAGCACCAGTATGCGTTGCTGGCTGACTTGAGTGGCACGGAGATCCCCCCGGCTCCTGCTACCCTTGCTCGGTGGGGACCGAGCTATTCTCTATTGCCTTAGTAATCTATCCAAACTGCGTATACAGCCGCAGATTAATTAGAGCTCCTCCAGCTTCGGAGTACCATAGTAGGGCAACTGACCTGGAATTAGATACGCCATTTCACAAGACGAGATTAGGTTCTGGATGACTCACCTTGGCGGCGGGATCCTTCGTATGTTGTTGTGGCCATTCAAGCCGCTTCCTCCGAAGCAATACGAGTTCAGCAGCGATACCTGAGAGCTCCATACATTATTGCTAAGGCTTAAGTGGCCTAAACCATGAATGAAAGCCCTACAAAATTTTAAAGGCGATCAAGTCCCATCAATTCCCCCGGTGTGACAAGTTGAGGGTGGGTTGATTTCAGTGTAGTATTCCGCTCTCGTCGAAACGCGGGCTCTTATCAGGACAACAACATGCGATTGGCCATGGGAGGGTCTGCTGTGATAAACACTCATGAAGTACGTCAAGAGCTCCGGTCTGCCTTGGGCAGCGGTGTCGTGGACATACTTGGATCACGAATACAGTTGGATAAACATTTGTCCTTGCTTGGGGCTGCCCTTGAGGCCACGCGTTGCGCACGCATACCGTGATACCACCTCTAAGTATTGCAGGCGTTTAGATTAGTCATACAGCCAACGTACAACACAAATGCAGAGATCGGGTGATAAGCGTTGCGTCATGAAGCCCTGGTCGACCTCTTCCGCAGGGGCTGTAACTCCTGTCCAGTTGTCATGAGTATCTCCGACGTCTGTGGGCTCCCATCTGTACATGAAAGAGGCATTCCAGGAGGATCTCCTCCAAAGTCACAGTCGTGAAACCGGGATGGCGGTGGTACTTTGCCACTGTGGCGATAGGGCCCTCCTTGGTATACGACCTGGCTCAGCACAACCGTCTCCGCAGCATACCATCGGAACCTGTGTCGTAAAGCTCTCCCGGGGGACTATTTGCGGCAATAGCTCCCACAGGTGTCCACAATGTGAAGATGACGCCTGCAGCGATGTACATACAAGAGCTAGCACGCGTGCCTGTAGGGCTACAATGGCTAAATAGCGTATCAGATGACCACTGTTGAGTTTGCTATGCTCCAATCTGTATAGTGACGCAACGCGTTTGACCTGCCCGGCGTGTTGATTGAATACGTGCTATCACAGGACTCCAAGAATGTTATCAATGGGACGATAGCTATTACAGCGAATCAGTATACAGTCGGGACTTCACGTCATTGTGAAGTTGCCATCCAACCGCTTCAGGGTTTCCGTATCAGAATTTGGATCACATATGAAATATCAAAACTGTACATTGTGAAGCCTAAGAGGATTAGACTCCGGCAACGTGATTCGCCCCATGGAGAGAGTGGGAAAATGAGAGTACGTCGACAGCAGTCATCATCCATGGTCAGCGACCCTCAATTACCGTCAGTGTTGCCTTCACACGCCACAACGGGGGAGGTCAACAAAGCCCAAGCAGCCAAAGGTCGGACCACAGCAAGGCGTTCGCGTGCTATACCATCACTTTCTCAAGACTATGCATACCCTTGCCGATCGATAACAACAGATGGTCACAGCCAGAAACGAGGCCCTCGCCCAGCCAGTGCTGGTGAGTATAGACGTACACAATCCCCATTCCCACGACAATACACGCGATGGGTGCATATGCTGCCGCAGTGGTCTCCCATACGTGGGATACGATGCCACCAACATGGTGGCACATCCATCTGCAGACTGGGTCAGCGACACGCCACAGTAGGTTGTAAACAAAGGGCCAAACAAGATAGATGGGGGCAATGATTGGTATGGCTGCAATAAGGCATCTCATGCAGCCGCTGTCTGGCGCATGGTATTTCGATTCATCTCCTCATTGTGCTGTTTCGTGCACCGTCTGTCTCGAATTGAAACTCAGTGTGTTACCCTTGACTGCCAATGGTGTTTCCTAGTCGATTATGCTCACATCAGCAAAAACACAAGGTGCTGAAAGAAAAGGCGAGCCAGGAACGAGCAATTTCTTCTGTTTGATAGTTGCCGTAATAATAAAAAAACGCGTCGATTGTGAAAGAACGAACAGTGATTCAAGACTATGCAAAAAGGAAAAAAAGGGAGAGGTGCCTACTACCGTTGTATTCGAACCGTCGCCGATGAGAAAGGGCAAAAAGAAGAGAGTCGTAAACTGACTCATGACCACCGGGGCACGAGCACCTTTCCCATGGTCATGAATCAATTTACATTTGGCTGTCGTTTAACGGACAATAAGAGGCCTCTGGGTGGTTGGCATAGGGAGGGTATACGTCGGTTGATGCCTGGCACCGGCGGCGAGGGTGAATGTGAGGAGGACCAGGCCGCCGGTGCAAGACGGCACCCCATTGTTTACTCGGTTTCTGGGACCTGCTATGGCGACGCACTCATAATACGCTGGTTATCTGGTACACTTGCGTATGAGCCACGGCCAAGCCGACAATTCGGCACTCCACGGCCCTCAGCTGGTCACTATCACGCGGCATAGCTCGGTCAGTCCGGCTCCCAGGACAGGGAGAAAATTCCAGAACCGTGAAATTTCCGTCTTGACTGATAGTTTGGTCTCTTTCAGCTGTCTTGCGTTAGATGTCTGACCTTGGCCCTTTAATGCTCTGAGATACTAGTATGAAGACAAAGGAAGACGCTGATTAGAACCACACGTTATAACGGCGATGGCAACATTACCATGAAAGCAGGAACCACACTTCTGGTTATCGCTACTCGTACGACACATCTTGTGGGCACTATACTTGGCCACGATTTATCTGGGAACTCATGAAGCCGTTTGATCCATTGCGCCTTCGATTAGGGTAATTAGATGGTTGGGATGAGGTGATGGAACCTGACAAATAAAGCTCTCGCCTCACAACCTGGAGCCGAATACTCAGTGATGATAGGGTATTGATTCTTATTTATTATCATGATATTGCCTCTATCTTTACAATGCAATGCCCAATCCTTCTGAGATGGCATGTCTACCTTTTTTGAATGAACTGCACAACGCCTGTACGCCGGGCCCGATGTAACACTCCTATGCTTCAACGCTCGTAGGTGTTCCATACCCTGAGTCCTTCTTTTCATGCTTAGACTTCGCTGGCTTGACGTCAGGCACCTCGACAGGCTTCTTCGTCGCCGCGCTCTTCTTTTTGGCATCCTCGGCCTCGGACTCATCAGACGAGGAGTCAGAAGACGCGTCCGAATCCGAGCCCGATCTGGGCCTCTTCGACTCGTCCCGCTTCTTCTTGCGCTCTTCCCTCTTGGCCTTGCGCTTGCGCTCCTTCTTCTCCGTCTTGGCCTTCTCCCGCTCCTCCTTGAGCTTCGCCTCGTCCTCCTCCTTCTTCTTCTTGTCCTCCTCCTCCTTCTGCTTGGCCTCCTCCTCCTTGCGCTTCTCCTCGGCCAGCCGCTTCTCCTCGGCGGCCTTGATCTCCTTCTCCTTGCGGTCCTTGCGCGTCTGCTCGACGAACTCGTCGGCCTTGTCGATGGCCGCGCGCGGGTCGCGCTTGTGCCTCAGCAGGTGGCCCTGCAGCTCGGCCGGGCTGAACTCGTGGGCCGGGATCTTGGCCGCGAACTCGACGGCCAGGGCCTCGACGCGGGCGTCGTCCTCCTTCTGTCTTCTCTCCTTCTCCGCAGCCTCCTTCTTCAAGGCCTCGTCGTCAAGCAGCTCCTTCGTGTTGGGTGTGGCGGCCGCGTCATCGTCACCCTCGATGTGAGCGAAGATGGCACGGAAGATGGAGGCGGTCATGTCGGTGTCGGCATGGCCGAACTCGACAATCATGTCCACACGCCCGGGGCGGATGAGTGCCTTGTCAAGCTTCTCCAGGTGGTTGGTGGTCATGATCAGAACGCGGCCCTCTTGCGATGCAACGCCGTCAAGGATGTTGAGCAGACCCGAGAGTGACAGCCGGCCCACAGGCTCATTCTTGTTGGTGTTGCCGTTCCCTGGAGTAAGTTGCCCTGGCTCCAGTGGAGCTGGAGCAACGGAGCTCTCGCTCCCATCCTTGTCTTGCTCTCGAGTATGCGTCAGTCCGGCAGTGTCAATGTCTTCAAGGAGCACCACGCAGCGTCGAGGAAGTTCCGCAAAGAGAGTGGCCAGGTTCTCCTCGCTCGCGGTGATAGAGCTGAGGGAGACGATGTAGATGCGCATCTTGAAAAATCCGGCCAAAGCCAGGGATAGCGAACTCTTGCCGGTACCAGGGGGTCCATAGAGCAGATATCCCCGTCGGTAGGGAATACCGCGGTTGGAGTACCAGCGCTGGGTAGCTGGGTGAAGGTAGTCCGTTACGTCGTCGATGAGATCTTGCTTGGTCTTCTTGTTCAGAATGACGGTAGAGAATGGCCGCGTGGCTCTGGCGAGACACCGTTGCCAAGTGGGCTCAGTTGACCCTGAGCGAGTAGTACCGCGGTAGATCAGCGTCTTCTGCTGGTCCTTCTCCATATAGAGCGACCGGGCTTCGTGCAAAAGCTCCTTGAGGATCCAGGGGTTGCGGCCAAAGCAGCACACCGAGATCTCCTCGCGCTCACTGACTGCCATGAAAGAGCTGGACGATTCCTTGGAGTTCCTCTTGAATAGCAGGAAGCGACCGCGGTACCAGAAGTAATGGGTTCCAAAGGATGGCGTGTAGCTCAGAGCCTTCTTCTTGGACTCATTGCTCTGCCCGGTGATATCAGAGCCGTCTTCGTTTTCCTCATCGTAGTCCCAGCGCCAGAGGTACCACGATCTCGAGTTGATATTGGTGTTTACAACGAATCGCCGGGCGCCTTGGGCGAAACGCTGATTGGCAACCCACGTCATGAGTATGTTGTAGATCTCATCGTCTATCCGAATGTCCACACTCAACATGAAGTGAGACTCGACCTGGTCCCAAAAATACTGGCTTGAGTAGTTCCATACCAGTGTTAGGGCTCCGAAGAGCATGACTAGAGGGATGTAAAGGTTGAGGTCGATGTGTGCATATTTGTGCACAGCAGATGCAAACATGGAGAAACCAGGGAAGAAGAAATCGAGGAGTGCGAACTGCGGCGTCTGGGGCACATCGGGTGTGCTGTCCGCACTCATAGTGTCCGGGTCCATCTCGACCGAGGGCGATGGACTCGCCACTGCTTTCAACAACTGTGCGAACATATACAAGGATAGCATCCAAGTGGGAAATCTATCAAAGACTTGAGCGATGCTACACGAGTTCGTCGTCGTGTGACTGGTCGGAGCACCAGGTGGCTGGCCGAGAGAGTTGTGTGGATGTTGTCTCACAATAGCATCGAAAGGGTTGGCAGGAGGCACGAAGACTCTTATACTCTGTGGAAAAGTTCTCTTGGAGGTAGCCTGATGGCACTTCCGAATCACTGCCTTCTCTAGCGCAGATGGGTGCCGGCGTGCATGAGGTCGGTCTTACCAATTGGACGGGACGGGCGTTGCCTATTGGGGATGCATACGTTTGTTGGCACCAGGCATCAAGCCCACTGCCGTACTAAGTCACACCGCGTGTGGTAACTAACCGACCGCTATACTGCTAGGACATGGGAGGGTCACCCAATAACCTTGCAAAGCGGAGTGGCTTTGCCGCATGACTGCATTGGCGAATGATAGTCTATTGCTGGAGTGGGAAGCAAGGGCTGGCCTTTGGATCGTGAAAACGTACGGGACTCACTATAGGACGACGCTTGGCCTCGCGGTATCTTCACTCATCTTGCAAGGTCAAAGAGATTCAATTTGTCGCAGGATCCGACGCGGCAGAATCACCCAGCTTTGCAGACTGATGCCTGCACCATCTATCGAGCACGACGTCTGTCGCATAAGGTGCACTGCACCAATGCCTGTATGGTCTAGTATGACTGAGGGAGCCTGAGCCAATTCCAAGTCAGCGAGTATGCAGCGTAGGACAGTTGGGTGCTGGTGGCTGAGGCAACCAGCCACACAACTGCCAGCATACGGCCTTACCGGCAGGGTGCAGCATACCGCATGTGGCATGCAGCACCTATGGCACACCAGCTGGGCATCGTGCAGGCCCGGGACAAAGGATGCCAATGACTGGAGAAACCATGGCGTTTCCTAGTGGTAAATTTTACGACCAAAGATGCGCCCTCTCTGCCTCTGTCGTGGGGCCTAGGACGATCGTGGAGCGGCCTGATGAGTCACCTGGCGGCCACCGAATGAGCGAGAGCTGTGCACCTGGGAATCGTGGCATTGCTCCCCACACCTGGGGACCACAGGAGGACTTTCGGCGGGGTTGCCTCTTTCATACCCGTTGGCACAACTGGTTGGCCACGTGCAAGGCTCTGAAAGTCCCAATTGCTCGCAGATGCTGCATCATTGTCGTGCTTGCATATCTCCTGCCGAGGACTTTGTCATTGGCTGTCGTGCCTCGAACCAGCTGTCGCCTGGAAGATTGCCTGATACTTAGCGCATATAGGCCAAGGCAGGCCGCGACCCACAAGGCTATGCACCCCTGGCATAGAGACGCTACTTTGAGTTAGGGTTTATAGGACGTACAGCAAAATGATTCATCTTTAAGGTTGATTCAAACTCTCGAAGGATTGGTAGAGATATCATGACGTCGAGAGAGGGATCTGTAAAAACGCGCATACTAGGCCCGTGACGGGGGGCGCAGTTTCTTGAGCGCTGGACAAGTCGCTAGGCAAAGTTGAGGTGCTTACATGGTTTCTCGTCCTTTGAATTATCAGTCAGATCACACGCTAGCCACCTTGACAATCCTATTTCAACCGGTCCCTTTGCCTGGGAAAGCCTCCCTACAAGATTATTTTTCAGGCAGGGTCGATGAACTTTGGTTTGGCGGTCACGGGAAGCTGCAAGTCTCTCTCCGTTGGGCCCTTGGGTTGTTTGCCTCAACACATACGTCACTGGGTAGTGTAAAGTCTGTTGATAGTAAACCCTGGCATGTAATATTATGTATGCTCCAAGTTATCCAGCTGTCTTCGGAAATCTTGAGAACCCCATAGACATGAGACAAGAGATATGAGACGGTCGTGCTCTTATGACAACAGAGAAGTTTCATTATAAGATTATAAGAGTGCGATGGGCCGGGTAGCTCCTCAAGGATACTTAGTAGAGACGCAAGTAGATGAGGAAGTTCCCAGGATAAAAAAGGGAAAAACAAAAAGGGCCGTAAAACAAGGTAGAGTCCAAGAGACACCATACACCACAACTCCCAGCTTAATCGGCTGCTCGCGAAGCGCCCAAACCCAACTCCGAACAGAACGCGGCAACTCGCCCCATGATTTAATGAGCGGTCCAATATCATGATCGTCATTCCTGAAACTTTTCGATAGTAAGCCCGCCGGCTTTACCCCCTACTCATTGACCAATTCCACCGTGGGGCGTGGTGGGCCCCTCGGGGGGCCCGGAGGTGGCCGGCCCCACACGGGGTCTACAGGCGGAGGCGGGCCGGGCAGTGCCCTTGTCTGCACGAACCCTCGGCCGCCCCCAAAACCGCCAGGACCACACACGGGGCCAGGTCTGGGGCCAGCGCCGGGGCAGAATCCGGGACCGGGGCCAAATCGCGCCCCAGGAGGGGGAGGAGGTCGCCGCGGCGGCGGACAATTTGGCCGCGGCTCGGGCGAGAAGCTGCGGGAGCTGGAGGACCGGTGCGAGCTGCTCGACTTTGAGGAGTGGTGGTGGCCGCCGCCACGCTTCTTATACCCGTCCGAGGAGCAGGACACGCTGGCAAAGGGCCCGCGTAGCACGTGGGCGGCCAGGCGCAGGGCCAGGTTGTCCTGCACGTTGACGTGCCTGCCGACGGACGACGTGTTCGACCACGTCGAGGAGCGGCTGGAGCGGGACGAGCCGCTGGAGCCTGAGACGATAGATGCGTTGTCAGAGGGCCGTCTGCAGTGAGTCATCCTGAGACCCGGAGAAAATGGGTGTGTGTGTGTGTGTGTGTGTGTGTGTGTAGAGTGAAACAAGGCGTGAGGCCCTGAGATCTGGTGTATGAGATCTGCACTTTCTCAGTTCAACCCCGGACTGCTGATCAACAGGATCACACTCACCGTGAGGCAAGAAAACTCTAAGATTTCAATGGTCAAGAACGACGCGCTCGGTGAACTCGTTCACGGGGACGAAAGAATGGGGTCACGATGACAACTGAAGGGAGGTTGGCAAGAATCCACACGCTTCAGACTCCACCGGGGCGAAGCCAGGCCGCAATTTATAAATTGGCATGATGAGCGAAGAGCCTCAATTCACTCCATCTTCCACTAAACCGGGGCAAAGGACCACCCCACGCCGCGTGCAAGTGTTTGTTTCCCCAAGGCGCCGGGCGAGAATCTGCAGTGTTATCGCTCAGCAATCCTTCCAGGCAACCCTTGGGGCTCCCGCCCACCCTCCGGGTTGGAGAATTCATGTGTCAGTCCACGCGGGAGGGCCACTCAACGGGCATCGAGGGCCTCCCGCATGGCCGTCGAGCGGAGAGCCTCACGCAGGCCGGGCGATAAGACAGCCTTGTCCTGCCGAAGAAGCAAGGCAAAAGCAAAACGCGGGGCCCGAGAGGGTGGGTGTGTGCCACCGCAACTGTGTAACCGGGGTCTGCCAATGGCTCGTGGGAATTCGTGGGAATTCGTTTCGAGCCACTCGCCCTGTTATGAAGATCAATCTGGGGTGTGGAAAGGTCCATTCAGATGAAACGCAGCCGAGTTATTCTGGGCGCTCGCGATAGCTCGAGGGAGGGTACAACTCCGTCATTGATTTGGGCATAACCCGACACGCGTCCGTGAAGCTGGCTTCTGGCGGGAGGTAGCCAATGGCAGCCGCAGCAGGATGAGGATCGTCAGCGCATACGTTTCGGTGAGTCGACCCAATCCGCAGAGTGAAAACACAGGCATTGGCGTGGCCGGCCTCGCGCTTGGGGGTATCCATTGTGGCATGCCTGATAAGTCATGGTGATTGATTCGAACTAATCATTTGTACTATTCTTTCGGATATGTATACTCGAGTATTTTACAAATATAAATGCAGATATGTCCCGTCGTTCCTTCAATTGTCCAGGAATAAACCTTAGTAGGGAACCATGAATCGCTCAATCCCATCTGAGTCCGCAACTAATATCAAACGACTGTGTGTTTGCTCCGAGCGTCCCGTGACCCCTATTTTATAGATTCCCTTGTGAATATCCAAAACCCAAACGCCTGATTCTTGCTCGACATGAACTCCGACAAGATCTCCCCAAAACCGGAATCAAACAGATAATAAAATGGTGAAGCGTAAGGCGTTGGCAGTTCATGCCTAGTGAGTATGTGTATGCAATCAACAAACGCCTGATTATGCTGGACCCGTTCTTTTGAAATGGATGTCGACAAATTGATACTTGCCCACCTGAACGCCAGAACCATGGTACATGTCCAATCCCAAGTGTTTCATATACAAAGTTTCGTAAGTCTCGTCATTATACTAATTTAGGAATCATGCTTCCCAGGCTGGCGTTCAGGTGGCCCACCACATGCAGCCGCAGTTGCTCATATCGGATGAGTCGCGACGCTTGATGCCATCATCAAGGTAGTCTTGGATGACATGTCGACCCACGTATCTCTGTTTCCTCTTGCGGGATGGGTCGGAAATTGCTTCGTTCTCGACAATGGTCACTTCGATGAAATTGCCCTTGCTATCCTTCAGGGGTGTTGCAGGCCCATTGCTGTTGATCTGGTACTGGCGACAGGAAGGGGGAGCTTGACCTTCCTCGGGAACGCGACGCTCTTCCATCTTGACAACGCGAGGGAAGAACGGTACGCGAAAGTCGCTCGGCACTGGTTTGGAGGTGTCGAAGAGTCCTGTCGTTGTTGAGGTTGCAGTAGCAGTAGTCGGTGGGGGGGTTGTAGTGGTAGGATCTCGTCGCTCGGCCTTCGTAGTGGCGAAACCGTTCCTAAAGTCCGATGGCGACCACTCAAACGTCGAGCCTGTAGAAGTTGGCGTTGTAGTCGTTGATGTGCTAGTCACCGGGGTGCTGGTCGTGGACGTAGAACTAGCAAAACCGGAGAAATTGACCAGGTCTGACGGCTGGCTGTTGTTCTGATTGGGGTATACGAAAACCTCCAGAATTGTTCCTTGCCACGTGCAGATCCAGGGCTTATCTCCTTCTTCTGCCAGGCCTTTACGGTGAAAGTCGCCGCCACGGAAGCCGCCAGGTGGAGGGGGTGGTGGCGGGCTTCTCTTGGCGTTTGCGGCTGTGGATGTTGGTGTAGGGAAGAGAGTCTCGGGTAAGATAACGGTCTTGTCGTAAGTAACTTCAAAAGCCCACGCCGGTCCACGTGCCGGCTCATTGACGTCGGTGACCAGTAAAAGCTGTATATCTTGTACCGATGGAGGTTGCATTCCATACGAGTACTGGTTATCTTCAATGGTGTAAGACGTGTTGTAGTCAATACTCATCGAATATTGCGAGGTGTCGGGGGCATGTGCCAACTCCATGATTTCCATAGTGAGCTGAGCGAAGACTTGGTTGCAGTTCCACGCTTGTGCTTGTGTGCTATCGTTGAAGCACGTCGCCGGTGTTCGTGTCACCGTCAGAGGCAAAGCAAACTTACCACCCGGTAAGGGTTCGAGGCCGGCTGGCACTGTTGGCAGCGGTGTTGCGTCGAAAGTCATGGTCGGCGATGAGCTGGCACATTTGATGTCAGCAAGGAAACGATCTTTAAATACCAAACAAAACTAATGATTTATATACCTATCATTGGGTGGGGGCCGCTTGGGCTTATTAAAGAATATGCCCAAGACCGTCCCCAGAACAACGGCCAGCATGACGACGATGATGACAGTCAAGGTGAGAGCCCAGCAAGGGACTACACCCCAAACTTTTCTTTTCGCGGCAACCTGCCAATTTTTTAAAGGCTTCTTCTCGTCGATGACTGCCCTCGCCGCGGTGTTGACCTCGTGCTGGCTGCTGGCATCACTTGGCACACTCCTCAGCGACTGTCGCGAATGAGGTGAAGTGGCACCTTGAAGGGGAAGATCCTCCGTCGAGGCAAACTCCGGGTTCCGTGTTGCAAGGCCAAGACCACCAGCTCCAGGTATAGATTCCATGCGCGTAGAGGCCGTTGCCGACGACGATTCTGCTGGCGAAGGTTCGACCGGCATTCCACCAATTCCGGCAATCTTCCTCTGATACGCCTCATCAGGATACCGTGTGTACGGAGGTAGTTGCTCGGTGTGTCCATCGGGCCCGATCATATCTGCAATCTCCTCTCCATCAGGTCCCAGCCGCCTCTGGTAATTATCCATCGCTCCGCCAAATCCGACCGGGATGGCCACTGGCGTTGCCCTTTCTTCGGTATTGTCCACGGTCGGGACTGTGCCTTGCGGGTACATCTGGTACGGGTGGGTCGGGTTGTTTGGACCATTGTACGAGCGTTCGGAGGTGGGAACGGTAGAGGTGGTCGCTATGCTGGCCGTCCTTGCGACGCGAACATCCTGGGGGTACATTTGATACGGAAACGATGGCCCTGAAGGTCCTTGGTAGGGACTCTCCGATCTCACGATGGACGCGCCAACAATATCATTCACATTGCTGGAGGAACTCGCGGCCACGCACTCCACCTCTGGTCCCATGCCGCCGTCATGGCGCAGTGAGAGAGATTCACGCGATTGAGGCGGTTTCGCTATACTCGATGGCCTCTGTGGCTTCGCTTGTGTTGCAGGAGTTGGTTGCGGCGACGCCGCAGGATCCGAAATATGGTCCTGTGCAACGTTTGTAGGCCGAAACCCGTCAGAAATGCCCATCACCTGCATATCATAGTCGTCGTCCTCGCCCGGAGCCACCGATAACCTCATCGATGTCCTCATAGAGGCCCGACGCTCTACGGGCACCTTGCTGTCGCTTTTGCTCATGGTGAAGACGTCGATCGATGTGTGTATGGGTGACCGTTTCGTGTGCTGCTCACAGAGCAGAGCCGCTCTGCAGCATCAGCGGCTTCACAATCGATGACCTGGGTCCCAGAAGATCATGGACGAGATGTTGATGCAGATGTCGCCGGTATTTCGGTGCCAATTCGCAGTCGTCGCAGCGTATATCAATTTCCCAGGCTGGCGTTGCTTATAGTCGCCCAGAGGTTGGAGAGGGTAGAGTAGAAGAGGTGGCTGAGCGAGATCCAGCGTGGGACTGTCGACCCCGTAGCGGTAGTGTGGATCAAGGGCAGCACACTATCAGGGACAAGTCTTGATGGGTTTCGGAGTCGATTGGGGAGGGGGCCCGGCACCTTACATGTGTGTCATTGGCGGGTTACTTTGGGTGTATCGATAGATGCAGGGGAGTCCTGACGGTCCCTGGTCACGAAATATGCGGTGCGAGACTAGAGTCGATAATAATCCCATGGGGGGGTGCAGCGCCGTATTGCCTTCCGCTTCACCCGTTTCGGCCTAACCTGGCTTCATGGCTGGCTGCGGTCCCGGACTCCTAGTCCGCCGGCTAGGGAAGATCAGGGTGGACGGCGCAAAACCTTGATAACGCCCCACGATGGTTTATGCAGAGCCGCTCTGTCCGAACTGGCGTACGCTTGTTTTCGGGCGAAGAGTTGAATCGTGTCATGTCTCTTCTTCTTCCCCCGTCTTGTCACGAACTCGAGCGACTATAGCCTCCTTCACGCCGTCCCCGGTACGTAGTGTTCCACAGGAATATCTGTCCATCAGAAGCCAGAGACCAGGGCGTGCCGGCATATGCGAAGCGACCGGCCGCTCTGGGCCCGTCTGGCAATACAGCCGGCACCACAGCGTTCCATGGAGGGCGGGGGTTGCAGACCAAGAGGGAAAGTCAAGGTTTATTCAAGCCATTCAGGTGCTCGCCATCTGGGCTTGGTATTGACGACCTGCCAGGTTCGCCCTGGTCACCCGCTCTCAGGCCCTCGGCAGAGCTAATTGGCTCGTCCGCATGGGGCATGGGGCTTGCAGGCGAGTGCCCCGGCATGGAGATTGCCGTCCGTTTATGCATTTGAACCGAATAGTCAGCGATCGCGAGAGAGATTCGCAATTCGTACTGGGAGGTCTTTGGGGATGACGAAATGGGCGACGACATTCCCTGTGAACGCGCTCAGCTCGTGGGCGTTGGGTCGATCCGTCCCCGTCTCCCACTCTGCCCTCGTGGGTGTCAAGGTGTGATGGAAACATTCCAGCATTGACCCATAAAAGCGGAGAGCCGTGTCGAGTAAACTGTTTCAGGGCGTGGCGCGCGCCCAGCGTGTTTGAACTCTGAGCCTGCCCTGCCCTGCTCTGCCCTGCCGTGTGGTGGTGCAGCACATGTTGCAGGGCAGGCCAAAGCAAGAGCAAGAAGTTACTGTAGCCCGTAGCCAGAACTGCCGAACACCAGGTCTACCTAGGTACCGTCTACCAACGATCCCACGGTCCACTGCCCTACAGTACGGGCTCAAGTTTGCCACGACTCTCAACATCGAATGTGACCGAACGGCCTTGACAGCATACACCCAGATTCCCGACGTTGGTATGTAGACGGGGCAGAGGCAGAGAGCTTGCGGGCAGCTGGTATTCGGCTAATTGGCAGGCCAAGGACACAGTATCGCCATTCGCCTTCGGCTCTCGCCCGGGCTGCTTTTCCCAAATTCCCAAAACCTTTGCGCCCTCGAAGGCTCACTACAGTATGCCCTAGCCACCTGGCTACTACATAGTACCCATGGCGTCTTGCCCGTGGCCTGCCTATGATGCAACTCTGGAGATCACAACCGTTACCACTTGCAGCATGTTAAATGCTGAGCTTAATTTAGCCAGGGCCTAGCCGTGAGTGCCGGCAGAGCATTCTCCCAGATTGACTAGTTACATCTGTAGTTACTGTAAAATTCTGTATTTGCGTTAGCTTGTAGCTTCTCCGTCGATCCTTACAGGAACTAATAACGCCGAGAGCCACCTGGCAGGCCCGAGCACAGTACCCACCGGACTGCCGGTCGGTGTCTTTTCTGTCTTGTCTCTGTGATTAGGTATCTAACTGATCATGTTTACCTCTTTTCTTCTTTCCCACCCTGCAGGTGAATGTCAGGTGACGGTGAGACTAGAGCCCGCCTTCCTAGCGCCAGAACAACGTCCGTGGACTCTGTCAGTGCCCCTTAGCTCACGGCAGTTGGAGAGGTCGGGTATGCAATTCAACCACTCCTCCGAGTCACGGTACTATAATTACTTGTCTCTTGATCAGTCAACGTATGTAACCAATGAGGCTGCGATACAGGGCAAGAAACATACAGGGTCCACAACGTCATCTTTATTTGGACGCCTGACACGTTTTTGGATTCATGAGGCTGTCGTGGGCGTGTTTTGGGTTTCAAGGAGAACCCTTGTCTGCCTCTCGTAGGTTAAGCTTCCCAGCTATCAGATGCCCGTGAGTGGGCCTTATGAATCGCGATCCACTCCGAAGTACCCTACCCAGCGATGGCCAGACAACTGGCACGATTCTGTCTGCACTCTAGATCAAGATCGCCTGGTGAAGCTCAACTGGAACATCAAGCCACGACCAACCCAGGCCATCGTGATGGGCGCTGGGCCGTCCTCGGCGCGAAAAGGAAGGCAGGGTCATTCAGCTTTCATTAACAACACTAGTGAGGCGGGGAGGCCTTGTCAATCCCTTGGGAGACAGGCAGCACTCGGCTGAGTGTTCACCACGCCCGTCAGAAAGGCGTGGAAATAAATTGATCTTCACAGGACATGCACCTGCTGTGTTCGTGACCGGAAGACTGCACCAACTGGGCGGTGAGCAGTCGACGAACCAGGTTAGGCATGTCGATCTATCGCATGATGGATTCATTTGATTCATTTGGATGGTATTCAGGAGATTTCTCTTGGGTCATAGTTTCGTGCTACTGGATAGGGGTATCACGATGTGCATGTTTGACAGCCGGTTGAGAGGCCCTCCCAAGTTTGTATCCTACTGATGATAGGGGCGAGGGGGGAGCTATTGATTGACACAAAGCGCGAAGTCATTCGCGGAAGGTCGAAACATCATAGAGCTTTTAGCTTCCTCTGAAGTTCGTGATTGCCACGGGGTGCGTAGCCATGGTCGGGCGCGTCAACAATATCGTCGATGTCGTGCTCGTCCTCGTCAGGTCTCGAGGCAATGATTCGCATGACAATCTGAGCACGTTGGTGAAGAAACCTGAATTTCCTGAAGACCATCCTATCTCATTCCTGGGATTTTTTCTCTCTTCTGTGTCCAACTGATTAGGCGTGGCAATGACGATAGGCCACGGCCATGGGGTTACCTTCCCGAATAGTCGCGTCTTCCGCTTACCCTAGGCGAATTTCTTAAGATTCTTAGATAGGCAAGTTTCTATAAGCTTAATGGGAGTAGTGCAGCATCTTGACCGGAAAACCCTGGGCTTTCCCACACAGCGATCTGACATTATCCCCCGCGTTGGAAGGGTGCAAAACCACGTGCTATCCAGGATCTTGTTCACGTAGTAACCCGTCGTTAGAACTGGTGGCTGGCCACGCGGCGGTAACATCGAGATATCAGAATGGACACACATCTCTCTCTTGAATGGAGTAGTGCCCTGAGAAACCTTTGATTGCCCATGATTCACGCGGTATTCTCGTCATTCGCAGTGACTGAGGTGTGTGTGCTTTCGCACCCTTGCAAAACGTCCGCTCTAGGCGCTGATCTCTTCAACGACGCCTTCTTGACCATGCAACATCGGTTGTCAACAAGAAGTTACCAGTGATGGTTTGTCGTTCCGTAACCATGCCAGAACCGCTGACAAGAGTTGTCCCTAACCCGAGCATCTGCCTCTATGTAGGTATTATCTTACTACGTAATTGTCCACTCTTCATCCAAGTTTTGGCAAATTTCAGATTTCTAGCAAGGTGCTAGGAGTTCAAAAAAAAACACTAGAGAGGAGGTTTTGGCTCTCCTCCCCTTCTTTGCAATGATAAGGAACGTCATACGACGTTCCCCATGATGAACGAGATACACGTAAGAGGTCCTGGCAAAATGTTTTCATGTTGTCGTTGAGGGTTGGTCCTGTCCAGTGTTTACAGCCAAGAACTTTAATGAGACGTTCTTGGAAGTCCAAGAATCTATGGCCACTTGAAAATGCTATGGTTACCAACAATTTCACGTTCCCTATGAAGCACGCCTTCCGAAGACTGACCATTAGGAACCACAGCGTTACGTCCCATCCCAGGAGCATAACCAGAATGTACTGAACTGAGGCCAGCCACACACAACCAAGCAGTGAGGACTGTCATCACCGCCCGCTGAGGCTTCATGGGATATATGACGCTAGCCCGTACACATGCACACGACGATCATATCGATAAAACGGAGCCACGATTATCTCGACTATGTCCGATTACCTCCTGGCAAACCCTGAGCCGCCTTTCAGGGGCGATACACCTTCACTTCTGAGTCGCACCCCCCCGGCACGCAAAGTCTTGCCTGACAAGACTTGGTTGACTTGGCAGGCACCTTCAACGAAGTCCATTATACACGGCAGTTGTATTGATGCTGCATATTTCAGGGGCACGGTAGGCGGCAGTGAAGACTCTCCGGCCTCTCTGCTATTTTCGTCCTCGATCAGAGATCCGAATAGGATCGCAAGTCGCAGCACACGTATCTGCTGGTTCCTGTCTCTTGACATCGTAGCAGTGGTGATCATGTACGTATAGCAGATCACTACCATCTACAGAACGAAGAATACAAGGCACAAAGCCTCGTGCATAGTCTGGAACACCGACTATTACATTCCAGACTTTGTCGCTGCTCGAGTCGTATGACACCAGTATGTGTAGCACAAGCCTCATGGTAACGTGGGTTTCGCTTACAAGTTTGATTACTACACAACACGAATCAGAATCGACAAGCGCTGCCTCGGGTAGATACGGGGGGTAAGCGGCGGCGTTCTAAATTGCTTGGCATTGGCACCAATCCAGCGACGTCTGTAGCGCGGCTGAGTGGTGGGAGGGCTCCATTCAATAGGTGGTGCAGATCATTGCATACTGCATATGTATACCTTGACCAGGGTGTAAAACGGCCACCGCTTTGGACTCCCGCCCTGCTATTCATTTGACCGGCAACAGAAGGATGACCAGAGTGACAGCATTGTATGCTATTATTTTTAGATATGCGGGTGAAGTGTATACGGAATCTTGCTGATGAGGAGCAATGTCGGCACTTGGTGTTGTATCTCTACAGCCTCACCGTAGAGGCGCTTGAAGTTCCGCGCCGAAAGGAGCGGTATGATTGAATCCTTTGAAGACAATACCAAGACCGGATTGGAGTCCCAGAAGAACAACCAAAGAAAAACTCATTGCAATCTCCGGGGCGCTCGCGACGAGATCCGTACCATGGACTACGAAGAACACAAGAAGATATCTTACTAGTTCGAAAACTACGTGCACGCCTGGTGTGTGTGTTCTTGATGGCTCGCTTGTGTAGTTGTTTAATAGCGCCAGTCTATCAAAGCCGAATGGGACGCTAGAGAAGAGAAAAAGGGCTTCGCTTTTCTTTTTCTTACCTCGCGTGGAAGCGGCAGTGATATTTTACAACGCTTTAGTTAGATGCCAAGATTGATGTTCCAGAAATCTTTACTATGACCGTAACCGACATGCCGGCCGGTCTGGCGACCAGCCGAATAATTAAGGTACGCTACCATGCGGCATATTCGGATCTAAGTACCGATCAACGCATTTCTGAGACAGTTTTAAGGATTAGTGCTTGACTATGACAATAAAGTTGATGTCACTATCTTCTGATACACGATATAGTATACACTGAACCACACCTATTTGACCCTCACTCAACTCGTTTACCGGAAGGCGGTCCAATGGTGTGTCGTTCTGGTCCAATGCAGGAAGGCGGACCTCGGGATCTGGTTCAGTGCAATCTGAATCAGGCCTGGCCGAAACGCTTATACTAGTCACTCTGACGCAAGTATCAAGATATGTCCGATATGTTACATTTTTAACCCTCCACGAGCCTTTGCCAGAATGCTTCATATTACTTATTCAGACGCGGCCATCAAGGTAAGTCCGAATCCGGATCACTGCAATTTTACCCCCCACAAGCCCTACGCGGGATGCTCGAGCTTATACTTGTCTCGCGGACCCGGACTCGGGCAGCGAAATAAGTCCGAATCACTGCAATTTTAACCCATCACAACAAGCCTCGGTCACGATGCTTGAGGTCACGCCAGTCTCGCGGACTCGGAATCGGGCAGCGAAACACGTCGGGACCACTGCAAAACAAGCCCTAATCGGAGCGCTTGATACCAGCCGCTAAGCAGCTCGATCTCATCTAAGCCATCAAAACTCCAGGTGAATGATGTTTGCCCAGGAATAATAAGTTTTGATAGTTTCTTGAAAGAAAGAACAAACAAAATTATGATGTAGCACTCTGGTCGTTAGAGTCTGGTCAAGTGTCTCGTGGAAAAAGCCTTTCCTAGTTGTCTGGCTACGATTTATGTGAACCACTCCGCTTGCACGTCTGAACAATCGACTATTACCCAGTGCTATACTCGAACGAGAAGAGAGCTTTGCTGTCTATGACGACTCAATTTTCAGTGCTTGTCGATGGTATCCCAGCTCACTGGACTTTCCCCCAATTATCTTCGCTTTTCGCATCCTGTTCTCCGCGTCTGCGCTGAGGTGAGCAATTACCAAACATAGGTTCTTCACTGCAAATTTGACTCTCCCAAAGGGATTGCATATCTGATAATATTGCTGACAGTATCACTGCCGCAATACTGGACTTTAGTCGCACGAAGAGGGGACCAATTTTCATGATAGCTTGTTGAATTGCTAGACTAATACAAGCCTCACGATATCTTGATACATCCCACTGAACAGTTCTCACTTCGTGTTGTCTGCTCCTTGCCTATGCCGAGGTGGGCAGAGTCCAGAAATGGCCCGGCCCTGTAGCACTGCAATTTCAACCCTCTGCAAGCCCTTGGCATGCCCTCCGTCAGCTGGCTTTTCTTTGGGAGCATGCCAAAAGTCAGGCCTCCTCATCATCAGCGCACACGGCTTTCGTCCACTCCTCGAGCTACTGGGACCACGTACGGTCAAAAGCCAGCAACGAATGAGTCTGCGAGTAAGTCACCTCCAGAGAATAAGTGTACCACAGTGAATGCCTTTGCGATTCCAACTTCCGTAACGACTTGTGCAGCGCTGCCCGATCTTGTCTATATCAGCCGACCCTACCCCGCAAGCAGATGACGGCGTTCATTGGGTCACGAAAGTACGTTTTCACTGCAAATTTAGCCCTCCGCAAGCGCTTCGTGATATTGCCTGTAGAAGTCGCCACTAAAGAGTACTCTGCTGCCTCCCACGATGAACTGGCGAGTGATGCCGGTATTCCACACGGACGCCCGGGCAGATGTGGTATGAGTTCCCCATGCCTGCAACGACTCTGTTACTACGCCTGCCTCTTTGTCTGGGTAAGTCGCAGCATACAAGTAGAGCAACGTTGCCATGATACTCTCCGATGATGACGGCCTGCTCTGCCCAAGGCTGTTAAACACGATAATATTCCGTCGACCATTCCTCTTTGAAGAAGCCGTAGCCAACAGGTGGCCGTTCAAAATCAAATATGTTGCAGATTAGAATTGTTCGTTGTAACGTAAACATACTATCTTGCTTTCCAAAAAGGGGGGGTATCTAGTTCAAAGGTATAATGACAGAACGCCTTGGCCCGTGGTGAATGCAATGCCAACCCAAACACTCCAATGTCATGAGCTACCCGTTTTCCGGTCTTCATCTTGGGCGGCTTTCGTTGTCTGATCCTTAGGTTCACCAGCGAGGTCGCCATCCTGAGCCTCTTTCGCCGCCTGCTCCTCGGGTTTACCCCCAGCAGCCCCAGCAGCGAGCTCCAAGCCCAGGTCCTCCAGAAAGTCGTCAGCCATGCGCTTGCTGCGCTTCTCGGCGATGGCGCGGCGGCGGTCCTCGATCTCGCGGCGGCGGGCGTCGCGGTCGTGCTCGCGCCGGCGGCGGACCTGCTCCGTGTTCTGGCGCTCGGCCTCGAGGCCGCGCATGGCGGCGTCGCGCTCGGCGTGGTCGCGGCTGAAGTGGTAGAAGCCGACGCCCTTGGTGCGGATCTCGTGGTGGCCGTCGTAGTGCGTGGCCTCGGGCGGCGTGGGGCTGCGGTCGCGCTTGGCGGCCAGCGCCTGCATCTTGTCCCAGGTCGCGTCCTCCGGGTTGAAGGCGTGGCTCTGGATCGCGTCGCCGTAGATCAGCTTCTCGGGCGCCCGCGGCCGCGCGCTCATGGCGTCCAGCTCCTCGGCCCCGAGCTCGCGCCGCTGCTGCCGGCGGTGCAGCCGTGCCACGTCGGCCCGCGTGCCCCGGCGCGTGCGGCCGAACTCGTCCTTGTACTCGATGATCTCGTTGCCGCCTTCGTCATCGTCGTCCGAGTCGTTGTCGGCGCCGGAGCTGGAGTCGCCACCGGGGCCGCCGTCTGCCTCCGGGTGCGCGGCCGCCCACTTGGCATCGAAGTCGACCAGCGGGCCGGCCTCGCCGTCCTTGGGGACGTAGTCGCCGCGCTTCATGGCGGCGTACAGGCGGGCCTTCTCCTCCATGCGGCGCTTCGCGCGCTCAAAGTCCTTCTTGTCCTCGTCGGTGCCGCGGACATCCCTGACAAACAGCCTGGAGCCATCGTCGGCTTTGGCCTGCGGGGCGCCAGGTTTCCGCTTGGCCTTGACGGAGAAGATGTCATCTTTGTTCTTGGAGGGGCGGGCGCGGCCGCTGGACGCGGTGGCGGTGGAGGCAGAGGCGGACGAGGAGGGCGCGGCGAGCAGCGAGGTCAGCTGTGAGGTGAAGGCGAGGGAGCTGGACAGCGGGATCTCCTTCCGCTGCTTCTTTGCCGGCCGCTGCCCGTAGAGATTCGGGTCTTGCGGCATGGTTCTCTGCGTACTGGGCCGGGCTGTGGCCAGATGTGGTTTTGGGAATCGATGGCGGACGTCTGGAGGTGATTTGTTGCAGCCTGTCACTACGGGTTCATGTCTCGGATATATCCCTGCGTAGGAAGAAGATCGAGAGTCTAAGCACCACTGGCTACACGGCCGATGCCGCGAGGTTCGAATACAACGCTGGAGAGGTAGTCAAGTCAGACGTACACACAGTAACTTACGTACATGTAGCTCCCAGGGGTCCCAAGGCGGTTGGTTGGATCCTGCGTAGCCACAGCCGTGGGCCCCCACTAGAGCTCCAGGGCTGGCCCAGCTGGATTCGGTCCCTGGAACTGCCCCGCGATCGGCCGCTGGGCTGCAATTGGAGAGAAATTACCCCACGTCACAAAGCTGCCTTCGTCGCCCGTCGTCTTGTGCTGAACATTCCCCCAGGTCATTGCAGTAGGATCGATTCAAAGCAGACACGGGACCGAGAAACAAACATGTCGCCGACCAACCAGGTATACATTGCCATCATCGGTATGTCATAGGTCTACCCAACCCATTCCCCCCGTCTGGCCGGGACAGTCTCACTAAACAAACCCCATCCAGGCGCCGGAGGGGTGGGCAAATGCTTCCTCTCCCAGCTCCAGACCCTGGCGGCCCGACGACCATCGCCCAAGCTCAGCCTGTGCTACATCTCTACCAGCAAGAAGGCTCTCTTCAAGAATGACTACGCCCCGATCCCCACCGAGAACGCCCTGCAGGCGCTGGCCTCGTCGTCCACCGCACCCCTGGCCCTGCCCAAGGTCGTCGAGTTCCTGGCCGCCGCCCCCGCCAAGGTGGTCCTCGTCGACAACACCAGCTCCCAAGACGTGGCCGACGCCTACCCGGCCTTCCTGAGCCGCGGCATCAGCATCGTGACCCCCAACAAGAAGGCCTTCTCCGGGTCCTACCAGCTCTGGCAGGACATCTTCACGGCCTCGAGCACCTCGGGCGCCAAGGTCTACCACGAGTCCTCCGTCGGTGCCGGCCTGCCCGTCATCTCCACCCTCAAGGACCTAGTCGACACCGGCGACGAGGTCACCAAGATCGAGGGCGTCTTCAGCGGAACCATGTCCTTCCTCTTCAACTCCTTCGCTCCCCTCGAGGGCGAGGGCGGCAAGTGGTCGGCCGAGGTCAAGAAGGCCAAGGAGCTGGGCTACACGGAGCCCGACCCCCGCGATGACCTCAACGGTCTCGACGTCGCCAGGAAGCTGACCATCCTCGCCCGCTTGGCCGGCCTGCCCGTCGAGTCCCCCACCTCCTTCCCCGTCCAGAGCCTGATCCCCCAGCAGCTCGAGTCGGTGGCCACCGGTGACGAGTTCCTCCAGAAGCTGCCCGAGTTCGACTCGGAGATGGAGGGGACCAAGGCTGCGGCGCAGAATCAGGGCAAGGTGGTCAGGTTCGTGGGCAGCATCGACGTAGCTACCAAGGCTGTCAAGGTCGGGCTTGAGATGTTTGATCGGTCCCACCCCATTGCCGCGCTCAAGGGCAGCGACAACATCATCAGCTTCTACACTAAGCGATACGGCAGCAACCCGCTCATCATCCAGGGCGCCGGTGCCGGTGGCGACGTGACGGCCATGGGCGTGACGAGCGATCTCATCAAGGTCCTCGCCCAGATCTAGGTTGGATGACGGGGCAGGCAGGTCTCATGAAAAGGGGAAAAAAATAGAGGTATTGGGGTGTTCCGGAAAGTGGTATGAAAGCAATATTGTCATTTTATCTTGTCGTAGGTATAGATAGACAATCAACCGTCTACTTCCAAGTAGTACCCAGATCGCTTCCCGCCTGCCGCTGTGCTCGCCTTGGTCGAGACCGACGTCGAGTTCGAAGGCCGGCCGTCAGGGGGTGCTGGAGCGAGACTTGCGGACTCCCGGCTCTTTGACTTCGCGGTGCCGTGTTGTTGTGGGACATCCCGCGGCGGCGGTCGGTTGAGCCGCCAGACCCAGAGGCAGAGATCGAACACGATCAGGCCGAAGATGGGCAGCGCGAAGGCCAGGCTGACCAGTTTCTGAAAGGGAGGGGTCAGCGTTATTGTGTGCCATGCCCAGAACAGTATCGAGGCCGACAGTTCACCTACGAAGAAGAAGGCAGTCCAGCTGACCAGGCTCCAGACCTCGGGAGGGATGGGAATCACGCTCATATACCAAGCCATGGCCGCGAAACCCCCGTGCTCATAGTGCTGCTCTGGAGATGAGATGAGTGTGTCGGAGAGGGAGACAGAGCAGTAGGATGTTCTGTCAGGCGAAGGGAAACCGCAGTGACGCAACGCAAAGTCGAGGAGGTGCCGGACAGCCCGAGCGCGCGACGCGATCACTATCTGGCAGGGCGGGCTGTGGCCTTGATTGTCGATTAAAGTGGTTGCAGCCCCTGCAAGATGCAGTACTACTGTGGTAGGATAGCTGGAAAACTACTGTGGTACGGCGCTGATGGCCTACGGCGCAGCGGCTTTCCCTGGGTCCCCACAGGGGGGGCCTGGGTGCTTGCGTGGGTGGTACCTGAGCCAAGCCTCTTTGGGTCTTAGGCGGGCCCCGAGCCCTGGGTCGGGGTTATGCCCCTTACTCTTATGAAGGCCCAGGGGTTTTATGAAGAGTTATGCAGAGAAATAGGGGTAAGTTGCATGGCGTGATGTTTATATCTCGTCACTGCTTGCAGTCCGGGCAACCCATTTACGACGGGTAAGCTAGGCTCAGTTTGATCCAAGATAGATTTTGACATCCTCCTTGAATACTGTGACTGTTTGGGTGGGTATAGATCGCATTGGCAATGGATGCGGACACTATTTGCCACTGTCTGATTATGACCTGCAATCTCGACGTCGAAATTGCGTGTCATTGGAACTAACACCGAGTATACAAATATGAAGACTTTGCGCACTATATAGTCAATTTAACCATGTGGGTACCAGTGTGCTATCAATGTCCTGCCACACAGAACATATGCCACTACTCCCCTTCGCAAGACACTTGGCTGCGTTACGTCACAGACAGCACCGAGAAACAAAACTCGATGAAGTACATCATCTTTTCACAGGAGAACCCGATGAAGTCCACCATCTTTTCACAGGAGAACTCGATGGATTTCATCGTCGCATGCCACGAGAACTCAAAGAACTCTCTTACCCCTTGCCAGAGGCATCTGGTGGACCCTATTACCCCTTGCCATAGGGAAAGGGCGTTCTTTGAATTGAGGCCTCTGGGCTTCAGGCAATGCTCGCCGCATACGCGATGCAAGGCCCTGTGAGGTACTAGAACCTTCTTCATGTACCGATAGTAGTTTCGGCAGCCCCTCTGGCGACACCACAGGACGCCGTGAAACTCCTCATCCTCAGTGAGATTATACGAGTCTGGATCAAGGGCTTGGTACCAGGTCATCACCAGGTCATTTGGGTTCAGGCCGTTCGCAACCTCTATTCTGCGCCAGTATTCTACCTGCAGACACGGGCTCCCTTTGGCGCATGAGTCGATGATGATTCTCACCTGACCTTCACCGTTCGTTAGTCGTGTAGTATTGCGTAGCGTGCAGTGACCCCCAGGTTGTTTCTCCAGCGCCGTCACACATGCAGTGTTCTTTGAAGGTCCTAGGGCCACCAGCTTGAAATTGCGGCGAGATCGACATGTGAGGAAATCGATTTCCTCCGGTGGGGTAAGCTGCCAACTATGCGAGAGATGCTCTACGCCAGAGTAATCGAGACAGTTGCAGCGGTTTGGGTCGAAGCAACTCATCTCCGGAAGTTGCCCCAAGGGTGATTCGGGCGCGATGAACTCTGCGGCGCCCGCTCTAAGATTTTCCAACTGGCTGCGCATAAAGCTAGGGGTTGTCCGCTCGCCGCGTCCGGTGCTGGAAATGGGGAGGTGTCCCGTCCAGTCAAGCTCGAGATATATTCCTCCATTGGAGTACTCAGCGACGATAAACGTTGGGTATATTTGGTATTCAGCCTTACTGAAGCCAGCGCGGTGGTGTGCTGGTACGTGGCTTTCGTCCTTGCAGGATATATAGATCGTCCGACCGTTGGAGCCAGACTCAAACCTCCTCAGCCGTGACACGATTGAAGAAATTTCAGTCCAACTCATAGTCCTGTGATCGCACAGGCGCACAAGGCCCTCTCGGCCAATGCATATCCGAGTCTTGTTCGGAGCTTTTCGCTGAGATGCAGAAAACAGTCCAACTGGGTGGTCGACGCGACAGCCGGAGCAGTGCATATATGTCGAAGTAATCCTCTGCATCTTCTTGTCGAAAGACTGTTTCCCCCTTACGTCTTGGCACCCTGCACAGTATCCTTCCTCCCCGTTGATCAGGAGGTACGAGAGCTTGTCTTCTGCCGAAAATCCCGTGACGGGCTGCGACCAAGGAAGAAAATCGCTTGTATGTTTGGCGTTGAGGTCATGAGTAGCAATATACCGTGGCGAGGAGTACAGACGAAGGAATACTCGGCACGTCCGCCTCAAGCACTGAACGCCCAAACCATCGATATATGCCATGACCTTGATGAGAAGCTCTTCAGGAAGTCGACAGAGGGTGCTACAGTTCTGGTTGTGAAATGCGGCTGCGACCAAGGGATCCATCCGCATAATTTTAGCTGTAACTTTGGGATTGGTGAAGCATTGGCAGGGTCGCAAACCCATCCTCAGCGCCATCCATGGTGACGCGGCTTGCATCTTGCCGTGGCGTTCGAAACCACTTCGTAGTCTGCTGGCTGCCAGGAAATTGGCCAAGAGCCTGTAGTGCCTCGGTCGTTTATGAGGGCCTGACTGAATGTTGGCTCTGCGTGATACTGGAACAACAATTGTACGCATACCAAGGTTTGTCACAATAGATTCTTTGCATCGGCTATGGGATCAGCCTTCAAGTACTATGAACCAAGTCTTGATGGCTTAATAATATAGCGCAATATCGCCACAAAGTTTTTTTTTTTTTTTTTTTTGCTTGAAAACCCCCCTGAACAAAACCACCTCATAACCAGCCGAGCGCAAGTAATTCGCAATCTACTTTGCTGTGTCCGCGTCAAGCCCTGGCTCGCACGGGGCGAGATTCATGTTCATGTTCAGGGCGCGGCGACGATCGTTCATTTTGGCGTACTCCGCACGAGCAGCCTTCGAAAGAGAGGTTAGTGTTACCTGGGGAAAACTGGAAGGCATGCTCCGCGGCCTTGGTGGGACTGCCGGGAAGCTTGAACTCCTGGCGATGTTGCGTCATAATCGTCTGGAAGCAGGAAACCAAACGACAGACAGCCGCGGCGGCTTCCCTGTGACCTTCCAAGGGTTGGCGGAAGAGTCGGACGCCATTCGCCTCGGGGCCGGTGTCTATGTAACGATCGAACAGGTCCTCATTCACCCACGCAACAAGACGGACCAAGATCTTACTGTTGGCCTCAAGACGAGCAGGGAATTCGATCTGAAAAATTAGCAGCAAAACCCACGCGAAACCGTCACGAATGTCCTGGCTCGCAAATTTCCCTTTTGCTCAGTACCAAGCAGCATTTTGCAAAGTCGAGAGTCGCGAGTCGCATGTATGCTCAATACCTGGTGCAACGCATGAGAATAATGTTGCATATCATCGTCGAGAAGCAGCTATGACTAGAATGTGTGCCTGGAAGATGGAAATTGGTAGTATGTTCTTCACAGTTATGTTCACGAATCATTAAGTCATCATCCATGTGCGGGCGGCGAATCCTCGTATTGTGATAATAATAAAAGGCTCCAAAAAAACAAAAAAGAAAAAAAAAAAAGGCCAGGCGCCGCAGAGTTCTCTTGGTAGCTAAAAATATCTAGTCACCAAACCCCCCAACCTGTCATCGTCATCGTCGTCGTCCTAGTCCTCCTTCTCCTTCTCCTTCTCCGCCTCCAGGCGGGCCCACCCTAAGGCCGCCAGGTGAGCGACCCAGAAGATCGCCAGGCCGAGCCCCCCGCTGCAGACCACGAAAAAGGCGGCGGAGACGGCGACGACGGCGAAGTCGGCGGCCAAGGGGGAGACGGGGGCGGGGGCGGCGATGATGGTGGTGGTGATGGTGGCCGCGCAGGGCCCGGCTATCGTCGTCGTCGTCATCGTCGTCGTCGTCGTCGGTGGTGGTGGCGGTGCTGGTGCTGCTGCTGCTGGTCAGGGTTAGTACTTTGCGCGAGGAGCCAAAGGTTCAGGTTTGGGCGCAGTGCGAGAAATTCTCTTTTATTTCCAACACCATCTAGGTTCGTGACTTCCCATTGCAGCGCTCTGTGGCTGGCCTCAGGCGCTGACAGTTGGAAACCACAGTAGAGATACTAGAAGAAACAACCACTGGACAGGCTCGTTCGATTGTTTCGAAACTTCCCCCAGAGAAAGAGCGGAGCAGAGGTTAATAGGACATCCACTCGTTCATGGTGGAACCTGACCTCGTGGTTGGAGGCAATGATCAAACGAGGAATACGTGCATAGATACCTAGGTAATCTTTCTGCACTTTTTACCCTTGTGTTTCCTCGGTGCCTGAACACGGGCAGCTGGAGTGACATCTCCATTTCCCCATCGACGGGTATGGGAACGGCAGCAACTACTGTATTCACTTGCACTGACACGGCAGGGGTTTTGAGACTTTGACTGAGGTACTATCTGACAGTTTGATCGTAATCCTCGGCGAGAACCTCTAATACTGACGCCGTCCCCGTAATTTCTGTCAATGTGCTGGTGTGGAAGGGTGATTGCTCGGTGCGTAGTGCGGTTGGCAGATTGTGAAGGTATGGACAAGGACGAGGTGCCTTTGACCCAACTACCTTGCGACATCGTACGGTATGTTAGATGACAAAAGGATAGAGAGTGTGCATTGTGATGCTGTCAAGGTTGATGGTGTTAAGGTTGAAAGAATGGGAAACTCTAATGGTCACTCAAGCTCAGAACCAACCAGACCAACCCTCCTTAGAAAAGTTTGACATAGTGAACCGCTCATGAAATTCCTCACTCTCCCTCTTCCCCTTCGCCACCACCAGAGAGGCGATCTTTCACGTCAACTAATGGTCAACCCAGAGGAGCACCGCGGAGAGCAGCAAGCAGCCAGTACGCAGTCGAGACTGGTTAATCGTAAGTGGCAATGCCCACAATATGTTTTCGAGCAAAAGACCTGGGGAGATGGAAAGGGCGTACATACCTTCGTACACTTTGATCTAGAACAAATCGCAGCATTTGAGTGCTTGTAAAGAGTCGCCGTAGCAGAACGGTGTTGGCGAAGTCAATGCAGGCGTTGCTCAATAGAGAAATGAATTTTTCAGAAGATTGAAGATTTTATCAAAGAATCATGAAGTTTCAGACCATGGGATTGACTTTGCGCAAAGTACTAACCCTCACGACACAGCAAGCAGCATAGAAGGGGGAACACACCATTGATTCGGGCGCGACTGAGCTGTTGGAGCCACCATTATGTTGAACCGCCATATCGAACCACCACGTCGAGTGATCATGTCGAGTCATCTTGCTGGAGCCATCCTGCACGCGTGAATAATTCTGGATGAAGACCGGTCAAGCCAGGGTGGTCTTTGGTTGGGTTGGCTGAGGTGTGAAACTTTCTGATCTCCTGTTCCAAGCTGGTCAGAGTTGCTGTCTAGGGGGAACCTGTCATCAAGTGTTCATACCATATGACGCCATGGCTGACTCTACCATGTCCTTTTCAGAATAGACCATGGCTGGGAACGTGGCATGTACTGAGAGCACGCATTCTTCTCCATTAGCGTGGAAGGTCGGGTCGTGTTCTTGGTGTCAAAATGAGGCCGTGCCGAATTAATGAGAGATCTTTTGGCATCTTTGCCGCATAACCTTCGAAATGGCGACGACTATACCAAAGGTGCATACGGCAGTGATGTTGAGGTGTTCTTCAAGCAAGAATATGGAGAAGGGACGTGTGAAGGTAGTTTATCATGGGCAACTCAGTTGAAGAGAACTGGACGATGGTATGGCCTGAAATGTGTTAGACCAGATCAACATCAGTGGACTAGGTGGCCAACTTACAAGACGGGACCATCTTTATAGGTGCCGGAATTTCCATAGCTTCCAGGTCTGTTTCAGAGAGCTGATATTGGCACCTGTCTTGTGAAAGTTGTGGTCGCCTGGGGTTGGCCTACTGCGTGCCAGTTGCTGCTACAATGACTGCATCACGAAGAAATGAGATAGATTGCGCAGTGGCATCAGATATTCTCATGCCACACAGTTGAAATTGAATCCAGAGCGCGTGAAACGATTGCGAACACTGCTCGCAAGGAGACGATGGTGTAGATTGATGCGAGATGGACTCGAAGGAAAATGGAGGCACCCGTCTGCAACCTGAAGCAAAGTTGCATGGAGATATACCTAGGCAGGTGCCTAAGGTAGGTAGGGAACATTCAGCAAACCCTGCTTCGCCATCCATGAATGTGGGAAGAGCAACATAAAAGTGGGTTCTTGCCTAGCACAACTTGCAGGCACCGCTTGGGTGAGATTAGGTACTTACACAGGCAGGTACTCGTCGGTAGGTAGCAAAGTCTAGAGCGATCTACAATAAGGATTGCCGAGTTTTCTAGGTAGATGATCTGCTTAGATACTTTGGGCAGCTAGATACTAGGTACCTAGAATCCCTTTGATCGGAAAGCTCTAGTCAAGTTACTTCGAGTTCTCTACACAATATCTGACTAGATGCCGGGGTAGCTTTGGGACGCCTCTACCTGCAATGTATCTTGAGTGGTATTGCCTTGGCTAGATCTAGTTCTACGCAGCAGGAAGTTATGAACGTAGATAGGCAGGCTTTTTAATAACACACAATTCCGCCCCTCGCTATGACTTGAACCTGTTGTTCTTTGCGCGCAAAGTACCAACCTTCTGACCAGCAGCACCACCAGCACCAGCACCAACACCAACACCAACACTAACACCGACGACGACGACGACGAAGAAGATGGCTCACCGCCGCCATCATCACCTCCACCGTCACCACCACCATCACCACCACAGCCACGGACATCACCACCGGCACTGCCACCAGCACCAGCACCAGCACCGTCTGTGTGGCCCCGCCGGCCCGGGGCGTTTCTTGCTGACCTTCGCGGTCAGCGCTGTGGTCGCCGTGATGGCCATATTGGCTGGCCACATGTTGGCCTTGCGGGAGATTACCGCCAAGAGGGAGGAGAAGAAGAAGAAGAAAACCGACTAATTGCGGGGGGAGGGGGGGGTTCCTCTCGTTCTCTTTTTTGGGACGCCTCTGTCTTAATACAAATTCTCTACCCTCACATGAACGTCTTCGATTCTTTTGTGACACGGAAGATTATGCGCAATTGCCTGCTCATTGAACTCACTGTGTACCGGTGATGCTAAATCTAAATTTTACAAGACAGTGCCAGTCAGAATGATTGATGTTTGTTGTCGAATAACGAATTATAAACATAAGCATTATTAGAACATGAAATGTTTCCAGACCAAGATTGGACATGACGATATGGTCACCGGATGCTATCAGGAGGACTCGGAGTGTCTCCAGCAAGAGTCTTAAACATATGGTGAGCACTGGGCAATAAAGTATGGGGGATCTTCCTTCAAGTTGGCGTCTTGCAGTACGAATTCTGGTCTCGCCTTGACATCGATGTATAGGACATAAGCAAAGGCCAACCTAAGTCTACTCAGGATACGATTCATAAGCATGTTGCAATTATACTTGGTGCTTATTTCTTCAATTCATATTGAAATTGATCAATTAGTCTGCTCAGAAGTTCCCGCAACATTGCTATGTGAAATCTAAAGGCATTGTCATGGCAGTTGCTGGCTGGCCGGCTTTGGTCTATCCAGGTGAGGTCAATTGGGGTGGATCGCCTCACGCGGCAACTTGCCGGCCGGCGAATCCTGCCGGAGCTCACCGCCCAAATTGTCGAGAACGAGACAGGGGTATCTTGCAGAGACGGCATTGTCATCGCCGAGGCGGACAACACCGCTGTCGCTGCTTGCCAGTGGGATTCAGAACAGTTATTGATATGTCTTTGTGAGGCGCATGTATTGTGGCCGTATATTCCGCGATCATCCCATCATTCAGACCCCGGCAGTGGTCTTTACGTAACCGCTCTGGACCCCCTTACCCCTGTATCGATCGTGCCTCTTATAAACACGGCTCTGTCGCATCCTCAGAGGTGAACAGAGCGGCCAATTGAAATCGCAACCGTCGCAATTCGACCCCAAGCTCTGCGCAGTCACAATCTGTAACTTCATTTAGACCGGCCGAAGCTCCAACTCGCGGCACAATGGCATCTCCATGGGCCAATGTGCCCAGCCACGAGCAATGCTTCGTTATGGTGACAGGGGCGAACAGGTACCCAACCCGACCTTGCCCTTTAGGGGGCACATGAACCTGAACCGAGGACTGACTGCTCCCTCAGTGGCGTAGGATTGGCCATATGCCAGCGTTTGATGGACGACTTCCTGGCGACGCGCTCGCTCTCCTCCCACCTCATCCTCATCCCGACGACCCGAAGCGCCAAGAAGTCCTGCGAGACCATCGAGAGCCTGCGAGCCTATCTCACCAAGTCGGCCAAGTCGAAGAAGCTCGCGAACCGCTCCGGCGACGGATACTACCCGCACTGGGTCACGGACCGGGTTCACATCTTGTCTGCCGAGCTGGACCTCTGCAAGCTTCCCTCCATATACTCGGCGGCCGCCAAGCTCCTGAACGGCGAGCTTCGAGACCCCACGGGGGTGATTGCGGGTGGAAACCCCCTTTCGATACCATGGCTAGATGCCGTCGTCTGCAATGCCGGCTACGGCGGGTGGTCAGGGCTGGACTGGCTCGGGGTTGCGAGCCAGGTCTTCAGCGTGGGCGTTATGCAGTCGTTCACGTTTCCCTCGTTCAAGGTGGCACTGCCCAGTAGCATTCTTCGACCTCAAGAAGTCGGCGGAGAAAAGGCGCAGGAATCGCAGCCGGAAATGGGGGAGGTGTTCACAGCGAATACTTTTGGCCACTATATTCTAGTGCATCAACTGATCCCTCTCATGTCCCGTGCGAGCACACCAGCCAGGGTCATCTGGACGTCGACCGTGGATGCGGAGGAACACCATCTCGATCTCGACGACTTGCAGGGTCTGCGGTCCCGAGCCGCCTATGAGAGCAGCAAGCGCCTCACGGACATGATCAGCCTCTCCAGCAGCCTGCCCAGCGTGCAAAAGGTCTCGTCGTCGTATTTCTCCTCGCCCTCGGGGGGTTCTAAACCACGCTTCTATCTGACACACCCTGGAGTCGTCTGCACGCCGCTCTTCCCTCTGAACGCCTTCCTCTACTTCTGGTACTACCTGGCCATGTACGTCTGCCGGTTCCTGGGATCGCCCTGGCACACGGTCGAGACGTACGTCGCCGCCTGCTCGGCCGTGTGGCTGGCCCTGGCGCCGCAGGACGAGCTCGAGGCCGAGAACGCCGAGCGCGTGAAGTGGGGCTCGGCCTGCGACCGGTTCGGCAACGACGGCCCCAAGAAGAGTGAGGTCGAGGGATGGGGCTGGGAGGGTAAGATCGAGGACGCCGAAGCCATACGGCAGGACCCCAGCGAGGGCATCCGCAGGAAGCTGGTGGGCCGCAAGTGGGACGCCGTCGAGCTGACCCAGGAGAAGAGATACAAGTTCGAGGAGGACGCCGTGGTCTGCTGGCGCCGGCTCGAGGAGCTGAGGACGCAGTGGGAAGATATCCTGGGGAGGGGCACCTACGAAGGCAGCGAGGCGAAGACAGCGGGGAAGCGGGAGGCTTAGAGAGTGCCATCCTCGGCGACTTCGGGTCTTGAGAGACTGGCCGAAGCGTTTCAGAGAGAGGGCCTCTCTTAAGTGCGCGAAGTCGCATGAGCCCTTTCAACATCAGTCTTCTACTCGGCCTGCCTGCATCAAGTGACAACGCGGCTACGTTCAGTCGTAGGATGCCAAGGACTGCATGCACGTCCAAGGGACATTGATACAGTAATGCAGTAATATATAATGACAATCATGATTGCCTAACACGTATAAACAATTCTAAACCCAGTATGTTCCATGCCTTTGATCATCAAGTCTGCGAGTTCTCCGCTTTTGCCAAAACGAAACATCCCAGATTTCCCAATTCCACTCATCACACAAAAAAACACTACGCTACGTGCAACGCTGCCAAAAAAAACCCTGCAAAATTCAGAAAAAGACACCACCGCGCTCACGCCTCGGAGGCGCGCTGCAGGACCCGGTTGTCGCTCTCGACACGCCTCAGCTTGACGCGGTCGGCGCGGCCGAACAGGCCCAGGCACAGGGGCAGCGGGACGACGGCGAGGGCGATGACGGCCTGGAAGACGAGGGCGCGGTCGAGGTTGGCGGGGGGGTCGGCGTCGGCGGGGGCCTTGAGGGCGTCGCTGATGAGGATGAAGGTGGCGCCGAGCAGCTGGCCGAGCGACCAGGCGGCGGTGCTGGTGACCTCGGGCGAGCACGGGTGGCTCAGCTCGATCAGGTACTCGAGGGCCACGGGCACGAGGCTGAAGGAGGCGGCGCCCAGCACGGCCAGCACCACGTACGGCCCCGCCATGACGCGCGTCGCCGGCATCCACACGAAGGCCAGGTAGCACAGGCCGATCAGCGGGATGGCCGTCTTGATGGCCAACAGGAAGGCCTTGGTGCGGTCGAGGATGGGGCTGGTGATGGCGGCGGCCACGAGCCCGACGACGATCAGCACGGCGCCCGCGATGCCGGCGTCGTCCGAGGAGAAGCCGTACGGCATCATCATCTGGTTCAGCAGCGACGAGATGGAGTTGAAGAGGCCGACGTAGATGCCGTACGGGAGCAGGATGAGCCAGAACTCGAGGTTGCGGCCGAGGCGGCGCACCGAGGCCAGCAGGGGCTCCTTGGGGGTCTCGCACGAGGGCGCGGGCGGGGTGGGCGGCGCCGCGGGCACGAAGAAGGACGGGATGCAGATGACGGTGGCGATGACGCTGACGTACAGGACCATGCTGCTGACGTCGCTGGGCTGGGTGACCATGAAGGGCACGACGAGCTGGCCGAGGGCGGCGCCGAGCGGGTTGGCCAGGCTCATGAGGGCCGTGGTGCCGACGCGGCCGCGCGACGTGAACCACAGGTCCGAGTAGCGCGTGGGCCCGCTGAGCACGAAGGACTGCGCGGCGCCGATGAGGACCTGGCCGAACATGACGACGCCAAAGGTGCCGCCCGCGCTGTCGTGCGAGCCGGCGTAGCGCACCCAGTTGCCCACGAGCAGCAGCGCCGCCGCCGTCACGATGGACGGCTTGACCCCCCAGTGCAGCATGTACACGGTCAGGGGGCTGATGACGACGAAGACGAAGAGGAAGCCCGTCGACAGCCAGTTGATGGTTGACTCGCTCTCCCCGTAGTAGGCAGCTGCATGTTGCGAGACGGGCGAGAATGTGAGCCACTAGATTCAGAGGTTTTTTGTCAGCAGATTGTTCCCGAGAAGGATATATCCAGACGCAGTTGTACTATCGTCCGGCCGATATGATGCAACCAAAGGCACGAGGCTGTGTCCTGCCAGCGTCGTACGAAGCACGATTCTGCCTGCATAGCTGCGAGCCCCTGAGATCCAACCACCCAAGCAGACATCTCATTCGCAAAAGTGAAATAGCAGTGCAGCAGCTGCATGCTGCTTGCTGCATACTGCAACATCGAATAAAAAAAGGTGACCACTCACATCCCAACTGACAATAACGTTCATCAGCGTCAACGCCACCAGCCCGAACCACCTCCTCTTATACACACGATACGGCGCGCCGGCGCCGTGCCGCTCGATGATGCTACCACCCTCGACGGTGCCGTCATCATCGTCCCCGTCGACGCCCAGCGCATTCGCCGTGTCCTGGCGCTTCAGGTCGTCGTCGCCCTTGGCCTTCTTGATGCCGTCCACGTCGTCGTCGTACCCGGCGCCGGCGCCGTTGCCGTTGCGGCGGCTGCTGCTCATCACGTCCAGCGCGTAGCCCTGCTGCTTCTTGTCGTCGCCGTTGGGAGAATCCAGCGCCTCGTAGGGCCCCGTCGGCTGCGCGGCGCGTGTGCTGGCGTCCCTGTCGGACGAGTGCTCGCGGCTGCGCGGAGCCATTCGGCCAGGGTCTCTTTTTTTCTCTCTCTCAATTGAGCCGGCGGCCGGGCTCCAGGCAATGCAGCGCAGCAGAAAGCAGTAACTAGCACAGGCCGGTCGTCCCCTTTTCAACTCTAAAAAAGGGTCGTCGAGTCTATCCGCCCAGCGTTGGGCGTTTGGGGGAAGAAGTGGACGGCGCTTGGCTAAAGTTAGTGCACGGGGCGGCGGCGGCGGAGGATTGCCCAGAGATCTGGGGAAACCGGCCGAGTGGAGGAGCAGTGCAAAGGGGCCCGCGGAACCCTGGGCTTGCGCGTCGGTTGTCTGGGAGGAGATGGCGCTAACTCGCGGGCTCGGCGCGATGTCCAGCTTTCCGAGGACACACGACACTGCGCTACTGTACACCGTTATCTGCGTTTCGTGCAAATGCGCGATGTGGTCGAGGGAGCGGCTAGATATTTAGTACCAGTACGGTGTAGAGTGGAAAGGGAGGAGAGAGATCGTCCAGGGTGTGTCCTCCAGACCACATCCTGGTGGCTTCTTGCTTCATCTCGTCGTTGGTGCGTGCAATAACTCGAATGGTCACTTGTTCCCCCCCTCTCCAGGGTCTGGTCCTGTGGTGGTCCTTATTCGACCCCGAAACTGGCTAGATGCCGGAAATGGGAATGGCGCGTTGCCTCAGTGCAACCCCTTGCTCCCCTGCGACCTGCAAGAGCGTGCCCATAATGTGCTGATAGTCAGGGTCGGTTAGTTTAGCGATAGGCGACCCCTCGCATCTAATACCATGTGAAGGTCAATTAGTTAGGTAAGTTCCTCCTAGTCTACCTAATGGGCTGACTGCCACAGTGGGTTTTGCTGCGCCCTTGGTTGGCGATGGACATCGGCCGATACACGCAGCCAGCGAGCGGCACTCGACAATAGGATTAGCCAGGTGCACAAGAGTCTGATCAGTTCTAGTACGCTGCCGTAAGAGCTCTTTGGGGGGTTGAGACGACTCGTCGCGAAGCCCGGACCTTGCCAGACGGGCCCAACGAAGGGAACGCATAAACACGGAGGTCAAGCAGCAGTATCACCCAGGGTCCCCGAATCTGGTTCGGCAAGCCGACTTGCAGTGCGTCCGTCCGGCGGTTCCATTCCAGGGTCGTGATTGGCCGGCTAAAATACGTCCCGTGTGTTTCCATTTTCGGTCGAGGTACCCAGGAGCCCGGATAAGTGGCACGGCTGGCAGAAACTATGGTCGCTTCATAGTAACTATGTGCACCTGCAGACTTGCCGCAAGCGATGGGGCTGAGATCGATCGCCTGCTCAGGTGTTGCGTAGCGCGACGCAGCTTTGAACCTTGATAACGTTGACCATGTGACAGTAGTATACGCCGTCCAGGTCCGGATGAGCTGGCTAGAAGATACCACTAACCACATCCTGTTTCACTAGTCCTCCAGGTGTTGGAAATCTAGGTAGATGCCAACGGCATTTATGTCCTGCTTTACATGGCTCCACGCTTCGCTGGGAAAGATATTCGTCCTCGCATTCTGCGGAACCCGAAATCTTCTCCTTTCTCAATGCATGTATGCTTCCAAGCATACCCGTGCTCAATACTTTGTCTCGGGGGGCATGAATGTCACGCGCGCAGGTGTGGAGGCTCAGGAGATGAGGGGCCGGTAGTGGTGATATGGAGGCAAACTCCTGGATGTCAATACACGTATCTGGGCATCAGGGTCGTCGTGTGGCTTCCCGAACAGATGCTGTCAAAGGTCACACTACGGCGGTGCCGAGCCCTGCACCAGGGCTCTGCCAGAAAGGAGGTGAAAGTATCCAGGGCGGGTGAGAGGAAGAAATCTAGTATTCGGTTGGCATGCAGTGTATGATACAAAGACAGGTGTGCCCAGGGCCAGCAAGACATGGTGCCGTCATGCTGAGCCACAATTCGTGTTACAAGACCACCGTCAGAGAACCTGGGTTTCCCAACGACGGCCGGATCTCCGCCTTGCCATGCCTCCGACGTACGCGTTCTAGAGGCTCTATGTGCATGTCGGACGCCGGCAGCCTTCGAGGCGGATGTCGATGGGGGACGTCTATTTGAGGACCGACCAGAGCTTGGGGGCAGCACACTGGGTGGCGCAGTGTGCGAGGTGGAAGACTGTGGTTCGGAAATTCCTGGTCAGCATGTGGTACCTAACCGAGGGGTTTGCAGGAACGGGGTGCGAGAGATCATGGACTTACACTCCTCGACGCAGTCCTCGTTGGCGCCGGAGCCATCCTCCTCAGCCTTGGTGACGCGCTCAACGCACTCGTCGTAGTGGTGCTTGGCGGGTGCGCATTGCTTCGAGTTCTTGCACTCTGCAGAGGCGTGTTAGCACCGACGATTTGTAAAAATGGGAACATTGATTGAATGGCAGTAGGTTGACGCCGGAAGCTGAGCTGTGGCAGCAGCAGCAGCTCTTCCTGGCAGGGGTTGTCCCGTGGCTGGTCGTGATATCAGGGGAGGCAAAGCCAACGAACCTTCCTCGAACTTGTCCTTGGGGTCCTGCTCCTCTTCTTCCTCTTCCTCCTCCTCCTCCTCTTCCTCTTCTGCCTCCTCGGGGGCGTCGTCCTCGTCCTTGGACTCTTCGGCGTCCTCGGTCTTGCTGTCGTCCTTGCCCTCGTCCTTGCCCTCGTCCTTGGTCTCCTGGGGGAGCTGGTTAGCGCGATTGTGCCAATTGATGCCCGGGTTCAGGCTGAGCAGGGCAGAGGGTATCTCGATCGGTCGCGACAGCGGATTGAGGCAGCTGTGGCATGCAGTCCCAAGCTGGCCTGGCCCTCGCGGCTGCGCTGGATCTCTCGGGTCGGGGGGAGGAGGTGGAGGAGGTGGAGGAGGCGTACCTGTTCCTCAGGAGCGGGAGCTTCGGCCTCGGCGGTGGTCCAAGGCGTGGCGGCCTCGACCAAGTCGGTGATTGTGTCCCAAATACCCATCTCGGTCAGTTCTGGCAGCACAGTAGACCAATGGCTGGTTGTCGGCGGTGGAGCGAATGATTTGTGATGACACTTGCGGTCTCGCAGAGGAAAATGTTGATGCTGAGAAATTGCGGCATTTGGTTGGCCGCGGGTCGAACGACGGTCACGTGACGGCGCTCGTGGGAGCTCCACCCAATGAAGAGCCTTGGAATTGGCAGACGAGTCCTCGACTGGAGCGCCAGCCATTGCTTGAGCCATTGAGTCCATTGAGTCCATTGAGAGCGGCCTTCGGCTTGGCAACCTGGGTACTTGGGGGATTGCCATGGTCCGAGCTCCCTCGATCCCGTCCGTTCCCGTCCTCTCCCGCCGTCCACTTCCAGTCACGTCGTTGTATTTGTGGGCTGTGGATAGTAGGTAACTATTCTGGAAGCTATGCGCAAGTTCGTACCGTCTGCCTGTAGTACTGCTGAGAGCCTGCAAATTACCATTTCTGCCTGTAGCCCAAGCCGTACCTTGTGACACTCGGTGCCATACCGAGATTCGCAATCCACCATTGCACGGCCCTTTCTCTCTTCAGTAACACAGTAACACATGGGCAGGTTCGTGAAGGTCAACATCACATTACATGTGGGTGTACTTTTCCTTGGTTTGATTTTTCTTGATTGCGGCTGAGTGGACGTCTGGGGGAGCGGGCTGCTTCTCGATCTCATGGTCGCACGGAAAGACGCATCAGCATCACTCAACAGGCTGGCTCCTTTAGTAGATAACGTGCAGTCTCAGCGGGTATCATATTCTTCTTGACTGTCAACACCGAAGTATCCTCGGCATGTCCCATCCTAGTAGTCTGGTTTGCGTGTACGCCTGCGTCTGTGGGCGCCACGGAGGCTGCCTCCTGCATCCAGCCTCGTATCCTCGTCTCATAACATTGTCTCATTGCCCTCGTTCCGCATCCTCGCGCGCACGCTCATCGAAGCGCATAGCTATAGCCTGCGCCTGCGCCTCGTCGTAGTCAGGGGGTGGTTCGTCCGGGGCCGCCTGGCCCTGTTCCCTCGCAAGAGCTGCCTCGTCCGCCTGCTGTTCAATCTGCGCCTGGCTGGCGATTACTTGACTCTGTCTCGATCCACCTTCGCGGGGCGAGTACTCTGGAAGTTGTTCATCCGTGACCGAGTTGAGAATCTGTGTGTTCCCCGTCTCTCGTGCGACTGATGCAGCGTGGAGGAGCCGCCCTCGAATTTCTTCGTATCTCAGAGCCCAGTCACTGTGCCCGCCATCGTTGAACGTCAGCCTCATGTTGACTCGTGTGTAATCCGAGGGGATATTGCCATCCGCCTCGGGCTTGACTTCAGCGTCCCAGAAATTGGCTCCAAAGCCGCCCCATGATGCTCCGACCTATACCTGTTAGCAATTTGCAGTCCAGAGTACAGAGCGCCGTTCAATCGGCGATAGCCGATGCCTTAGAGGTACAGCGCCGTGTACACACGAGGGTACTCTATCAACCAGTCAGCGAAAATATCCTCCACAAGTCGCAAAGGCGGCTGAGACGCCATGGGACCTTCAAGTTCATGGGCACCTACCACATGGGAATTCTCGGTTTTAAGTATGATGGTAGAGAATGACTTGAACTGTTCCGTCGGCTGCACCGGGAGGAACACAAGCTGAGGGTGGACGGTCAGCAGAGGCTGACTACTTCGGACAAACGCAAAACTCACTCGTTTATTCGTTATATAAGCTACTCCACGGTCACACCGTAAGGAGTAGGGAGGGACGCCTCTGGATGGCGAGGGAGCCGATATGTCGAGTGATATCCGACCCTTCGTCTGGTGCAATATCCTCTCATGTGGCAAAGGCTCGAGTTCTCCAGTGCGTTTTAGCATAACCCAGCTGTGAACCAGTCAGAATCATGATTCTCACCAGGAAGGTCGTCATCCTCCATGGCCATCTGCCGGAGGATGCCTTGGTGCTGCTGGTGAAGGCCGTAATCCATCGCGAGTGAGGGAATAAAACAACGACTGGAGGCTTCATGCAGGGGGTGTTGGATATCCAGAGGCCGGCGTAGAGGGGCATGTGGAAGCTCTTGGGCACGCGGCTATATGCCTGCCAGGACGACGGACGGGCACGGCGCGGGAAGTGGGTTCAAGAGACGAAGAAATAGCAGCAACGTACTTGATGGACATGGCGGACAGGGTCAAGGCAGGCAGAGCTTGTCAGCTCTTCCTTCGCGCGGCGGTCCTGTCAAAAATTTGGTGCAGCTTCTAGATCTGTTCCTCATACGACCGAGACAGGGTTGGGATGGTCTAGTCGGGGGGGCAGAACAACCTGCGGAGCGGCACGGCCTGCGCAAGTTCCCAGCAGCAACGGAGATCTTCGAAGATGAGGGTGGGCCGCTAGAGCTGTAGCCGCTCTGCTCGCCCTGCCGAGTAAGGCCAAAGAGAGCAAAGCCAGGCCTCGCAGATGTGGAGGTACCACCTCTGTTCGGAAGCACAAGTGGAGGACCAGGGACACTCAACGTGGAGAGGGGTGCAAGGCGGCCTTAGTGTGTGGCTCGGCGTGGATTCTGCAGCCGTAAGGAAAGAAAAAAAAAAAAAAAAGAAGGGCAGCAGGCGAAAGGGCAGGGGTGAGGACAGAGCCGAGAGGACTGGCGACCGGCAGTCAATACTCGAGCGTGTATAGCATTCAAGTCGGCTCAAGGTTCGTCAAGCCGCACAGGAGTCCGCGGATGGGAGTCGGTTTAGTGCGATGGGAGGGGACTAGATGTTCCCTCGCACAGGCAGCGAACGAGGTCCCAGGATTCACGGGACCGCGGATCTGGTGCGCGGCGGGACTAGCAGCCGTCTTGGGCGAATGAAAGCTGGGGGACCCATTGGGCCGCCGGCGGGCGCACCAAGCCCGGTTCACAGTCGGCATAAACTATCGCCTGGCGACTGCAAATCAGATGGGCTCTTCCGCTACTAGCTACCTGTGTGGTACATCTCCAGAGTAGCTAGGTAGATGTAGCTAACTACTGGAGAGCTGGGATCCAGGGCACATGGATTGGATGCTGGCTACGTTGGATACTGCTGAAACCCATCCTCTCTACCTGGGCAGTCAGTCAGACTTGTCAGTGGAGCCCCCAGCGTGTCCAGGAAGCTGACGTCTTGCGCAGTCAGCCGTCATCCCCTCGCCGCCGGCCAATACACGGGGCGAATCATTCCTCACATGTGAACAGGCCCGTGAGATTCTGCCCAGCGATACGCTCAACCGGTCTGGCATTACTCGATTCAGTACTCCCTGGCAGGTCGCTTACGGAATAGAACCCCCCCTTACCTTGCCTACAACACCCACCAGGGGCTAAGCGCCAGCATAACCCCTCTATACCAGGAACCAGGGCAAGATACCAGCCTCCCGGTTCGGCTTCACGCCGAAAACGAGTGCGTGCCACTCTGGCGGCGCAACCCAAGACGCAGCAGGCGCAACATGTCTTGGTGCGCCGCCGGCTCTGATTTGCAGGTGGCAGCTGCAAGTTTGACTCGTGCCTTGTTAGTCGACGCAGTCCCAGGCTCGCAGGAGATCGATCAACACCCTGAATCAAGTCCCTGCAGTATGGCAAACCTGCCCTTATCAATGTCTCGTGTGTGCGCCGACGAGAAGATGACTCGTCCCCTGTGGCGGTGGGCATTGGCGAGCTACAATTGCCGAGTATATAGTACCAACTGATAATTTTCGATTTCAATTGTCCTCCTGGTCCCTGTGGGTTGTCGGAACTGCAAGCGGACGCAAAGCCTAAAACGCCCTAGTCAACCTGCACCACGATAGTATAGCGTCGTGGCCAACTACGGTCCCTATCCATATACCGTCCGTCTCTTCGGGCTTTGAGACTGCATTCCCGGGATCACCGTGATTCGGCGCGTCTGGCTTGATCCATTCTGGATGGCGAGTTGGGATCTGTTATACGACTGACAGTGATACAAGGTGGGACTAACACTTCATTCCGCTCTCTCAGGTTGTGGCGTCTTCTCACCTTGTAAAAAAGTTCTCACACAGTCTCCTGGGACTATTATTGGCATACGGACATGGCAGCTAGTCATTCAACTCGGCAGTCAGAAGAAAGTGCGGCGTGCTTATCAGCTTTTGGCAATTTGTTCTACCATTGATGATCCCACGATTCGTCAAGTAAAGCACATTATCAATAGTAGTGACTTCAGAATCGGTCATGATCCTTGACCACCTGGCATTGCTGTCGTCCATTCGCTGAGACTTGCATGCATCTCACTTGAGTCCCCACTGGCTATCCTAGTGCTCGGTGCAAAGTCCACTTCGGCTTTTATCGGCCAATAACCATTCGCTTGGTTTTCTAACGTTTACCAAGGCGTAGTTTTCACCACTTACATGCTCAGCCAAGTCGACTACCTCTGTGGATACTCTTCAACCCCCTGCTTGAACCCCAATACTAGATGCGGCCACACAAACGCTGGTAGCCTCATTACCGAACCTAGATGGCATACCAAACTCGTCCTTCCGAAGACAATGTTTGCTCTGCGGCACATTCAAAAGGAGATATTATCATGCCAATCAGTCCCCAGGCAGCGGTGCCGACTACGGCTCGCGTTTGTTCTTCTCGTAATATTATGCTCATGATGCGCTTACCTCGGGCTGGTCACCAACGAGCATGTTGTTTGATGACAGCAAGATTCTACACAGGAAATGTTAGCCACACCGCCTCCTTTAACAGAGGATCTCTGCGCCGCTCCAGGGCGCGCTCACCGGTTTGAAATGACTCGATTCGTTGCAATTGAGCCGGCAAATGACATGAGTATCTGGAGCAGCCGCGGCAAAATTTCGCCTCTGAGCTCACTTCAGTGGACGGGAATCTCGTTCTGTCCCGGCACTCAGTCGGCGAGCTAGGAAACTGTCGGGTAATGCTGAGAATCTGCCTGTCGTCTTGGATAAGGTTGTCTGAGAGACTGGAGTCTACTAGACAAGGACAAGTGTGACCTGGTACACATAGCTTACTCAGTGGACATCTAGTTTCCCTCCCCCAAAAAAGCGCCTAAGTAGCACAGCTTCAACAGGGCAGTATTCGCCGTTTGTATCTAGATTGGAACGTATAGTATATCGCGGTCATCGACACCTGTCATCATTACGCCTCCCACGCGGGAGGCGGCAGTATACTTCGAATTGCTATGGCCAGACGCTATGCGACCAATTCAAGGATGGGGCAGTACATACGAGACGGTGACGCGCTGCGCCTGTGACGGAAGGTTCGGCACACAGTCATCTGTCACCATTCAAAACACCGCAGAACTAGAAATTCCAGCTGCCCATTGCGTTGGTAGATTCTGAGGTCGAATTGGCGCCGTCCACAATGGCTCCATGGCATATTCAGTGACCTCCAGGGTTTGTGCACATAGGAGGCTGTGGAGTACCACATGAGCCTTGCAGTACGTTCGAGCTTTGAAAGTGACAGGTCACAACCCCGTGGGCCATCAATGCCGACTACGGTTCGAGGAGGGACATCTCGGAACGGGAACGACAGTACACGGTCTGATCCTCACGTTCTATCGGCTTCTAGCAATGTTCCTCCACATTTCCGCTGGCTCCGCTGCGCTGCTCAGCTCAAAACTTCTGCCCATGCGCCCTTCCGTCACGATCATGACAAATGTGTCTGTGCCGCAAAGTGACCCGCTCTCGTTTTCAGGGAAGAGAAAATATCAACCATACGAACAGGGAGGAGAGATGGCACTCGAACTGGTGGGCTAGAGGTGTTGGCAACCTGCGGTTTCTCCAGCAGCACCATTGACGACGTTATGTGACAGCACTGACCTCGGGGTAAACTCACTACCGCTTCCTTCCTACCTTGGCCAAGCCGTATGTCATCATGAGGCCGGGCCCGCGTCAAGAGCAGTGTCTCCCAGGGGATCCGTGCTGCAGCGCTCATGCAGGCAAGGCAAGAAGGTCAACGAACGCCCACGAACGCCCAGGGTCGTTTCAAGGGGGAGGAGGCCGTCGGATCAGCGCCGAATACCCGGGCACCACCGAGTGACACCTCGATCGCTGGGGGGGGGGGGGGGGGGGGGT